CCAATCGGAAAGGGCAGATTTCATCGGGGGAAGGCATACCCCGTCCAATGCTTCCAAGGCGGTCTGGTATACGGGGTCTTCAGCGGAGTGGCGCGCAATACTTCCTGACAAATCATTGTCAATGAGTCGTACGAACATGGTATCGGGGAGGAGAACGCGATTCTCGTTATCATTTCTTCCGAGTGAATGGTCCGGACGTCGAGATAGGGCATCAGGAGCGGCTAATTTGGTTCCTGCGACGTGATGCAATTCCAACTGATAATTGGAAAGGACGAGTTGCCAACGTGCCTGTCTTCGTGTCAGCTTTTGGGCTGAGCGGAAGTATAGGAGGTTCATATGATCCGTGAATACTATTACGGTGTGGGGGCTTCCTTCCAAATAATGGCGCCATTCCGAGAGTGCCCGAATGACCGCTAGCAATTCTCTGTCAAAGATTTCATAGTTTCGTTCTGCGGGGTTGAGAGATTGGGATAGGTAACCGCATGGGTGGTACATTCCATTGTCATCAGTCTGCAGCAATACTGCTCCGGTTGCTGCTAATGATGCATCGGTAGCAATTGCGAACTGACGAGTTGGGTCCGGGTTTCTTAGTACTGGTTGCGATAAAAAGGCGTTTTTAAGGTGGTCAAAGGCATTCTGACATTTGTCAGTCCAAACGAAAGGGTGGTCTTTCTTCGTGAGGTCGATAAGGGGTCGAGCGATATCCGAGTAGTGAGCGATGAACGTCCGGTAGAAATTGCAGAATCCTAGGAAAGACCGTGTGTCTTTTAGATTCCCCGGGGTTGGCCAATGTTTAATTCCGTCTACTTTGGCGGGTTCCATCCCTACTTCTCCTGGTCGGATCATCATTCCAAGATATTCTACTTCTCGTGCATCGAAGGTGCATTTTTCCGGTTTAACAAATAGTTTCTCTTTTCGAAGGATGTCGAGGATTTCGATGGTTCGCGCTTGGTGCTGCTGAAGATCTTTCGAGAAGATCAACAGGTCGTCCATGTATATGACTAGCCATCCCTGGTTTATCTGCTTCTGGCAGAGGTTGGTCATGAACGCCTGAAAAGTTGCGGGGGAATTCGTTAATCCAAAAAACATGACTGTTGGCTCGAACAGTCCTTCTTGAGTGGTAAACGCTGCTTTCCATCGATCTTCTGGGTGGATCCTCACGTTATTGTACCCTGATCTTATGTCGATCTTCGTGAAGTACTTGGCGTCATAGAGTTGTTCAATGAGGGATTTTGGCAAGGGGAGGGGATACTGATTTCGTATAGTCCAATCGTTGAGATACCGATAATCTTGACAGGGACGCAGTTCTCCGCTTTTCTTTCCTACGAAAAAGAATCCGCTGGCTTGGGGTGATTTGGAGGGGACAATAAAACCTTTTCTGGTGTTTTCTTCGATAAACGTTTTGACAGCTTCTCGTTCTTTTCCTGATAACGGATAGACTTTTGACGTTTTGGGCACGAATCCTGGTTTGAGGTCGATACGATGATCTACCCCGGGTCTTTCCGGCGGGAGTTTGTTAAGACCATCCTTGGCGAAGACGTCTTGATACTGATGGAGGAAATGGGGAACGAGTTCTTCGAAAGTTTTCTTCTGTTTTTCTATTTCTCCTGCGACCGTGAATTCCTGGGCTTTATTACTCGTCTTTCCGTAGTTTTGTTCCCTTTTTGATGTCCTGTCTCGAACGAGTGGGGTATCGAAGGTTATATCTTCTATGATGCGTACGGTGGAGCCATCAGCGGCATATTCGACGAGTACTTCGTCGTCGGCCAGTTGATAGGCTAATGGGTCAACGACTGGAGTTTTGAAATTTTCTGACCAGACGTCCTCCTTCGTGTCATAGTTGGGGATTTCTTCATCAACTACTTCTTCTACAGAAGCGGTATAGGGGGAGGTGGTTTCCTCAGTTGCCACCTTCACCTGTATCGGCTTCCGTAGTTTGGAATTTGTCCAAGTTCGGGTCGTTTCTTTTCTGACTTCTTTTTCTTTTCTGAAAAGTGGCGGGAGTGACTTCTTGCGTCTCTTTCTGTCAATATTTTTCTCTATGGCGAGCGACCTTTTCGTCGATGGGAGTGATACGGTCTTGGCTTCCCAATCGATCTGGGGTTTCAGTGCGGCAAGCCAGGGGAATCCTAGGAGGATTTTGTCCTGTTTGGCTAGCTTTGCCACATTGAATTTCCCGATCATGGTCCGTTGATCGATTTTGATCGTGAGTACGCAGTAACGAGAGATAAGTCCTCCTTGAGCGTCTGACCCATCGGCGGTGATAACAGGGAAGGGTCGTGAGAGTTTATGGGTTCTTATTTTGTGCCTTTTACAGAAGGTATCGCTGATAAAGGTGCCGGATGCTCCGGAGTCGATGACCATGGATGTTTCGACGGTTTGTACGCGTTTATCGGAAAAAATGGATGCAGGAATTCTTAATTCATTTCTGGTTCCGATAGAACGTATTAGTCGTACATGAGTGGGAGTTACTGACGTCGAGGCAGTGTCCCTTTCTAAAAATCCATCTCCACGAAGCGACGTTCTACTTCAGTGAAGTCGCTATCTTCCTCTTCTTCGATTTCTTTGGCCTTTTCTTTCATAGTCTTCCTTCGGACTGGTGCTTTCCTCTTTGGAGTTTCTTCCTCGTTCCTCTCCTTCTTTCTTCTGATGGGGGTCCTGGAGGAGGAGGGGCGACTTTCGACTTCGTCGTCGCTGCTACTTTCTTCCTCTTTGTTTCTTCGGATCTGTCCTCTTTCTCTGGGGTGGAAGGAGGTGTCGTTGGCACGGTGTCCCACTTGGTGACATTTGAAACATCTTCCTTCTTTGAGGTGCTTCTTTAATTCTGCGTCTGAGAGGCGGCTTATGCGGTCGACTTCCATGTCGTCGTCCCTTTTTGGAACGTAGTGTCTATTTCCGAAGTTCTTCTTCTTTTGTTGCTGGGGTCTTTCTTTCTTCTTGATGGCTTTCCATCTCTGGAAGGCGTTATCGAGATTGATGCAAGAGTTGACAACGGTGTCGAAGTTATCGAGAGTTTCACCTGTCCGGTGCAGGTTGTCCTGAAGCCCGTAGTCTAGGCCTTGTCGAAAGAATTCGATGAGGGGGGCTTGTTCGGTCATTCCTGCTCGGTGTGCGAGGAGTTTGTAGTTGGAGATGTAGGTGTGGAGATCTCCTTTCATCTCTAATCCTCGTATCTTCATCATGGCAGTTCCGGCGGGGTCCATGGGTTTAAAGGCTTCGTCGAAGTCCTTTTTGAATTTGGCCCAGGTACCGTAGCCGATCATTTGTCCAGAGGTGTCTTTCCTCTTGGGGTCTAGGGCTGCTTCCATGAAGTCTTCTGCCCAGGCTGCTGCGTTTCCTTTCGTCATGTAGGATAACACAAGAATGATCTTCTTTTTATCATCAACGTAGACTTTGTCGTTAATGTCGAGGTATGCATGACATTTCATCATGAATCTCTTTGATTCTTCTCTGTCTCCATCGAATTCGGGAGGGGAACCGATCTTTAGTTCTATTTCTTTGTTCTGGGTTGTCATGGCGTTCAAAGGAGGAATGTTTGGTAGCGCTCCTAAGTTCAAGGCTCCGATCAAAGGAGTTAACGAAGTCGTGGTGTCGGTTTCGTTGCAGATGGCAACGGTTCAGGTAATAAGACTTTAATCTTTTGTTACGACTGGGATGAGTCGAGCTATCTCTGTCTGAGTAGACAATCGGCAGAATGCCAGATAGACGTGAGTCTGCTCTCGATTGAGAGATCAAGGGTTCTGGCTAAGGCGAGTGTCGCTGACTCCCTTAGAATAGTGGTTCTTTAGACAGTAAGGTTGGAGACCTTACTGAAGGACAATGTTCCAGGTAAAACCCAGTAGATTAAAGTAAAGAATACAACCATGGGTAGGTAGGTTTATATACCAGTGTTCAAGCGGAGCTTGTAAATGTGTTATCAAGATAGAAGCAAAGAAGAGGTGGACAGCCCGCTTGGCAAGATAAGAGATAGGCATGATAAGAGATAAGCGTGGTACGGACGGCCCGTTTAAGAAGCGAAAGGAAAATGAGTATAGGGGCCTCTCTAATGTTATTGTAACACTCACCATCTACCGGCTCATGCTCCTCTACCAAATATCCGTTGACCGGATCCTTAGAACTGTCTCCATCCCTCGTCTCCTCCCTCTCCTTGACCTAATCTCTGATAATGCACCAACATGCACACATGCCTTGGCACTATGACTTGTCATGACTTATGACACCAATGTGGCTTTTCTTTTCTATTCCTCTTTGACTCACACCTGCTGCGCATTGTATCTTTACTATTGGATCATTCCAATGTTTCTCAGCCTCATTCCACGTTCGACCTCTCATCACTAACCAGGCTGTGTTGCCAGCATACCTATACTCTTTCTGTTTCTCCTTTACCCTTTCCAAGTAGTATAAGTAGTCGGTCATCTGGTATCCACCAATCTCTGCTGGTGCATGTTCATTTTCTCTTTTGGTTTGACTAAACAATAGCAAGGCTTATTATATGTATCTGTGTATTCTGTTCCATGTGAGCTCTGATTACATATTATTTATCTGCCTCATTCTCTATCGCTACAGTTCTCGCCTACAGTTTCCAACACTTACGCACTAGGATAAAATCTTGCATGTAATATACAGTAGAGCACTTTCCTTCCCTTAGACACTACCTTTGTTTTTGTGGAGTCACCTTAGACATTCTTAGTATTTTGTGCAATTGACAAGCTTTGTTCATCCTCACTTCAAACCCATGTATTTTTGACCACTCCAAAAATGCACCTCTAAGTTTCCTTACCTAGGCTCTGCATGGATCCAAAATACTCTTGAGTTCCAACTTAGCATTTTATACCTAGCTATACCTTGGCCCTAAACCTTATCTATACCTAGCGGCTACCTGCAGAACCGCACCTTACCTAGTACCCGCTGCTCCCTACTTGAAAACCTCTTGCTTTTGTTCATTTCTCATTGCACCTTTACCAGACCTGCCGTCTCGCCTTCATATTTCCAAGATCACCATGGTTCTGTTTTGTTCCACATCCACTCCCTTCACATTATATTTGAAGAAAGTGTTTTATAGAAATTCTCTTAGGTCGATACAGTACACCCACACTCAGTAGGATTTAATTAGTACTCTAGCTTTCTTGCTAGCCAACTCTTATTACTTCTTCATATAGGCCTATCTGTTGATGATATCCTCAAGTGTAATCTCATTGAGCTCAAACCAAATTACAAGAGTTTTGACAATCCTTGCTATAAGCAACTGCCTATTATTATACAACCACCACCCGCTGGTGTGTTATCTGTCAACATTGTCACTCTTTTTCTTGCCCATAACCATTGCAGTCTGATTGATATGCCATCTGCAAGCTGACTATCTGTCCATAAACCTTAACTATTTAGTCTTAAATGATGACTCCAGCTGTATCTTCTTAGCTACGATTGTACTGACAGACACTGTTACTGACCTGAGAAAGGCTATCAAGGAAGAGAAAAACATGCATTTAGCAGTGTGGATGCAGACAGTCTCCAGCTATGAAAGGTGAGTGGTCTGATGCTACAATGTGGTAAATTGGAGGTGCTGACCATATGATACCTGAAGGTTGATATTGATGCTATAGTCATCTATTCTCATAAACATATTCCGATACACCTAATGGTGGTTGAGGAGAAGGATGAGTTTGGAGACAAACATGCAAAGGTTTGGCTTCACACATTTGAAGACTCTAAAAAAATATAGTCAAACTTACATTTTCTTGCAGTTCTGGTCTCAAAGAACAGGGAAGCATGTGCAGCAGTGCACTTTGAGCTAGAGTGTGAATTGAGGCAGATGTGCATGCTGAAGTGGACATATGAAGCAAACAAGTAGCCATATGTGGATAGGAATAAGGTGGGACCAAGAGACATCAGTATGTGTAGGTGTCCACATGAGAGTGGGAAGAGGAGGTGGCAGACCCAAAGGAGGTGCTGAATAAAGGAAGAGTTAAAAAGAGTACTAATACCATACTTTGTGTTAAAGCTGTAAACAGTTTTCCAGTATAGTAATAATCCATGTCAGTTGTTTCTGATTCATAATGGTGAAAAATCACAAACAGCTTGTGGCCATACATGCATGCTGTAAAGAGTTGATTCTGTGTGGGCACTTCGAAAATGATGACTTTAGAACTCAAAGGTGTGAGTGTAATATATCCCAAAGAGACTGTCTATAGAACTACCTCTTAAAATATCAGTGCATGGGAGGCCTGTTAAAATGAAGAATAAGAGATAGAAAGATAAGTAAAGTGTATCTGAAGTTCTGAGGATGTGTCCAAAGTACCGAAGTACTTGGTCTAATGTGAGTGGAGGTGGTCCAAAGTCAAGAAATGAAGATCTGGTGATACAGAGAGGTTCCAAAGGACTTGTGACTGAATAGCAAAATTTCCAACTCCCACAACAAAATTGGTATCCCGAAGGTCGCCATAAACATAGCTGTCATTGTGATAATGTAACTCCCAGATGAGAGAGGTGATAACCTTCTTGAGTGGCTGGCAGTCCAAAACAGCTATCTCACTGAGTAGTCAATATGAGCTAGGCCATTGCAGGAAGCAATCATTATTGATATCAAGGGCAAGACACTAGGTCAAGAATTGTAGGCAATAAGCTTAGAAGTGTTCCCCTTACTGGCACAGAATTTATAAACCTCATGGGAATAGTGCCTGACAAACTTGATACATATTTTGCTCCTAGCCCTATTGCCAACAGTTTTCCCAAAGAAGATAAGTCAATCCCTGAGGATTTTGAATATGACTGGTTGAATTGGTATACAAAAAAACTCTGAGGATAAGGACATTTTAGATATGGATTGTTGGATTAGCAATATTAATGACTTTGTAACTCACCCACTTGTTATCTACTCACTACATGCACTTGTTCATGTTTGTTTGTGCCTATTGTATTTATAACACCAATGTCAACATCTCACTATGAGGCCCTTAGGCTTCAACACAGAACACAGACACAATGTCACCAATGGAAGACTAAAATTCACGGTTCTGAACGCACAGTTTAGGAGAGACTAAGCTTGAGCTAGCATTACTTGGATTTCAGTGTCTCATCTGTTCAGTATTTTTCATGATAGAACATAATGATTTTAACCCTTTGAATACTGATTTTTGTACTGCCCAAATATACTACAAAAGACTAGAATGTCAGTGTTCTGAATGTGTCTCAAATACTACTTGACTTACCAGGTTTCCGTTGCTTCCTTTGATCAATCAGTGTCTTCTGAGTTCTCAGTATCTTATCCATCCGATTTCCAATCAGTGTTTTTGACACTAAAAATTTTCACTTGAATATGTGATGCTATGGAGCAATAACACTGAGCTTATAGGAGGATCACTACTTGACCACTCCTTGAGGTCTCCAGGATGAGAAGGAACATGCTATTCAAAATTTTCTTAGATGGTACTACGGTCAGTCAGCTTGATGAGGAAGGAAACTGTCATGCGATCATTCAAGCATTTACTCTCCCATCAATGGGAAACACCCTTGCATTGCCACCCACTCTTCAACTTATCCATGAAGGACATGGTTATCTCGATATCGAACATATTTCCCTTCTGTGTGACTCTATGACCAATGCTATCACAGGGCAACCACAGATCACATTCCTCACCCATTACATGAGACTTAATCAGACCAAGTACTTTGCACACCAGATAATTGTATCTCCTCCTCTGTCAGGGCAGAAATTAGGAAACATCTCTCTCTCCATTGAACAACTTTTCTCTGTTCCAGGTTATGCTAATGTCATGAAGTTCACGATGTCCTTCAATGGGCATGCACACAGCATCCATCTATGTGCTTCATAATGAGAGGGACAGTACAGAATTCTACAGATTCATGATTAACTTAGTGGGATGGATAAGCCCTGTTCGGGTATTGTTGGGCCAAAGGTTAAAGCAACAGAATCATTTTCATTATCTTTGAGAATGATGTAGAACATCAAACTAGCATTCAACAGCTAATTGGGTAGAATATATTATAAGAAGCAGGTTCAAGCAGGAAGAAATGTACTCGCTGTAGTGGACTTAGCATAGAGGTTGTTGGACAGCTTGGATGCATGGAGTAGAGTGATAGTACATACTGATTGAATATTCAATCTTCCAAAGGATGATTTTTTGTAATGTATTGTGTGTGCCTCAAATGTGCCCTAGATTTTGCTTATTGGCAAATACTAGATCCTATCTTGGTGATAGTGCATATGGTGCAAGGAACTTGCTACACATGTGCTGCATCTCAGATGTAGGCAGTTTACTGATTATGTCATAATCAAATAAAGCTCTCCCAGTTCACTCAGCATGCCATTGCACCATCACATAAACAAGCATTTATCAACACTATCATACTCAAACACTTCCAGCAGCAGCATTCTTCTTTTGATTCTTCAGCTTCTAAATCCACTGCAAAAAGTCAACAAGCATAAGCCACAACACCTTCAAACACAGAAAAAAAAAATACTCACCAACCACCTCTCCTCCTTCCTCCTCGCCATCTCAGCCACCTTCTCCTCCTTAGACATCCCAGCCATACAGTTGGTGGTGTGTTTTCAATGTTTTAGAGAGAGGTCAAGGGGATAAACATGATGGAGAAGGTAACAACACATACTTAGAGAACTGGACCATAGCGACATTCCAAAACCTAGGCCATTGGTTGTCACGAGCTTTGATTCTGCAGCAGGTGAACCACTTAACCTACAAAGAAAAAATGTCCTCAGTTTAGATTTGATGATATGTTCAAGGTCAGAGGACATACCTCAATCTCCTTCATCAGCATTAATATTGATCAAATCATTGTTCCACAAATGACTACTGCCCTGCCCTGCCTCATTAGTAAGCTCTTCAGCAAGGGGTGCAGCAAGAGTAGAGACTGGTGCTTTATTTCCACCCAATTGTAGGCCTTTGCTTTTTGATACACTTGTAGAGGGAGAAGATAACACAGGTAGAGGACTGGTGTGCCCATTGATGTTTACTGCCAATGTTGATGTGTCAATGGTACTTAAAATCATTGTTTGCATGTCAGCTCGGGCAAGCTGAGTGGTTGATACTCATAAGCTATCAGTTTCAATACACAAAATATAATGTGCCTCTTTGCCAAGGAATGACAAATCCCACCCTGCAAGAGCAGCTGCTATGTCCATTACTGAGCTTACAAGGCCAGCCTGGGTAAATGCACTCATGACTACCCAGACTCCAAACCATTGGCAGTGTGTTAGAGTCTTGTGCTAGTGTACCAAATACATACAACTATATTTCAAATCCTGCACCTTGATTCAAACACCGCAACTCTTTGGACTCTACACACCTAGCCAACTGGCACAACTTGTTGTTGTGTCACATTTGCCACTATTTGTTACCACTGAAAAACCTTTCCGAACGGTTGACAAGCTGCCAGGTACACTGGGAAGATGGATGCGTTAATTTGTTAATTTGCATGATGTGACTGATGCAGTCCCATTTTGGATTCATTTCTGCTAAGTTAACTACCTTTAGCTATTCCGATTCAGATGTCTCATTGTTTTGATGTGCCAAGCTTCACGCACATGAAGCAAACTGTCCAAGAGAAGTTTGGCTTGTCTCCCTGCGCCTGGCAGCTTCAGGCAGCTCGATATCAACTCGAAGGCAAGGATGTTGTCACCATCTCCCCAACTGGCTCTGGGAAAACATTAACCTTTTGGATTCCTCTTCTATTGAATGCATGTGGGGTTATCATCATCATGACACCACTAAATATATTAGGAGAAAAGAACCAGAAGGAGGCAGAGGCATTGTGTTTCCCTGCCATCAATCTGTTAAGGAGAGCGCTACAGATCCAGTATTCAAGGTATGTAATGAGATTCTGAGTTACCTCGTCATTGTTAATGTTGTGCAGGACATCAAGAGCCTCAAATATTGTGTTATCACGGTCAGCCCAGAATGGTTACTCACCAACTCCCGTTTTCAGGCGCTATGGAAATTGAAGAAGTTCACTGATAAGATATTCAACCTGATGTTCGATGAAGGGTACTGCATAAGTGAATGGGGCGAGGACTTCAGGCCACTATACAGTCAGCTGGGGAACATTAGGTGGTATTTGCCTGACTATGTAACGGTTCATGTTATATTAGCAACCATGTCACCTCATATTTTGGCTGATATCACTTCAAAGCTCCGTATTCAGCCACATAACATTGCGAGGGTCACCAGGTCTAACAATCATCCAAACATTAGCCTTATTGTCGAAGAGATGAAGTTCCCATGTAATACCCTGCATGATCTAACCTGAGTCTTGGATATGAGACTTGGAGACGTGAATCCACCACCGAAGTTCATGATCTTCACAAATTCTCGTACTTCGGCGGAGATGACTTGCAACCGCTTGCGCTCAGACATGCCTGGACATCTGCAGAGGAAGATCGTCTGGTTTCATTCTGGGATGTCAATGGAATTCCGTGTCGATACAATGAAGAAGGTTGAAACAGGTGAACTATGGGGTATTTGCTGCACGGACACTGTGGGAATGGTCAGTGACAGTCACATTGATCAGTCTTCATGCGCTAATATATTCAACTTAAAAAAGGGACTCGACCTGCATGATATTAAAATCATTGTACAATGGGGTTACACTTCCTCACTGTCTGCACTCATGCAAAGGCTAGGTTGTGGCGCCAGAGATCCCTTGCTAACAGCAGTGGGAATTTATCTTGTTAAGCCGATATACTTTGATGCCTACAAAGGGAAGTGCAAGAGGCCTGCAATTGAGGAAGATAGTCGACAGAAGAAAAAGAAAAAGGGGTCGAACTCACGAGCGGGCTTCGAGAATGATAATAGAGAGGACAATGTTGACAGTGAGTTTGAGGGAGATGATGGCTTTGAATGGCAGAATGAAATGATCGTTGTTGGTCATGGTCATGGGAGAGAGAATTTACAGGAGGATATACACACCATTGGCTCTTTGCCATCATCATCTCATCCATAAGGAATTACCATCAGTTCATCAACTCACATGCAGCCGCTAGCACTCATCCCCAATAATCTTGATAACACTGCCGGCGAGCGCTTCGCAATGTATGCCTTCATCAATGTGAGGTATCGTGGATTCTGTCGACGTTGGGTGGCTAAAGAATACTTCAATAATCTAAAGAGTATGCAGTTGTTTTTTAAACATAAATTTCAAAGACATTGACTCGTTTAATCTAGGTGATGGTCAAGTATGTTGTGAGTGATGCATCGAGGCACCACAAGGTGACTGCTGTGATGTATGTACTCCCACACTACTCACGTCACACATCCTTCCGCTACGAACATTTCCATCAATGCGTGCAAAACCAAAATACAAGTGTAAACCATACGAAATGACCAACAGAGGACACAATTTACATGCAGCACTCCATGCCCTTGCTAATGCAAACTGGAATTTTGCACGCATCTCCGGTGCATCTCCAAATGAATGATCCGACATTATGACAATATATACAGCACTATCAAAGACATGTGTCTGTCATTAAAACATTGAAAGTGTACGGCAACATACGAGTCTTTGGTCTTTAACTTCATCGGTTGTTTGATGATGTGGTACTAATGGTTGATCTGCATTATGGATATCAATTGCATTGTCATCGTTGAGAATCAGAGTCAATCTGATATATGGTGCATTCAGAGAATCAGATTTTGGGCTAGTCCATCTGTACTTCTGGTGCTGAATGTTGTTATTGAGTGGCTGCTGGTGTGGTTGCTACAGGCCCATTAATTGTTGCAACTCCTGCAGTGTGAGATTGGAAATGCCCAGACTTCAGCATTTTGAACAATAGGTATTGTATGTGGCTATAGACAAAATCAATGTTGGTTTCCCATGTGAGATACTCTGGGAAATGAACAAACTGACTAGTGACACTGAACTGATGATTGTGACACTAGTTTGGAATTAGGTATGAATTCCCACGCCCTCAAAATTTCATTGTTTGACAATGCCACTGACAGATCTTTAAAGTTTACAAGCAGACATCAGGACTGATTGTCGCTAACACCTCCTCTCACCAATCAATAACAATGATGTACCCAATATTAACACCTCTCATACTGGACATCTGTGATTGCTCGCTGACTATGGTTGATGTCGTTATGAACTACACTTTGTCTCTGGAGCTGCAAGATAATATCTACATATTAACAATTGATGCTTCATGGACACTGGTAAGGCTCCTGCTTCTGATTATGTCAAATTTACATGACATTTTAATTGAATAGCTGAAGGTGCCTGACAAGTGTGTTGATGTGATTAGACTTATAGTCCACCAATTGCATTTATATCAATCAACCTTGAAAGCCTGGCAGGACCTTCTGAAGACACCTGCTGTAGATGAGGAGCTGTGAATCTATGTCTCTCTTTCTGCATATCTAGCAGCACTGCTTGCTGCGTTCTGTGGAGAGGTTGAGGCAGATACAAACATCGCCACTACAAAATGGTGGTCCATGCATCTGGATTTTCATATTGCACTCGCTTTGCACAACAACTCATTTACGCCGGAGCAGCAGGCAGTTGCCTTAAAACAGATGAAATGGTCCTGGACACACTTCAGGGAGAAAAAGCGATACAAAAAGGTACAAGAGAGTGAGTGGTGATTGATCGTTTGATGGTAGAGATGCAATGATGTTGTGTGGTCTGTATTCAGCCACTGGTGCTGGATTACATGCACATTTTTGCTTGAATGGCAACAATATGTGTGGTGGTCCATTTGAACACACACAGTATTAAGACCATGCACAAAGGGTAGGACTGATTCCTAGGGGCTTGGCTTCAGCTCGTGCGCTGCGCCCCTTACCCGAGTATGTGCCCTTAATTTCAGAATGGTGTCTGGAGGACGTCCAAAGAAGTCTGAAGGACTTCCAAAAAAGTGCAGGAAACTTCAGACGGATGTTCCAGATGAGTGCAAGTAACTTCCGGATGAGTGTGGGAAAGTTCTGGAGGAACTTCCGGAAATTACAATGAGGTTTTGTCCTGATACGGATATGTATAATGGCTACTCAGGACACGTCCTGAGTAGAAGCAAACAGAGGAAAGGCTGCAAGGATAAAGTCCGAAGCAGAATAGGTCCGGAGGACTGCGGGAAAGTTTCGGACGAACTTCTGGAAACTTCGGAGGATCAGATGAGTGGATGAGCAGAGGATTGGATAAGCAGAGCTCTGGCCTAGGGAATTTCTCCCTAGGCCTGAGATGGATATTGACTAAGTCGATCGACTAGAACTGATATGAGGACTTAGAGTGAGATCTAGTGCGAGGACTAATATGATATTCAGACTGAGGAACTACCGGACATATACAAGAGTTTATATACTAAGGAAATAACGGAAAGATCAGTAAGCAAGAGTCCGAGGCTATGTATGAAGCATAAGCAAAGTTATCAAGTGCGAGTCGGAAATGAAGCATAGGTCAAGAGATCAGTAAGCATACCGGTAGTAAGTATAACTGAGATACCGAGGACAAGGAATACCAAATAGAGGAATAGGCTGTGTTAATGTTATATGCACAGGAATTGAATTAGGAAGCTTATCATATATTGGGCCGGACCGGACTGGATCGGATTGGAGGTCTGGACAAGAAGCATGCATATATGGGATATGACATTAGGGCAATAGGACAAAGGATGAATGATGCAGGCTAGCTGCAGGTCTGATGTACGGAGGTAGAGGGATGTAGATGTGGATGTGCAGAGGTGCAGGGATCTGGATGGGTAGAGGACTGGAGACATGGATAGGGCATCTGAAGGTCCAGATGAGGCATGGGAATATTGTTGGATGTAGGTCTGGACTACGGGATATGACACACGGTTGCCGGCTGAGTTAACTGCTGAAATGATTCAAACACTTCAATCACCACCAGAAGCTGAGGAAGAAATACAATTAACGCAAGAAAAAGTATCAAAATCTGTACACTTTCATGGGCAAGATCAACCATTTGAGGTAGAAATCATGCAAGGGCCTCCTCAGAATTCCACTGGCAGCAGCAAGTCGTCTAAGTCATCCAAGTCCAGAAAGGTGAAAGCAACTGCAGAACCTGTTACAAATTTGAATGATTCATCTGACGGAATGGTGATCAATGTTGATCATATTGAGGACAAACCAGCACCGAGTGCACCTGGAGTAAAGTCAGAAAATCTCAGGAAAGCTGTCCTTTGGAAGTTGATGGTGCAGATGGCAGGAAGTTGTCAGATTTGCTCTGCAGTTGAGATGTCTGACGAGGAGGTATGATTTCACTGTTTAAATTTTCAATATTTACCATCACATCACATAGGAATGCCACAGTGAGCAGGTTGCAACTCAGTTTGAAGACAAGGAAGATTCAAAGAAGACAGCCAAAACTTAGAAAGCCATTCCTAAAGCCAAGCACTCCATCAAATGTGGGAAGACTAAATCAGAGTCTCTCACACTCAAGTCAAAGGAAAGTGAAAAGGATGCAATTATGGATTCCCTGGTTTACGTGGAATCTAAATCGAATGTACGTACATTTCATTTGCATTGTATGTTACTAATATACACTGTTGTCTTAAGGTAACCATCCCTGCAAAACCTACTAGAAAGAAGGCAGGAGGTCATATGTGAATCAAATCTGATGATGAGGTATATATCTGTGGATTCAGTCGTAGTAGAGGTCAATGGTGATGATACCCCATCAATTTCACTGATTTATGCTACATTCAGCAAGAATTCCCATATGATCTTGAAATATTGCAAACCAGCGAGGAGGAACTGGACAAAATAATCTTCCCACCTGGTCTAGAAGATTGGGATACATGGAACAAGGTTGCGTTCGAGCAAGGCAACTTGCAGATATTTCTAAAGTTAGGGCCATGGATGCTTCTTAGATTTCACCAGCTGGCAATGATGCCTATTGATGGAGAAGTCAAAGGTCGAGAAAACCTTAAAGTTCGAAAGTTCTGTCCCACCCGTCCGGCCTGTCCCGTCCATCCCACCCGTCTGTTCTGTCCGGCCTGTCCCATCTGTCCCATCTGTCCGCATTGTCCGGCAAATGATGATCACGTTGAAATGTGTTGCTGATAGTCTTGCAGGTATCCCTGGCCTGTCATTAGAGGTCACATTCATGTTTGCCTCATTGGCAACAGGCCTCAAAGATGATATCATTCTCACACAGCTGGCTATGCACAACATACGCAAGCCACCCTTATACCTTCCTTCCAGCATTGTTTCTTTTCTCAGTGCCACCTGCAAATTGCAAATTGCATCCATGAAGACGTGTTGGAGTGTCCTGAAGAGTAGTATTTGGGCTGGAGATTTTGCTGTTCATGAGAAGATGAAAGACTTATTCGAGATACACGGACACCCTCATGGCCTTAGTGAGTGTTTTTTCAACGTGTATCCATGAAGCTGAATGATATCACTTCAATAGCACAACACACATTCTATCCGCCATTCAAGATGTGTCCCAATTCTACCTGCGATCACACACAAAAAGGCTTGTTGCTCGGCAAGGCTGAACAGCGCAAGGCGGTCTATTTTGGCCGCTCTGGTACGGTCCCTGCCTACAGTGTTCAACTGTATTGTGAATGTGAGTGCTATGTCTATTCAACAACATGACTTAATTCAGCCGCTAAATCCCCCTCAGCCTGCAAGACGACTTATCACACAAACTACAAGGTCACCGGTGACCGATGCATTTACTATGATTACACCACCGCACTGCCAGACGTTGTGCAGATTGCGGATCACTACTTTGTTGACTATGGAGTAGTGAGGTTATGGAAGGCCATGATGCACGCTTCCTGGTATGTATGTGCACGTTCTGAATCTGCCCTCACTGACCATACACTTAGTACATCAGCAACCAACTGCGCACACATTTATAACATCGCACTTGCGAATGTGGAGTCCACGCAGTTCCCAGGCACAAAATGGTTCAGCAAGAACGTAACTATGGACCATGTCTGGAATGCCTTTATCATTTGCACACTGCTTGAAGATTGCCGTGAACGCCATTGTCTCCTCGACATTGGTCAGACCATTAACCAGAACGAGCACTTCATTGAGGCGATGTCAGACAGGAACCAACGCATGCGGGTCTATAACCAACCGCTTCCTCATCGGCACTTTTGTGCTAAGTGTACCCGTATTTACAATCATGGTGATATTAGTATGTATACTTCTTGCAATGTTGCTTTGCGCTCACGTTCTTACAGCCAACCAACTGGTCTCTGTCATTGTGGTGGACGGCATTGTTGTGAGCCGTCTGTGCTGCTCTGTCCCTAACTGCTGGGTCCATCTCTGTACTCCTCAAGACCGCTTTTGTTACATCCACTCTGCCCGCCTTGAGCAATGTGCAATCAAAGGCTGTGCATAATCTGTCGTGTCAGGTAGCCTCACTTGCGACATCCCCGCACACCAGGAGTCTGAAGCACTGCACACTCTGCGGTGCAAGTCTCAATTCCGTCTACATGAACGCCTCGAGCGTTCACGGGCTATCCACGGGCGTCTTGCAAATGTCCAGGTCGGAGACAACGACAATGGAACGCAAGCGATTGGAGAGGAGGAGTATGACGTGAAATTAGGAAAGAAGAAGAGACTTCACACGCAGTTCACCTGCAACTATACTCATTGTGAGGAGTTGATTGTTGCGCCTTGCGGAATGATTTATGCTCGTGAGACTATGCACAATGCCGAGGGAGTAGGGAGTGTTGCTGAATTTATTCGCTGTGTCTTCCGGGACCCAGAGACGCGCCCAACACATGTGTTTTTCGATAATAACTGCCGACTCGCGCTGCATGTCCAGAACGACCCATTCTTTCAAGACATCAGCCTTTCCGTTGACGTCTTCCACTTTGAGTGCAAACATTCAAAGCAAGACACGTTTTTCCAAGAGAACTGCAACCCTGCCGCATTTCTGGAGCTCAAGACGGATGACAGGGAGTGGTACTTTAACTCTTCAGCTTGGAAACAGACTAACTCCTGGTTTGGTAAATTCAATCCTATCATGCGAGGCATGAAGCCAGTGAAGTTCGACTTCTTTCTCAACGAAATGATCTTATGCAAGAACCAGGAGACGTTAAAAAAATTGGACAGGACTGGCAAGAAACCCTCAGTTTGGGCGAGGATGAGTTCGTCTGGTGTCTGACAGGCTTTGGACATATAGCTACCTGCTGTAATGTAGTTCTTTTGACTTAATTGATATGAGATCGTCCGTGATGGCCTTAACATTATCCTGCATGGCGCGCCCTCAAAAACTCAAAACGAGTTAGCTACACCCATACTGTAGGGTATTGAAAATGTTTTCTTCGGTTAACAAAGAAAACATTTTCAATACCCTACAGTATGGGTGTAGCTAACCACATTTTCTTTGTTAACACGATTACTTTCCTTGGGAGGCAGAACTCTTAACATGAATAGTTTTGAGGGCGGACTGGCCTCTAAGTGGCCCAAGGAAAGTAATCGTGTTAACAAAGAAAACATTTTCAATACCTCACAGTACTATAGCACTAAGCGGTTCAAGGAAAGTAATCACATTAACAAAGATAACATTTTCAATACATTACAGTACTATGACCAAGACGGACTAAGACAAAGAGACATGAGATGAACTAAGACAAATGCTGCTAATACCAGATGATGAGATGAATGAAAATACCTTCGAGGAACTCAGGACCGGGTCTCTGCCATGAACTTGGACCATAAACCGTCTTCTGTCCGCCCAGCCTTGACAAACCTATCTGTAATGTTGGCGGGTGCATCCGCCCAACGTTTCTTGTGAGCATGAAATGTTGTACTAGCGTAAGGGACCCCAAACATCTTCTGGAACACCTTGGCGACACCTTGGCGACACTTGCTGATCGTCTCGCAAAGTCTGAAGCCCTTGGCAATATCACAGGTATAGAAATCTCCTGGCCAGATCTTGACATCGTTGTCCACATCAATCAGATCGGAGTGTGTGCCTCCAGATATGGCTGCATGAGCCCTTGAAGAACCTGTCAAAGGGCGTACAGTGGCCCATTCGAGTGGTTTACAATGAGTATGAGGCGGGCTGGAGTCCACACTGGTTGTGGGACTATGTGGACTGCGACAGCGAATGTTTCGTTTGGAAGGTTTGGGGGGCGGAGATGGTGTCCCAAAAGATGAAATTGAATATGCTGAATATGATAAGGAGGGTTGTCTGGAACAAGGCTTGGCAGGAGGAGGACTAGGTGAAGCTTCCGACAGATGTTTGGCTTTACCCTTGCCCTTTGATAGCAACAAGGCCTCAACCTCCAACTCAGATGGCAAGGCGCTCATCTTGACATCGTCCTGAGTGTGACGTGGCTGAGAACGAGAATGAGCATGGAAGACAACTTCGTTAGGTGCAGGTAAAACATTATGGTGCTGATGCAGCTCCTCACGGACTGCGGCACGATCAGCAGCCAAGTGAGAGTGGAGGTTAGGTGGAGAGTTGTCGATACTTCAGATACAGCTATCGAGATCCACACATTGAGTTACATTTGGGTTCTTCAGGAGGACAGGCTGGCCTTCGACAACAGTGATAAGGTAGTCTGGCTGTACACCTTGCCATTCTCGTCGTCGATGATTCCATACATGAATGACGGAGGTGGCGCCCACCCCTTCATTGACCCTCGCAGCGGCAAGTCCCATCATGGATATAACTTGCTGATTTAGTGATAAGTGTGGCCAAGTAAACGACGATGTGCCCGACTGGAACTCAAACACGTTGGGCTGACCAACATCCTGTGAGTGTGATGGTCAGTGTCTACTGCATAGCAGAGAAGGAGCAACTAACCGTTACCCAGGAATACACAACTGTATGGTACCGTGCACGATTCTGCGCCTCGATCTCATCAGCACAGCGCTGACGCTGTTCTTCCTCACGTTTGGATGTTTCTGCTAGCTGCGCTGTGAAGACCTCAGGCATTTGCATATGATAGCAAGGGCCATCCTCCGGGGAGGGACGATTGTGTGCAGGTATAGTTCGAGCCCTTGTTGGCTTCTTTGCTTGCAGGTCATCAGGCGGATGCTCAATGTGAGCCTCGACAATGGGCGCAACACTTGATACGCCATGCAGCTGAGGAGATGGCGAATGTGACAGATGCTCGATGGATGCAGGAATATGGGACTCATCATCACCAAGGTCACATAATGGCAGCCCAGGATCATCTTTGAGCTCCAACCCTTCAGCGCCATTTGGATCGCCAACATGGTCAAAAAGGTGGCAGCCACCCAGGCGCCTGCAGTGTTTGCGGCAAGTTGACTGAGCACAGTTCTTATTGACACGGGTGCTGCTACAGCTCACAACCATGCACACACAGCGCTTTGGCACCGGCAGGTGGGCGCTTCTGGTTCGCTGACGAGTATGAGCATGAGCGACAGGTGCCGGAGAGGATCGTGGCGATCCGAAGTGCACAAAGTTGCACTTCGTACCATCTGGACTAACATCAAAACACTGTATCCCATTAACACATTGAAATCAAAGAAGATGAAGGAAAGAACTTACAATCGCTTGCCAACGGCCACGGTTTCCATGTTCATTAGATTTGCACACCGTCCACGGACATGGTTTATTGCATGTTGTGCATGACACGTCATAAGTGGGACGCGGGCCTGTGGGGGGCTGAGCTGCAGTGCGTGGCATCACAAGCGTCTGGACAGAGTACCAGTGTTGGCAGAGTGATAAGATAGAGAGAAAGATGCAGAATGACGAGAGAGAAATGAAACACGGTGGGTTGATATCAATAAACAGGACCCTTTTATATTCCTGAGGGCAGGGTAATACTGTGGGCGGGGGCATACTGCCAGAATGCCTGAGGACAGCATGAAAGACGGCTCCAGGCTGCCTGTAAGTTGAGCAGCACCCAAAGGAATTCATATGAACTAGCAGTGAGCAAGGGAGTGCTGGCCTGGAGAGGGCAAAGATTGAACTAACCTTGCCTGAGGGCCTGTTTCCAGCATAGGGTGGAGCAGAAAGTCCATTGGCATAAACAATGCCAAGTGACGACAAGCAACGAGCAGGGCGTGATGTGCAACTGGCATCCAAAGTCCGAAAGTATATTCTGAAATTTCAGAGAAATTCCGAGGCGTCCCAGATAGCCAAATTTAGAGTGGGACGGACGGCACGGGGCGGACGGGTGGGACAGGACAGACGGGTGGGACGGTCCTTTCCAAATTTCCGGTATATACCAAAGGTCTCATCATTCTGGAAAGCCCATGAGGGTTGTCATTCAACAACAAGGATGATTGATCACTTCTTGGACCTACACCAAGTGGCACTCCTACCAGGACCCCGAAACACCACTTCTCAACATCGTGCCCAACAGTGCCAATGATGCCATTAGGTGTCTAAAGTATTCTCTCAAAACTCATAAAACCTACAAAAACATTCACATAGATACTAACAATTGCTCTAATGCCTGTGCCAAAGGGAACAAAGGGTGGCCCGGGCCCACCCAAGCCACCCGCAACCTTCACTACCACAGGCCCAGCCACTCATCAATTTGCCAAAACCTCATTATCACAGAATGACATAGAAGCGCTCCTAAGCGCAGTGACCAGTTATGAAACGGCAGAGCTCTTCCTTTCCAAAAACTTACTCAGTCTCCCCAAACCAGATGCGAGACACCATCCCTATACCAGTAGTAGCAGCCATTCAGGCTACCGCATTCATCCTCAAGAGGCACACAGCATGCGAATCTGCAACAGAAATAGCACAACAATTGGTTGACAACCTCACCCCCCACATACTCGATCATGTAGTGGGGGCTATAGCACCCCAGATGGCAAAACTACTAACCACCTCAGATCAACTATCCAACACCCTAGACCGAACAGAAACAATCTGCAAAGCCTTAGCTAACAACAGAGACGAAATGGACTCCAGCCTGCAAATCACGGCAGATCGTATCGAAAATACAGTAGATGAACTTTCTTGGTCATGTGACAGCGTAGGGCCTGCCAGTGATGTTTTTCAGAAGCAGCCAAGTGTCATTACAATATTATATCATCCATCGAGTACATGTCGCACATCAATGTAATTATCTAACTTTCCAAAGTTACCATGGTTGGGACACCGGACACTTCGAATGCAAGAAAATAGTATAGTACCATGTATCAGTCCGACGAGCATCAATCTAATTTTCTACAACTACTTCATCATCATTCACAGCTGCTTCATTGTCATTCACTTCCTTTACAAATATCTCCTGCCCAAACCATTCACAGTACTCGTTGCAGGCATGCTGGTCTTCGAATTTGCTGATGGATGCCTCAATATTTCCCTCGCCAAAAATATCACATGCATTGCTGACCGACCTATCCCAACATCAGTATTGAGTCTGAACAAATGAAAAAGACATATGGATGAGTCAGGATCTGAGGATCTGTGAGTAGTACTATACTACCTGAATACATTGGGTCATTCAGCGCTGAGGATTGAATGTATCAAAAATCAGACATACCCTGATAGTCGGATATGAAAGCTAGCTTGCCGGTCTTGACATACTGGACATGCTGCGTGAAAACAAAGAATTCGGCCATGTCATAGCCATAATCCAATTCATTGAGCAATGGATTGGCATTCATATTGTGGATGAATTTGACAAACATATCATCACTGCCCTCAATGAGCTCTTCAAGGAGAAAGACAGCCCATGTTGATCCTGTCTTTGCTCTAGGCTTGCTACTGGCTTGGTTGTGGCACAATGCAAGGCCAGCTTCCACAAATTGAACACGTGGGACAGCAAACAGCGGGGGTTCAGGTGAGGATGCAATGGAACGATCGATAAAGTCATATGTGAGCTTTAATAAAGACTTGGACCAGTATAAGACATTGGCCTCTCTGAATAGCTTCTATAGCTTGTCGACGAGTGAATACCAGCAAACTTTATAAGCTCCAACCTTTATAGCCATTGGAAATACTTTTTCAAATGGCCATTTGACCATGACCTTATGATGAGCCACTGATCTGAGACCAGTCTTGGGAGGAGCTGTGAGTGTGAGCCATCCAGCATTGGCAGTGTTGAAGCCACCAATTCCAATGAAGCCGTCCAATGGAAGATTCAGCCGTGTCCACTAAAAATGAATGATGCTGTTTGTATAGCAAGAGGTTGGTGATATCACGGGTAGGGATTGGGTGGAATTGCACACTTTTGCTATGTAGTCCAAAGACTATAAAATACTAGTAAGTGCTGATGCAATTTGAGAAATCGATGAACGAGCATACCTTGCTTTACATTTAAGTTGGCACCTCCACCGATCTTCAAGACTTCTTTGAGCAGATCACGATCAGGTGAATGAAAAGCTGCGGGAGGTGGATTCTTCTTTCGAGGTGGAGATGAAGTACCACTGAGACTGCTAGAGCTTTCAGCACGCTGGTGGGCTCTCTTGGTAGAGACTGTCACAGAATTGTTGGTGGTCACAGATGGTAAGAAAAGCTCGTTTTCAGTGAGTGAAGTTGTTGCTGATGAGGGCACATTGAAACCGACAGCTGTGTGAGCAGTAGCACATTCGCTAGACTGAGTGCAGCTCGTTTGGATAGCTTCAGCTTCCTGGACCGCAAAACTGAGGTTAGGGTACTAGTAAATAGACAACATAAAAAATATGTACCATTTCTGCACGAAGTTCCAACCAATTCTCATATTCATTCCACCGAGCCTCCGGGACAACGACCATCAGCACAAATTGTTTAGATTTGAAGGTTGATTTGGTGCCTTTGCAAGATGGCTGCAGGCATTGATCATAGAAATAGGGAACCAATTGCGGGTGATTGGATAGGTCCACCCATGCAGCATCTCGGATTACGAACTCCTCAACACGCCAGACAAATTCTCCATCGAATTTGTGTAACTTTGGGACAACAGTCTCCAAAGCTAGCTTGATGAGCCCAGACACGTCAATTCGAGCATCAACATCCTTCTTGCCCTCACATATGTTCTAGTAAGCTGAAGTGTAGGTAGGTCACGGCATGTTTTGGGGTGTAAATGTACTCCAATAGCAACACCTCATTTTTTGTGCACTCCAGCACCTTTGTGAACCACAGTAATTTCAAGCAAAATGGTCTCTGCTAGAGACGAAGTGTATGCCATTTTTCCCCAGTGGTCACGCTCAGCAGCATAAAGTGCATGTTGCGACGAATACCCAATGGCACCTTGTTGTGACGAATTCCGGATGGATGATGAACCTTGTGTTAAGACCGTGCACAAAGGGTAGAACTGATTCTGAGGGGCTTGGCTTCAGTTCGTGCGCTGCACCCCTTACCCAAGTATGTGCCCTTAATTTCAGAATGATGTCCGAAGAAAGTCCAAGGACATCCAAAGGACATCTGAAGTGCAAGAAAGTTCCGGAGGAACTTCCGGAAATTACGATGAGGTTTTGTCCTGATACAGATACATGTAATGGCTACTTAGGACAAGTTCCAAGTAGAAGCAAACAGAGGAAAGGCTGCAAGGACAAAGTCAGAAGCAGAATAGGTCCAGAGGACCGTGGGAAAGTTTCGGACGAACTTCGGGAAACTTCGGAGGATCAGATGAGCAGATGAGCAGAGGATTGGATGAGCGGATGAGCAGAGGATCAGATAAGCGGAGCTCTGGCCTAGAGAATTTCTCCCTAGGCCTGAGATGGATATTGACTTAAGTCGCAAGACTAGATACAAGAGTTTATATACTAAGAAAATAACAGAAAGATCAGTAAGCAAGAGTCTGAGGCTAGGTATGAAGCATAGGTCAAGAGATCAGTAAGCATACCAGTAGTAAGTATAACTGAGATACCGAGGACAAGGAATACCAAATAGAGGAATAGGCTGTGTTAATGTTATATGCACAGGAAATTAATTAGGAAGCTTATCGTATATCAGATCAGATCGGAGGTCCAGACGAGAAGTGTGTATATACAGGATATGACATTAGGGCAATAGGACAAAGGATGAATGATGCAGGCTAGCTGTGGAGGTATGGAGGTCTGATGTACGGAGGTCAAGGGATCTGGATGTGGATGTGCAGATGTGGATATGCAGAGGTGCAGGGATCCAGATGGGTAGAGGACTGGAGACATGGATAGGGCATCTGAAGGTCCAGATGAGGTGTGGGAATATTGTCGGATGTAGGTCCAGACTACGGGATATGACACCTTGCCACGATGTAGGGATTCTAATATCTGGCCCTCTAGCATGAGAGCCACTAGGTATGGCAACGACAGGAGGCGGATTAGGTGTCACTATGATAAATCAGATCATAAATCTCCACAGTAACACAAATCTTGACTTACATCTTCGTTGTGCCGCATTCACCAATTGTTGTATTCTACGTGGATCAGGAGGGGCGCGGCCTTGTGATTTGTAAGGTTCGACTACCTGAGTCAGTAGTCTGTAAGCCAGCAACTCGTCAATTAGATAGTGATTGCATAGCTGTAGGTCTCACTGAAGTAGCTTGTTTATTCTCATAATGCAAGTGGCAGGATTCACACACATAGCGCCCACGTTGACCTGGATCGATGGTCGCAACATAAAAACATGGCTCTCCAGTCCTAATGTTAGCCATGCAAGATGGACAGTCACAAATTTGATCTTCTTTGGCATTGGCATCCTCAGTGTACTGGGTGAGAAGTTCATAGTCTGACATGGCACTCTGAAGGCAGCCTGCCAAGTGCATGCTAGACAGCTTAAATATCTCATGACCCAAAGATTTATGATGCGGTGCATTGGGTGGTGATGAGCACTTGAGGAAAGTCTGTATCATCATGAGGAACTGGTGCCTCCAGAGACACTAAAGAGCAGTTTGAAAGAGCTAGATAGAGAATCATGAATCATATGGAACCAGCACCTCAAAGGAACAATCTGAAAGAGTTAAAGGAACTGGCGCCTCCAGAGACACTAAGGAGCAGTTTGAAAGAGTTAGATAGAGAATCATGAATCATATGGAACCGGCACCTCAAAAGACACTATGGAACAATCTGAAAGAGTTGAATCTGAAATGTGCAGCCCAAGAATGCTTTGGACTGCGGACAACATTTCTTAGTTCAATTAGTGGTAGTTGCAAACCCTGGCTCACTGAGAATCAGAACATTTGGAACGTCCAGCCCAAGAATGCCCAACCAGAACAAACCTACACATATGTACCTTTCAAGTCACTCCCACTAGGCATCTGAACACTCTAAGCAGCCCCGCTGGACAAAATTGCACCTCATATCCTTTGCCTCTGGAAGGCCGGCTAGACCGATCGGCTGATTGTCCAGGAATTGCAAAAATGCATCGACACGACTCGCTATGGTATCGGGTGAGTAGTGTTTAAATCTAGTTATTTAGGTGTTAAATAATTATACACTAGGCTTACCACACTTTTGACGGTTCGAAAGACAATGGGTCTTCAATGTACCCGTCAACAGTGTCACACAGTCGAAACCATTCGTGATGTGATGCTTGATTTACATGCTAGTCTTTTACGTTTGGAATTTTCGGATGTCTCACAATGACCAAAAATATCGAGTTTTATAGGTTAGAAATGTACCCGTCTCTATCAATAAGTTGATGGGTTTTTATTCCCTTGTTGAGTGGTTTGTTGAAATATTGCTGTTTCCTGATCTCGAGTACCCATCTGCATATCTCCCTCAAACCACTAAGTGATAGAGCCAGACAAAAATTGTGATACTAATCTCCCACCTCTTATATATCAATATGTGAGTATCTTGTGTTCGTAATATTGTGTGTAATGATTGTAATAATCATATCAGGGTTTTCTCAGTCAACAAGCCTTGCACGGTTTCTGGTGTGATCAATAGTTGATTGAGTCCTCCTCATGATGGTTATGATGGTGTCTCTGAATATGCATATTGTATTTCAACTTAACTGATAAGTGTTTTCGTTATTATCATTGCCTTTTGTTTATCATCTGAAACATCATTAAGAGACAGGTAGTCCACCTCTACTCTTCTTTCCCTGTTTGCAAAGCTCATTTCCATTCCTTTGCTCATGCACTAATCTTGCCAACAAACTTGAACAAGAGACAGAGGTATCACATTTGAAATTAGAGGAGTACAATGCCCTCAGCATTCTCACCTTCTACAGAAAATCAACACCTTTGCCACTATCATCCAGACACATTCAGGTGTGCTTCGTCATTAGCGATTTAAAGCTTTATATCTACTGTCTGATATGCAGCCCAAGGTCCTTCAGCACACCAATTGGGATAGAGAATATGGACAAAAGTAGCTAATCAATTTGTGTTTGTGATGATGTCCCATTGATAGATACATCAAACAATGTGTTGCTCACCTATCTACATAACACAATTTCATATCATATACATCAGGGAATGGATAAATAGGAGGCAAATAAAGGTAGTAAAGCAATTGTGCCAAAGACATAACTGAGGTCTGTGTGTATGCCGTTACATATGCCACATGTGTTTTCATTGAATTTCTATATAGCAAGGTACACCTGTGCTGTCTTTCGAAGAGAATGATATCAATGTAGCCAAGCAGTTGTGTCTTGGCCAAAATATTGAAAGGTGATCATAGTATGGGAGCTAACATTGGATATCACAAGTAAGCAGCATTTGATGTTACTGGAAACTCAGCTACTGCCAAATAATTACCAACCATATTGACAAATTTGCACGAAGATGGTTTTGGTGTATGCATAGCAGAATCACTTGGGCGCTTTAGTGGACGTATCTGCCGCATGTCAAGAAGCATTTCGTTTGGTATGTCATGAAGGCTTCATCTCTCCACTCAGTTTGGTCTGGGTCCACATTAGAATGGTTTCGAAAAAGGGGCAGCAGCTTGTAATTACTGTTCTTCAGTGCTTACACTTTATTATGAGATAATTCTGGTGAATAAATATTGGTCATCCATCAAAAGCAGAATTACATAAATTCATTGTTTGATAACATTAACTTCAACTCCTTAACTTAGACCATTATATCTACAGTTGGTATGTAACACACTAGTGCTTATTTTCTTGACCGACTTTATGGAACTTTACATTATTACATATTGACCTTATAAAAGGTATCATTAAAGGGTCCCAGAAGATGCTGAGCTTTTGGGGTGGATTCCTTGACAGTAAACATGATATTGGCCTTCCCTTGCACTCAAATCCAGATTTTGTAGGCCAGAGATACACCCTCTATGATATATTAGAGGTCTCCATGTCCTTCAAGATGCAGAATGTAAGCAATCCTTACGAGCTGCTTATTTGGACTCATGTGACCCACAATTGATTCTACAGAGTACGATATGCTATAATGAAGGTCTTACTCAATAATGTCCTGGGCGACAGGTTTATCATATGGATGTTTTTAAGTAATTTCCGTATTAGTGAATTGAACTCTGATTATAATTTCCTGTGGTGTGACAACATCACGTGATGTGAAGTTCATATAGTTGTCATTCACAAATTTTCCTCTTTCTTTCTTACCATTACCTCCATTGGTGGTTGTCTTGCCTCTATAGGCATTCATTATTGATGACAGTAGCCACCATCACCTATCTTGTGCCCTTCCCCTTCTGCCTTAGACTTGATGATTGGTGGTTGCTTGCCTCTATGGGCGTACACCATTGATAATGATGGCTACCTATATTTGTTGTCCTATGGGTATCTTTGTATCTTTTACTACCTCAAATTTCCTTTAGATATCAATTGTTGATGATTTTCTTGGATTTTAATGACCGGTGAGTGATTGCCTTTATGGTTATTAGTGGAGTCCTCACTGAATGATGATGTCTCAACCCTCACATTCCATGGCCTGTGCTTTGTGAACACTGCCGATACTAACCTATTCTCTATCTGTCATCTGATTGCTTCAGGGACCTGCTAGTCTCATTCCCAGTGTCCTATCCTGTATGTATATGTATGTTATATATATTGGAATATATTGGAATTATTATATGGCTCATAAGTGCTTGTTCATCGCTTGATGTATTTATAAATATGATACCTGAGGTGCATCACAACGTGCACATATAAGCTGCCGCATACTCCAGATTCTGTTCATACTACTAGTAGATGCTCATGTGGTGAGCATAAAACAAACATTTTGCATTGACCATGTAGTGGAAATGGATAAGGATCTCAGAGCAACAGAAAAACATGACTATCGTGGCAGAAATTATGCACTTTCCCAAAAGATGTCTTCAATCTTTGGAAGCTAAACACACTGCAGTCTATATGTCAAACAAGTCCCTCACTGCGGAATCAAATTTTTTGTATAAATTGGATGTGAATGTGTTGTGACCAGACTTGAATTGATCAATGCATCTTCTGTCATTCATAAACAACAGACTCAGGTATATGCAACATTGTCATATTCCTGGTAATGTATGTGCATATGTGTGTTACTTATATATCAATATATTGTCGTCATTACATTGCTCATCATTGCTTGTTGGTCACTTGATGTGTACAAAGCATAAGCAAAGTTCGTCAAACACGAGTCGGAAATGAAGCATAGGTTAATGGATCAGTAAGCATAACTGGACTGCAAGTATGACTGAGATACCAGGGACAAGGAATACTGAGTAGAGAAATAGGCTGTATTGACATTATATGAACAGGAAATGAATTAAAAAGCTTATCATATATTACATCAGATCAGGTCTAGGGTCCAAGTTTTGGATGAGAAGTGTGGATATATGGGATATGACAATCAACCATACCCAACTACAGCTCATCAATCTTCACCTCTCACGGGCCAACCTGGTGCAGATGCCATGGAGGAGATCTCTCTTGATGGCATGTTTGCAAACATGGATACATTCCTGGATGTGAAAACTTATATGGGCCTCATTCAGAAGTGGTCTACCTGTTCAAGGAAAGAGTGGCTTCAAGGTTCTGAAGGTACATGGCTGCTTCCCTTTTTCTTTGAATTGTTTTGCTTCTGCCCCTTTTTGCTTATTAAATTTCTGTCAAATGGCTGCTAACTGCAGTCATGTAGAAATTCCTGACCACAAGGAAAACCTCACATGTGTGCCTTCTTCCATGCCATAGCCCTACTTTGTACCATTCAGACCCATCTGTTCCATCATAAGAATTTCCATTCACCACATGCATTTATCAAAACCCTGGCACCAGATGCAAAACCCTGCTATATGCAATGACTTTCGATGTACCTAGAAACTCAGTCCATGACCCCTTACAGTACGTAATCCATATTCTGGAATCCTTCTGGTCTTAGGGGCTAATTTTCGGAAGCCCACAATTATATCCAGCAGATTCCTCTAACTCACTTTTACCTTGAGTGATAGTACATATTACAGATTTGAATTCATTCATCCAAGACCTCTAGACAAAAGGAATCATGACTCAAAGATCTCCTTCCTCACTTCTTGCACTCTGAAAGTTCATCTGTCATTATGTGATTATATTGCTAGTTATTTGCCGGTCATAGGGAGTAATTTCTGGATTTGCAATGATGCACTCATCCTTAGCTGTATCTCAGTATAAGCTTGGCTTCATGGAAATAAATATGTCTCACAGGACTCCTCTGTCATATCAGAAAGAGGCCTGCATTTCCATATATACTCTTGCCCTCTGTTAAGGTCATACTCTCATAGGATCGGATCTGAAGGACTTTGGCCTCAGCTCATATGCTGTGCCCCTTTCCCAAGTACTGTCCCTTATTTCAGAGGCTAACAATAATGCATCTAGAGGGTCGGATGAGTCTCATAGTGTTATCTGGATGACTTCCAAATATCAGAAACACATATAAGGCTAATCCGGACAAGTCCGAACTAGAAAAACATAGAGGATAGACTATCTGAAGATAGAGGCAGAGATGTAGACTATCAGAATCGATCTGAAGTCTCAAAGATTGACAAGAGCTGATTAGACTCATGTCCGGAGGACAGAAAGAGGACAAACTAAGATGATATTCGAACTGAGGTACTACCGGACATATACACAAGTTTATATACTAAGGGATAATGAAAAGATCAGTAAGCAAGAGTCCAAGGCTATGTACGAAGTGTAAGCAAAGTTTATCAAACGCGAGTTGGAAATGAAGCATAGGTTAGCAGATCAGTAAGCATAACTGGTAGTAAGTATAACCGAGATACTGGGAGTAAAGGAACATTGAATAAAGGAATAGGCTATATTTAACGTTATATGAACACAAAATGAATTAAGAAGCTTATCATATATCGGATCGGAAACAGATCTAATGGATCAGATCAGATCAGATCTAAGGTCCGAGGTCCAGATGAGAAGTGTAGATATATGGGATAGGACAGTATCCCCCCCTTAGGGCTGATCCCTAGAGGCACAAGAACCATTGGTCTGGACCGGACGAAATTAATGTGAGATAATACTCCATAAGACATATCTGGCAACGCCCTTGGATCTTAAAATACCACTAAGCAGAAACTGCTGGAACTTCAACAGCAATTGGCGGATACGAAAACTGCAGCTCGGATGGAGAAAGAGGAGGACTGGAAACGTCAGGAAGAAGAACAGAAATGTCAGGAGGAAGAGCGGAAACACCAGGAGAAGTTGAAAAAGATTGAGCGGGCCACAATGTGGAGGGAAGCGGAGGAGAAGAGGTGCAGAGACTAGCGAGTCAACTATCTGGCAGGAATCAGCGCAAGTTCTCTCTTGCTATCACCCTCATTGGTGAGTTCTTAAACTTCAGGTGAATGGGATGGCTGACACGGATACTTACAGGTAACCCCTCCGATGTTTTCATTGATGAATTTTCTACGGGAATAGATGCAAAGATGAAAAGAGATATGTGAATTGCTATCAAAACATGTGCATTTTCTTTGAAATCATCCTAACCTTGCATCTAACTTGGATGACCACCTAGATTCCATAGAAGAAACTTCAGCTCTGGCCAATAAGGTTGGCATCATTCTTAAACAATTGCTGGGTAGGCACATTGTTCATCATGATATCTGCAATATCTGATTGCCTTGCAGCTGTTGGCACAATTGACAACCTGGTCTCATGTTATGCCACGTACCAAGTGCATTTCTCTTGTCCGACGCAAGAGGACATGATTAGAGCTCAGGTCCTCACGAGACAGATTCTAGGCTCCAGTCTAGCTGACGATGTTGCTACACCCTTCGAAGTTCCTATACAAGAAGGCAGTGGATTCACCCTTATGCAATTGTCCCATATTCTCTCATCCCAGAACGATTTCCAGAAGTACACTATAGAAAAGGTGACACTATTTAGAGGTAATAATGTTATAGAGGAGGACAATTCCCCTGTACAATGCAGGTGTCAGTTGTGGTAGGACCGCAAGTTGCCCAAATATTTAGTTAGGATGCGGTCATTTGGTAACATTGCAATGGCCCACACTGAGTCCATGTGCGTTTCGAGGAGTGTGGTTTGCTTCTATGATTTGGTATTCCCTGTCCTAATTGAGCGATCGGCTGACCTGGAGATAATGTCATGAGTCATGACCAATTTTCTGGCAGCTTCGATCGAGGGTCAGGCTGCTTGCCTCCTTGCAATCACAAAAATGGTACGACCTATGGGTAATCGAGCAACACTATACTATAGCTACCCCCAACTGAGAGCTGGTTTCAATGTCACTACCGCATGTCTATGAGGCATCAAGCTTTCAATAATGTCGGACTATGTTTAACACAAAGGTCAGGATGGTTTCAATCCCTCATGGTGGGAAGATGTACAACGAGGCACTTGATAGTTTTCTTTCAGAGCAATCAATGACTATTTGCTTCCAACTGCTTTGACCTGTCATGCCTGGACCAGATATAGATTAAGATTTCTTTTGAAATTGGCATTTTACCACCTGGACTAATAGTTGTACGACAAGGCATTAGTATCCTGGCAGGTTTGGTGCTCTTGAGCACACTTGTTGCCTGTGTGTGGGATGAGCAACCAACTCATATTTATGATGTTGATTTGAGTTCATGGTAAGTGTTACTCTATGCCTCCTACCTACTGGTTAACTCAAGTGGTAACATAGGTTAGTCCTAGAGCCACAAACACTTCCTTGAGGTGATAAACCAACAAAATTTGCAAATATGCACTCACTGAATAAGTTTTCTTTAGGGTGGTTGGATATGAATGGACAGTCATATGCTGATTGCTTGACATGCATTGCAGCGGAGTCATATGTTTCAGTTCCACACTGTTTACATGTGAAGTTTGATTATTCTGTGGTAAAATAGGTCATTTGCAAAGGCGTATTCAGACACCATCAACACTGCATTCGCTCAACATTGGGATACATGGTTTAGACCAGGACACATGATTACTCTACTGGTAGGTCCTATATCATTCTTTAAATGGCTGTGAACTTCGACATGAGATCAAAGAGATCCTCAAAAATCAGCTGTACCACTCCATGTTCACAGCTCAACACATTAAGACGACATCACTACAGTGCACTTTCTAAAAAATTGCCTGTCTCCAACATCTGGACAGATCTTACCATCAGCTTCCACCGATGACTTGGCTGGCACTTTGAATTCTGCAGAAGATAATGAGGATAAAGCTGTTCTGAACGTTGGCAGTTGGCTTTGTAGCTGCAGACTCGGAACTGTGATATTCGCCACCCCTCCATTCGTAGTCATGCATTCATGGGTGAACTTAGATTACGGACTATTTGATAACATGTCACAATACAAAATGACATATTGTGACCATAATTCGCAATTTAACACTTCTGCACAGGGGTGAGGTCCCTACTCTCGAGTTCAGATGTGACAAACTCATCTGTGCCATGGGCAATAAATTCAGTATGGGCTAAGGATCGCACTGGAGTGGTTTGTTCAGTCTTCTGGGATGAAAATGCACGTTTTCTTGGTGCAGTAATATCTAATGCTCACCTGTAATATGGCATGAAATTCTCATCATGGGAGGTGAGGATTCAAAGATAAATACATGGTGTTGCCTTATTCCCAGACAGTCTTCGGGGTTCGATGAAGGTGTGATGGATATGGACACCGCTATCTCAGTGAAAAGAGATTACCTAAATCAAAGCCTAATCTGGTCCCTGACACTATCGAAGACTCACAAAACCTTGACTTAGAATGCACCATGTTCTTCCAAGGGTACAGTGCCGAGCCAGATGCCATAGACTTGTTCGTGGAGAAGGGCTGGGTTGCAGATGACATCCATTATGAATCAGCATCTCGAACCCTAGATTATTCTTGTGATGTTCTTGTTCTCTCTTTATATGACCAACACTTACCACCTCACTTTGTTTCATTACATCCATTCGGATGATGATTTTGCCATATCTGTGCTCACAGGTCTTCCCAATAAAAGTGAAGAGGAACGATTTTTCCAACAGCGCTTGCTGCGAAATACCTTACTATCTTCAACTCAGTCACTGGTTTTATGGAAGCACTCAGTGCAAGTGGTGCATGGGCGGGTCCCAATAATGGGTGGACAGAAGGCAATAAATGGGCTTATACATTTGACGTGGTACACAATACACCAGGATTGATCGCTCACACAGGTAGCAACACGACATTTGTGGAATTCTTGGATGAGTACTTTGATGGTGGTCAATTCTAATTATGATCCAAATTTGTATTTCATACTGATTTCTTTGGTCCACTTCAGGTCACAATGATCATACCAACGAGGTTTGTTCCTGGCATACAGTATTGAAGCTGCTAACACATTCTTGCAGCTATCCTATCATATTCCCTACCTATATCCCCTCCCTGGAGCTGCATCAAAATGTCAATAACGTATCCGCCAGATTGCAAAGTCAAACTACAATGCTTCCGTCAATGGCCTTAGTGTCGTTCAGACTCCACTGCTAACTTTGGGACCTTTGGTCCATTTTTTGATGAAGTGGAGATCCTATTCCTGTCATCCAATGCCACCAGCCTCAAAATAATCTTGAATGGCACACCAGAGCCTTGGAGTGATTCTCTCGAAATTCTTCACCTCTGTTCATCTGTTCAACCCGCTTGACGACAAAGATTTCGACTTTGAGGGCAATGAGCTGTCTGACTCAGACTACAATAGCCCGTCAAAGTCAGCTGAGCCATTTATCATACCAAAGAGACTTCACATCGGAGATCCCACAAACAGGTGTGTTAGGGATTCATTATTTGATTCCACATGTGGAGATATTGGCTTAGCATGGAGTATTTTCAGGACACGAGGTTCGCCTAACAAGACCAATTGGCCAGTGAGTGTCGTGTTTGTTACCAGTTCTTTTCTGACTCCAACAAGTCCTTTTTGAGAATGTGGAGCCTGTTGAGCTTCCCTATATCCTACCCAATTTATCTTCGTCCATACAGGAACACAAGGTCGACACGAAGACACGCATTTCCCCAGAAACCATGTTACCAACTCCTGTCAATCTTATTAACCGATCCCTTGTATAGCAGCTGCGGGCACTTTTTTTGGCATCTGAGGAAATTATGTCCCACAGGAAGATTGGTTGTGACTTGGACAGTGAAGCAATCAAATTATCAAGTGCATGCTATTTGCTACTCATCATTTAAACCCTCTTATTTCTCAATATTCTTGCTCTTTGCAGGTGGCAGCTGGATCAAAGGCAACCAGTAGGCATATATTCCTGCTCACGCCTCTATATGTGCCACGGGGATGGCTTGATGATCTCACCAACATGAGGTTATGGCCCTCTCATCAATCATGATCAGTTTGTCTTGATCATTAACCCTAGTGCAATACTGACAATTTAAACTTGTTCTGTTTCTTCGAGACCCATAACTGATGCCTACCTTTCAACACTGGTAGTTCGTGGGGTACTTGTAATTGTCCACAAAGGCGACTGCACAGAGTTCTACCAAGATCCTCATACCTACAAGCCCTTCAGTTATATTCAGATACATTCTTCTTCAGGGTTTATCTGGTGTAGCTGGAGAATCTTTGAGTGCCATTGCGCTCGTCGTTGTGAGTTATGTGCAGCTCCTTGCAGAACATGTCAATACTCAGTTACTGAAGGATGCGACACAATGAGGTATGAACTTTTCATTCAACGAATTCTTTCAGTCCTTTCAATACTCATTGGTGAATCTACGGAGGTCACTGCTCAGGGAAAAATGATGACGGATATGCCCTGTCTGCTGGAGGTGCAGCATGCGACATCCTGCAGGCACTCATACAACAGGCACGTTATTGGATAATCAGGTATTGAGCCTCCTTCTACATGTGTATATGTTATCCTAACTGATATCACAGCGATTCCTGTGCTCGAACATAAGCCAAAGTCTGCCAATTTCACAATTGATTGGGTTCCAGCATGCTGGGCTGATATGGCGTCTCTCTCCCCCTGCCTGAGCAACAAAAATGCAACTTCTCGCCTGATCTGCAGATTCGAAGGCTCAACCCAAAGGGCTTTTTGGATGATTTTAGTTGCTCTGGAGCTTTTGCCTCCACTCTCTCGTTTTTGTTGGCTAGGGTCAGTTTTTGATCATCATTATTTTAATTGTTTGTTACAGCCCCACCACGCATCGTGCGATCATCCCTTCATACTTCTATGCTAAATGTCATCTTCGAACGGACTCTCAGGTTACCTACTTACCACCTGCTCTTTTGTATCATGTTCGTAAATTTGCAGTTTTATCCTACTATTCCATCGCTTGATTCATTTAGTGTTTCTGGCTGATATCTTGTCATCCTTAAAAGCTTGGAGTTCGGACAATAACGGAGCAAGTACTGACCATGGACTTTTCTTTTCAATTTAAGGCTCCAGGATACATGTCGCTTCCACACATGTGACATGTGTGGAAGCTCAACATGTACATTTTTATGACCTACCATGAATTCCCGAGTCACAGGCTCTGTGGCGAGGGCTCGATGTTAAACCTAGCAGTCTTGGCACTAGACTAATCCCTTCCTGGCAAGTCAATGGCAGTTGGTGGGACTTCACTGAAAGCGTGTTTGTCATTTGTTTGGCTTGCTTTCTTTAGTACACCCACTAGGCCTCTGGAGCCTCGTACTCGCGCTCAGTCCGCCATACACTCTTCTGATTTGGGGGTAGGTTTCTAGTTTCACAAATGAGGCAGTCACTCACTCCTCGACAGAATGATGTTCTTTGCTCCAGTGTTGTCTGTCAAGATCTACTGCACTTCTGACGTTGTCACCATCTTGATTGTCTCTCCAACGTAGACTGCTATATTTATCCTGTCAATGTAGCTGGTACTAGCTGCCAATAATATGCACATATCCCGCTTGAATGCACACAGCCCCGCGTTTACAATGAATAAGACACTCGGAAGCTGTTCTACTTCTCTATCAGCCTAAGTTGACAGACAAGGTGTATGCAACTGGCATCTGCTAGCTGTGATCACCAAATTAATTGACACTGTCAGTAAATTCCTTTGCCTCCAAAATATATCAATGTCTTCTGTTCCACCAGAATTCAATGAGTTGAGAATCACAATGGCCTCTCCACTGCTCTTGTCTCTCCTGTATCTCTTGTTTCAACAGATCAGCAAATGACTGGTGATGGGGCGTCTGTTGTACTGATCCGTTTTTGACTGACAGATTTCGTTGTCGTGCTGTGCAACCGTGTTTATATACTGTTGCACACCAACCATCAGAATGATATGTCAGAATAAAAGCGCAGACAGATGGTGAGCTGTGTGGAGCTCTTGTGGAGCATGTACGTGGGGGTCAAGCGAATTGCTTGCACAGGAAACATTTCACTTTATAATGTTAGATGTTGATTAAGTGTTCGGTCTACCTTTCCAGAACTTTGTGCTTCAATACCGGACTGTCAAACAACTGTTGGACGGGCCTGGGTGAAGCTGATTTTTCTGGCATCAAACAAGCTATCGCCACACCCTAACATCGCTACAGTACCATGTACATGCACAAATATACAGTGTCATAAGGTCTGGACTCTGGTCCTAAAAACAAGCTAGCCAGTTATGGTCAGAATTAAGTGGAATTAAGTCCTTCCCATATGTGACGGAGAATTCAAGAGGATCACATCCAATCATCAAGTGTTTACAAAGTTACATCTAACATTTGTTTTTTGGCGAGTAGTGCACTTACACACCAGTTTTTTATCAAGTAAACTACCTAGTTGTATTCTACAGTAAGAAAAAAACCCCTTCCCAGTAGAAAACAAAACAAAATCACTTTTGAGACTGCTAGGTCCAAACTCAGAATGTATGTCTGGAAAGTTCAGGTGGCTGTAAAGACTCGAATCGCAGGCGATGAATTCCATTTTCATTTCCGGGAAGACTTGCCGACGAATCCATTCAACACGAGGTAGCAGGTTGCAAGGAAATTACTTACTGGATAAAGGTAGTCTAGACTACGCCCGCCAGACGCGCCACGGGCATGTAGCACATGATAAAAAGGCCTCGGGGTGATGTATTCAATTTCCCAACTCTCAAAGTATTCTCTCGCATTCGCATTCGCAGCACTTCACTTATCGCTGAGAGTCTGCAGATGGACAGCTTACGTGTGCACCGTAGAAAAAGACACGAGCGCACCATGGACTCGTCCAGACTACAAAATCTATCGTCCTCATGGCCAGAGCAGGCCCCTGACCAACATTCAACGAGACTAGTCCGGCAGTCATGTCTCCAGTGCCTCGATCGCCTAGACAAGTTAGAGCGTCGTGTGCACGATGAAATCCAGGAAATCCGCAGCCTCTTTAAGAATATCCTTGAAAATGACCAGTCAGATGTCACGATGGAGAATTCGGGCGAATATGATACCATTATCGACTCCCAAGCTAGACTCAATGGCTTCCATGCTATTCCACCGTCTGCATCTTCGCATAACCACGGCTTCGTGCCACAGCCTGTATTCAATGGAACATCGTTTGGGGTCACAGGATCGCTGTCAGAGGGCACAGGTTCTCCAGAAGGTAAGCTGCTGTATACGCAATCTTTCCTTTAAATGCTTACCGCGTATAGACCAATTGCCCCACAGCACCCGCAGTTTTGCCGACTATGTAACGCCTCAGTACAGCATGTACTCGGAAGGCTTTCCGACATTTGGTGACCCGCGTGTCGCGAAATCGTCATCAGAGAGTGTGGATGCTCGCCTTGGTAGATTTGCTATCATTCGCAGCTTTTCCTTGAAACACTCACAATGTATTTCTAGATTCATCGCCTCGTGGCACCTCCGACTCCGTCTATAAACCCGCTGCGCGACTGTTTGCCCCTGTTGTGCAGGCTAGCCAAGCAAAAGACAAAGTAAAGTGCACCAGGGACGGGTGTTCGACACTCGTCAACAAGGATAACCTGACTCGTCACATCGACGAGGTGCACGAAGGGAAGATTAAGGCTGTTTGTCCAGGCTGCGGACAGGGGTTCAAGCGCCCGAATCTGATGAAGGAGCATATCCTTCGGACCGGATGTGGAAGATCGTAGATCATTATCAAGGGCTGGCTGACTTTTGTATGCGGTGTAATAGGTGCTTATTAAGTGGAGTATGTCCTGTGCGTAGGAAGATGTACAAGCTGGTGAGACGTTTTGGGAAGTTGGCGGAGAGTTTGACGAAGGAAGTGAGGGTAAGCAATAGCACGGGTACGGGTACAGGTATGAGTATGGGTATGGGTCCACGGATATTGGGTTGAACGAGTGAGAGCAACAAGTGAGATCGAGAGTGAGAGCCACGAGCGAGAAGGTGCGAGCCAGAGTTGGAGTGAGAGCCAGAGTGAGAACCAGAGTGAGAGCAGATGAGACTGCGAGAGTAGACAAGCACAAGCAAGTGAGATCACTAGGCAAAAAAGACTGACTAAAAATGAGTGCAATCGATGAAAGCAAGTTCATATAAGATGAAACACTCACAAGTGAACATATGCTTCGTGCGGACAAGCACAAACGAGTGTTTTCAAGGGAGCAAACTTCGACACAGGGTGAAGGCAATGGAAATGCATGCTCGAATCGTCCCATTCTTACTGGGATGAATTGATGCGGAGTTACTGAGGGCCCGTTTGGTAACCGCTCGGTTTTCATCGGTTTTCACTTGAAACGGAAAAGAAATTCAGCAACGCGTTTGTTTCGTTAAATGTCTGTCACGCTGCAAGTAAATTAGTGCGGAGAGGGAGAAAGGTGCTGACAAGATAAACCATAATTCAGTCAGCGCGTCAACAATATTAGGGGTGTTCGACCGGCATGTCCCGGTCCATGAACCTCCAAGGCAACTCAGCGGCATTTATTCCCATTAATCTGCATCGCCTTGTCCGTGGCTCTTGAGTTCGCCGTACTAATTTCACAAATTACTTCGTGCAGATCCATTGAAGTAGTGGAATTAAGCTTACAAGGTGTGTGTGTGTGTTTAAAACAACTTCATCTATGAAAATCTACATTTCGACCGGTCCAGGGTCCCTCAGTTTCCTATACGTGCTGTGCATCATTTCGTCGATCAACATAATTGCAATCTTGATCTTACTCGAGCCCTGGGCCTGAAGGCGTCGATCGGATGTCGAAGCCAATGCGTGACGCAAGCTAATTTATTAATTTTAAGGCTCGTTCGGAGTGAACCGGTGACATGGAAAGGTGCGAACGCAAGTCACTGGCTAGCGATTGCGAGATTCCTGCTTTTGTGATCACATTCAAGGACACTCCGAGTCACTGCAATCGAATTCAAACAGGCTAGTATGACCTTGGACATGCCGGCAGTCAAACTTAAGTTTTAAGTGCAGATCCGATAGAAAATAAGCGCGGTAACACCAGCCCCGACCCTAAGTTTCAAATTGCCTTCCATAAACGGAGCAATCTGGGGAACAGTCTTATTAGTCATGATCATATAGAGCATACAGAGGCGAGCTGGCACCTTGTTAGAAGCGATCCAAGGAAGGGATGGATCACAGCAAGTGCAGAGAGCGCCCTGACTGTATTTTTTGCCATTGTGACTATGCACAGCTTGCTGGGTAGTTTCCCCCTTCAATTGGAAGTACTGGGCAGGTCCGTTTCGGGGTGCTTAGTTATACGATCATCACACTTAGGCTGCAGAGCTCACAACACATACTTGACGTATCTGCTGCCCAAATCTGTACTTTCATGATGTACTGACGCGAGCCACGATCCTGTGTTTGACTCATTCAGAGTCACTGTTCAAATGTCCCCTACACAACCGCCTTCTACAAAGATCACTTGCCCTGTCACATGTCCCGAGATCACAGATGAAGACACTACCACTATTTGGTTTGCAACGTCCAGAGTTGTCCCAAGTTTTTTCAACGGAGTGCTGATAAAGAAGATAAGCCACTAAGTAGGTGAAAAGAATGACCACGACTTACGCGGCTAATACAGGTCCGCTGACAGCTGGATCATTCAGAGCCTCTTGTACCATCGGGGTCGGAACCCATCCAGGTGCAATACAATTCACACGTCCCCTGGGTGCGATCTTCACGATCTCACTCTTGAGTGTCGTCGTCAAGCCATACATCATCGCTGCCCGTATCCGTGCTTAGCACATAGCTGATTCACGACAAACATAAAACTCACCACTCTTGCTGATAGCATAATCGCTGTGATTCGCTTCGCCATATTTGCCTGATGTGCTCCCGATGAGCACAATTGCAGCCCTATCTTTCACGCTTTCTGTTGCTGTACGCAAGTGGCGCAAGAACTCACGGCAGACCAGGAAGCTTGAGGTGAGGTTTGCACTGATGGTGTGGTCCCATTGTTCAATGGTCATATCGACGATAGGTACGTCCTGGGGCGACCATATGCCATGGTTGACCACGATTACTGCCACAGGGCTGAACGGCGTCCCTGACAGCGCGTCGAACATACTCTTCACGGCAGACTCAGGAGAGGTCTGCCTGTGCGCATTGGAGTGCAGGGAAGTTGACTTGGAGATTCTGGATGGGTTTGGAGTTGGAGATGTAATGTGCAGTCACGTTTGCACCGAGGGCTGGAAAGAAAAGATGGATATCAGTCACATCTCTGAAGGCACAAAGGATGGAATTACACAAGTAGAGTTTGACGGTCTCAAGACCGATGCCTCCGCTTGCGCCTGGAACGTGGGTGAGGAAATCATGAGCAAGCTGACGAGGGAATGACTGAACCTGTTACAAGTACATGAATGGTTTTCAGCCCTAACTTATCCAATGTCTGACTCTGATTATCGAGGAAACGAGGTCAGGACAAGTGGAGTTATTTCTACAGTGGTCAATCCCACGAAGTTTCCCAAGCCGAAGGGTCACTGATGCCAAGCGAGAAGCCGCAGTATGCGTTCGCAAGCACACCCGTCGATGCGTGCGTGCGCCGTGTTCTTCAATTCCATATGGTGTCGCTGCCACGCATGTCTAGGGAAGCAGCTCCTGTCATGAACCTTGGACTGTTCGTCGTGTTTTGCTACCTAGTACTTGCTGATAATTCTGTTTCGATTATGTTGAGCTTTATTACAATTCAGGTTACGTTGACTTGCCATGTGCATGGCCCCAAAATCAAAATTAAGTTTGCAGAATATAAAGGCAACGGTTGGGGTATGCCCCTGATAAGATCAAGCCTGCAATCGTATGGAAAGGAGTTCGCGCGCCCGAAGGACCATATATATCGGGCCGCTATGCATGAGAGTCTGTACACTGTAGATAAGCTGTAATTGGGAGACCGTTAATCGACCGCATGACATGCATATGCCTGCAGGGAGTGAAAAATGTCGCCATGCCTTGTTTACCGGTCCTGCGATGCAAACAGCACCAAACATGGTCCAAATATACATTCCGTTCTGTTAGAACCGATCCAAGGGACAAGACGACTCGGATCTGATCTGATCTCCTCCCAACTGACGCACCCGACTTCTTATGTAAGTCAGGCCCTCAGATATGCCAAATGTGCAACATATGTCTTCTAGACACTAGCGTGACCACTCGGAAAGCGCGGAAGATAATGTCAAGGCAGGCGCTAGAAATGTTATACGATCCACTTGCGTCCCTTATCTAGACTTGAAGCTTGACAGAGTAAGAAACTTTTGCATATTCCGGGATTCTGCTTCTCTAGACACTAGCTTGGAAAGCACAGAAGATGATGTCAAGGCAGGCGCTAGAAATGCTATACTAACTTCTGCACATTCCAGGATTCTGCTTCTTTGTCGTCCCTGGTCATTCTTAATGATCCTGTACCGCCTTCTCAACCACAGCATTCATGCATACCCACCTTCATTTATCTCATTGCAATAGAGCTCATTCGGCAGTCCGCCTGACGGCAATCTCATCAGTATCCAGATGGAACATTGCTATTGCTCGGTCCCAACCACTGTCTGCTATCCAATCGTTTCCAGTTGCTTCGGGTAACAATCACGTACTGCAACGCTAGATGGATGTCAGCAACAACGCCCTGCCAGAAATATGGACAACACAGCTCGTTCCACCTGCCAGGCGAATATCAGATCATCGCCCGTTCAAGCAGCGACCTGCGAGTATGGAACTTGGAGAGTGGTGACCAAATAACCTATAGGATAAGACTAACGAGATGGAGAAGGCGCACCATAAGTAAGCTACCTGTTGTCTCCTGACCGGAAGATGTGGGTAGTGGTGATGAGATTGTGGGATACCAAGAGAGGCAAGGTGTTCGCCAAACACCAGTTTGTCTGTTAAAGTCAAGCTGTAGGGTGAGTGATGAGTGGATTTGCTAAACGATGGAATGACAAGGGGGACGCGGAGAATCATTCAATACAGGGCATTCCTACGTGGGTACAGTCATCTATGGGTGTTGTTGCCTGTTATTTCTAGAATCCCAGTCAAGATGTGGACTGCACATAGTATAGATATGATTTATTGACGTACTTTGTTGTTCAGTGCATTCCTTCGAATATTGCGTCAAAGTCCATTTCGCTGCGTGACCTCTCGCAGAGCAGAGGCATATATTTCTCGACATAAGTCAGGTTTTCAGTGAACGAAAGCTGTACACGTCCTGTAAGCGACGGCGCAGACTGATGAGCGCCAAGATCAATCGTGAAAAGACCCAGAGTTCAGATCAAGTTCTAAATCAAGGGTATAAATCGCATGCGTCTGGTCGAAGCGCACACCGCTGCGGCTGGAGTGGGATGGCATTGACGCTGCGCTGTATCATCCTGTACCTGACATCCTGCATCATTCCTCTGTCATTTAAGGACTTCTACATCAAAAAGCACTACTCACATGCAATTGAGGAAATGTCTCGGTGACGTCGAGTGCTGTGCCAGTGCTGCTTGCCGCTCCAGAAAAATTTCTGCTGATGCATCGCGTGGCGACACGATTGGGTCGACATTTGGGGACCAGACTGCTCACTCCACAGAAGTTGCTCGCCGGATTGCTCACTGTAACCTCGGGAGTAGATTGTTTTTACCTCCGAGAACAAATTTGTACTGCGCCTCGGTCAATTTTACCAACAGATCAAAGGTATATGTCTAACAAAACATCGTGAGATGCGTGGTAATCCTCAACATGCGTACTTACCTCGGACCAGGTCTTGAAGGGGTCATACCAGCTATTTTTTCTCCTTCCTGCCACTGCAGCAGCATCGTTGATTTTCGTAGTACCAGGAGGGAGGCTCAATCATGATGTATCCACCGTTACAATTGTAGCGTTCGCTATGGTGCTGAGGGCCCTGACTGACTGGACCGTGGTGGTTACTAGTTCATGCATTGGCGCTCACACAAGCGGTTATCTTGATATGTCGTCAAGGGTGATAAGTTGCAACGTTGGGATGTTGATAAGATGGAAGGCAGTGACTCCGACTGCAAATATGAAGGCATGAGCAAGCATAGGTTCGTGAGTAGACCTCCAAGCGAAGAGAGATGTTGTGAATGTGATGGCCGAAGCGTACCTAAACTCAACATTTGCATCAGCCTACGAGCTGTGGAAGACCAGATGCTAACATGTGCATAAGGGCGCTCCGCGAAGAAGAACTCCTCATGTGATTCATGAACCTCGAGATCTAAACCAGATTCGTCAATCGAGGCACGTTCACATATGCGCTATACTCACTTTGAGTCAGACATTCAACGATGCTACCCAAGATTCTTGTCTCAGCTCTGAGTTGGTGGCACGGGTCGATGTCATGTATATTGTGAACAGCGATGATGAGGACCGTGGATTAGACGATGACGACGAGGGTTTTGATGGATGCGATGATGAACAAGAAAATGATGGTGTTGGGGATAACGGCGGTGAAGGGGAAGCTGCAGACGACGATTTCGATTGTGTCTCTTTCCAATTCTGCCTGGAACTGGTAAGAGTGAGCGAACGTGCACTTCGGCGGTTGCGCGAGCAGGGTGGTACTCACCTGCTAGATGGGCTGTAATGAGATCACTGACTGAAGCAAGAGCTGAACAAGAAGGACGGAAGGAGAATTTAGCTGATCCATCAACGCCATCAAAGCTGTCTTCGCATAAGAGGCTGATCGATCGCAGAGCTGCGGATAACATGGTCGTACTATTAGATAGCCGTTTGGATGACCAAAGAGAAGGGAAACCTAAAAATGGGATCAACGTCAGGGTTCAGCTTAACCACGAGAACGTCAACCAAATTACTTCTCGACCCACTAACTCTGTCGGGACATCAATCATTTAATACAAAATTTATTTAACGTCGTGAACGACAAATGTTCAGCGTTCTCGAGGACAAATGTGGCGATAATCTAACAGTAATGAGTAAGACTAACAAAAACAAGAACGAATCTAGACTGACTCAAAAAATGAAACATCCGATGCCGAATAAAGTTCATGGGGTATACACCTCACCACGAAAATGACAGGGAGAAAACATATCATCAAAATCAAAACAAAGGCCTCCTAGGAGTCGGGGATGATCGATTTCTCGCTTCTCTTCGAACGTTCGGATATTTGGAAGCTCTGGATCTTGTGCAACAACAGCATCAGGAGAGCGCGAATGATACTGCACAAAATGACGTTGAGCATCGAGTGTCTGCGTCTGAGAATGTTGAATATCGTCAAATTGAAAACACATGGACCGCCGAGCAGCGGCGCGTGAGCGTGATGATCAATTGCGAAAGGGACAGGCAAGATGAGTCGAGAAAAAATAACGCCTAGGAATCCCACCGAAGCGAATTGGACGGCATGCTCGTGCGCTATTCCAAGGTATTGTTCGCCAGTGAACATCGAAAAATGGTCAATGATGCGACCGACAGTCACGGGCAAGAGATTGCCTAACGGAAACTGGTCTACAAATCGCAAGCAAACTCGGTACCCAAAGTACTGGCGTAAATTTAATGTGCGTCGACAGAACGGAGCTTCCATCGTTGGGAAGTTTGACCACCAGAGCGACGGACGAGCCCGAGCACCGTGATCTGAGTCCAGGGTCCAAACAAGGGGAACACCAACAAACAACACAATCATAGGCATAAAAGGTCCGATCCTAGGAACCGGTTCAAACATGAAGTTTTGGGCTGCCTGGTTATTGTCACCGAGCAATTTTGGGTAGTCATTACAGCGCCCTCCTATCGATAGCTGCACTATATATACATACTAGATGCTACAAGACAATCGACTTCTTGAATATTCAATCTGTCTCTTGCGAATGAATGAAAATGACATACGAATCATGCACGTCTGTGGAAATTCACGGTCACAACGCACATAATTGAATCGTTCTGTTCGAGCTACAACGTCACAAACCAGACTTGAATAAATTGCGCTGATTGAGTGCAAGATTCACTGGACCGTCATCGGGTAAAGTCAGCCGGTGATTAGGATAAGCATATATGGTGTAGGCTTGCCGCATTGTCCATTCATTGGAATCCATCGTGCATCAAAATGTATCGGTGTCAGTAGTCAATGGATAAAACGCTCAGATTTAACTGGATCATCTTACTTCTTATCATCCAGCATGGCAGGTGTGGATGATGGATGATTAATGCAGTCGGTGTCGGTGATCGATACGGCTGCTGTCATTACCCCCCACGCAGAGTTGAGGGACTCTCGGACGAATCATAGAGACTAGCACTACAAGCACAATGTCAGTCTCGTGTGCGGTACCCAGCTATTTCTCTCCTTGCGATGCACAACAGATCAAGATCCCATGATGTCGTAAAAGCGTCTGTTGGTCTCTATTCGCATTGGTTCAGAATTCCGTCACACGTAAGACAAAGTGTCGCCATACCGGGTGTCGGTAATTCATTTTAAAGCTTGCCATGTAACATGAGTCTCCAATCTTCTTGGAAGTCCGGATTACGCCTGCCAGACACGCTGCGGAGCATATGGATATAAAGCTGGGTTCAATCTCCCAACTCTCGCAAGTATTCTCCTCACATTCGCAGTCGCCTATAGTTCACAAACGCGAGCGCAGCATGGATTCATCCACACCAACGCTACAAAGCCCGTCGTCATCACAGTCATGGCAGGTCCCTAATCAACAACCAACGGAACTAGTCCTGCAGTCATGTCTCCAGTACCTCGACCGCCTTGACAGCTTAGAGCGTCATATGCACGAGGAAATACAGGAGATCCGCAGTCACTTTAGAAACACCATTGACAGTTATGAGTCAAATGCCACAATGGCGGATTCGGACGGATGTGATAGTGTTGTAGACTCACCACAAGCTGGACTCGATGGCCGCAACGCTATTGCTCGCCGCGGTGAATTTACTATCATTCGCAGCTTTTCCTCGAGACACTTACAATGCATCCCCAGGTTTACCGCTCCGTGGCACGTCCGATTCCGTCCATGAACCCGCTGCGCAACTCCTCCAGGACATTAATTTCGAGGAGCGTGTCCCATCAAGTTCTTCAGTCAGACCCGACACACAACTGCCTGTTCCCGTTGTGCAGGCGAGCCAAGCCAAGGGCAAAGTAAAATGCACTAGGGACGGGTGTTCGACACACCTCAACAAGGACAACCTCACTCGTCACATTAACGAGGTGCACGAGGGGAAGATTAGGGCTGTTTGTCCAAGTTGCGGACAGGGGTTTAAGCGCCCAATTCTGATGAGGGAGCATGTCCTTCGGACCGGTCCGTTTCGGGGTGCTGAGTTATACGATCATCACACTCAGGCTGCAGAGTTCGCAACATATACTTGACGTGTCTGCTGCCCAAATATGTGCTTTCATGATGTACTGACGCGAGCCACGATCCTGTGTTTGACTCATTCGGAGTCACTGTTCAAAGGTCCCCTACACAACCGCCTTCTACAAAGATCACTTGCCCTGTCACATGTCCCGAGATCACAGATGAAGACACTACCACTATTTGGTTTGCAACGTCCAGAGGTGTCCCAAGCTTTTTCAACGGAGTGCTGATAAAGAAGATAAGCCACTAAGTAGGTAAAGAGAATGACCACGACTTACGCGGCTAATACAGGTCCGCTGACGGCTGGATCATTCAGGGCCTCTTGTACCATCGGCGTCGGAACCCATCCAGGTGCAATGCAATTCACACGTCCCCTGGGTGCGACCTTCACGATCTCACTTTTGAGTGTCGTCGTCAAGCCATACATCATCGCTGCCCATATCCACGCTCAGCACATAGCCGATTCACGACAAACATAAAACTCACCACTCTTGCTGATAGCATAATCGCCGTGATTCGCTTCGCCATATTTACCTGATGTGCTCCCGATGAGCACAATTGCAGCCCTATCTTTCACGCTTTCTGTTGCTGTACGCAAGTGGCGCAAGAACTCACGACAGACCAGGAAGCTTGAGGTGAGGTTTGCACTGATGGTGTGGTCCCATTGTTCAATGGTCATATCGACGATAGGTACGTCCTGGGGCGACCATATGCCATGGTTGACCACGATTACTGCCACAGGGCCGAACGGCGTCCCTGAGAGGTCATCGAACATACACTTCACGGCAGACTCAGAGGAGAGATCTGCCTGTGTGCATTGGAGTGCAGGGAAGTCGACTTGGAGATTCTGGATGGGTTTGGAGTTGGAGTTGTAATGTGCAGTCACATTTGCGCCGAGGGCTGAAAAGTGATGTCAGTCACATCTCTGAAGGCACAGAAATGATGGAATTACACAGGTAGAGTTTGACGGTCTCAAGGCCAATGCCTCCACTTGCGCCTGGAACGAGGATGAGGAACTCATGAGCGAGCTGACGGGGGAATGACTGAACCTGTTACAAGGACATGAATATTTTTCAGCCCTAAATCCATTGTCCGACTCTGATTATCGAGGAAACGAGGTCAGGATAAGTCGAGTTATTTCCACAGTGATCAATCCCACGAATTCGCGTTTCCCAAGCCGAAGGGTCACTGACGCCAAGCGAGAAGCCGCAGTATGCGTTCGCAAGCACACCCGTCGATGCGTGCGTGTTCTTCAGTTCCATACGGTATCGCTGCCACGCATGTCTAGGGAAGCAGCTCCTGTCATGAACTTCGGGTTGTTTTGCCACCTAAGTACTTGCTGTTTCGGTTGTGTTGAGCTTTGTTACAAGCTATTTTGACTGAGATAAGACTAGGTGCAGGTGGTACAAACCGTCACACTGCCTCCGACGTCGTCCCGTCGGAGTAGCTGTTACCATAAACGACGATACCGGCGGTAATTCATATTAATTGTGCCTGTTGTGTGCCTTTGTTTCTTGTGGTACGATAATTGGAGCTGGCACTTCTCCACAGTCCTTCACCACGCCAGTACAACTACTGCGCTCCAAACGACGGCGAAATTGCTAGAAAAATAAGGATTTCGGATTAATAAAATTTCTGCCGTCGCAGCCATGCCTCGTGTGCCATCTGGGAGCGCCTCATTCATACATACGCTCGATGGTAACTTCGTCGATAACGCTGGTCGTACCCTTCTATTACGTGGCGTAAACCTATCTGGTTCCTCCAAGGCACCTGTGAACCAGCCCTCTCAAGTCCTAGATGGATTTTGGGAAGAAGCTAAGATTGGGAGCGAGAGCTTCATAGGCCGGCCGCTGAAGCTGGAGGACGCGGACGAACACCTCGCCCGCCTGCGGGGTTGGGGTTTCAATATGCTACGCTTTCCTGTAACCTGGGAGGCTCTAGAACATGAAGGACCGTGAGTGCTTGATTAACGTGGTCTCCAGCCTGTGATGACAGTGGTTCCACCAGAGGGAAATATGACCATGAATTTATGGATTATACTATAGAGATACTGCGGAAATGCAAAGCACATGGGTTCAAAGTTTATTTGAATCCTCACCAAGATATCGTAAGCTTCTTCACAAAGACATTGCTATGTTTCTGTTTCTTAATCTATCATTCAGTGGTCTCGGTTTTCAGGCGGTTCGGGAGCGCCTTATTGGACACTCGCTGCATGCGGTTTTAATCCATGTGCATTCAGTGCCACCCAAGCAGCCATAATTCATTGCGAGTATCCCACTCCCGCGTCCCGCAACCCCGCAGAAATGCCTGCCATGATATGGTCAACAAATTACGGAAAACTTGTCTCGCAAACCATGTTTGCGCTCTTTTTCGGTGGCTCAACCTTCGCGCCAAAATGCATCATTGATGGAGTCAACATTCAGGAATACCTCCAGACGCATTTCGCAAACGCTTTTGCAGAGTTGGCGCAGCGAGTGGCAGCAGCCGGTGACCTTCTTGACGAAGTCGTCATCGGTTGGGACAGCATGAATGAGCCAGCAGAAGGGCTCATTTCATGGGATGACCTCAATGCATATCCACAGCAACAGGGTTCCACGCTCAAGAAGGGCACCGTTCCGTACCCAGCGCAGAGCTTTCGTCTCGGTATGGGCCAGGTCCAGACGCTTGACAACTACTCTTTTGGTTCCATGGGTCCAAAGCGTGATGGCAGTGTCACCATCGACCCCAACGGTGTCAAGGCATGGGCTGACCCCTCAACAGAGCCAGGAAACATTCACCCGCGCTGGGGCTGGAGACGTGACCCTGGTTGGACACTCGGTAAGTGCATATGGGCCTTGCACAATGTATGGGATGTGGAGAGCGGATACGTTCTGCAGCCCAACTATTTTGCACATATCCCAGGGACAGAAGAACCCGTCCATTTTCTGCACGCCTTTTTCCTTCCCCAATACACTCTTTACCTAAGAGCAATTAGAGCGCACCACCCACAAGCCATCGCGTTCGTGCAGCCGCCCGTGTTTGCACAGCCTCCTGCGATACCTGAGGAGCTGTTGCTGGGTAGGGCGTGCTATTCAACGCACTATTACGATGGTCTGACGCTCGTGACACGCCACTGGAACTGGTTCAACGCGGATGCCCTTGGTCTTATACGGGGGAAATATTCAACACAGTTACAGGCTTTACGCATAGGTGAACGCGCCATACGGAGCAGCCTTCAAACCCAGCTCGGCTATCTCAAGGCAGACGCAACGCAACTAGGTGCGCTTCCACCCACCGGTCCAGCCCGATACCCAACTATCATTGGAGAAATTGGAACACCTTTTGATATGGATGCTAAGCGCTCGTATGGATACACTGATGGTGGCAAGTACAAGGGCGACTACTCACGGCAAGAGCGTGCCCTTGATGCAAGTTTGAATGCGGCGGATGGTGAGAACTGCTTGAACTGGACAGTATGGACATACTGCTCCGATAATTCGCACCCGTGGGGGGATGGGTGGAATATGGAGGATCTTAGCTTATGGTGTAGCGATGACCTACGCACAGGAGAAGCGGAAAGGGTTCCAGCCCTGCGGATACCCTCCAAAATTTCAATGGGTTCATTAGCGCCAGCACAAGCGTCAACCTTTACTATATCAACTCTTCCAACGTATTCTTCGCCTTATGCCACCTCTAGCGTTGAAGAGGTCGAACCTGTGCAGTACGAACCCGCCTCCCTCCTTTCATTCCTTACAAACGGCGCTCGCGCCGTACGCGCTTTCTGTCGCCCATGGCCAATAGCGGTGGTTGGTACTCCTACGAATATCCAGTTCGACATATCCAAAGCGACCTTCCATCTTACTATCAAGGTCAACGCAGAAGATATACCTGTTGACGACGACGACGACCTAGTACCAGGAAAGAAAGGATTGTGCAAGGATAGCTCCTTACCCACTGAAATTTTCTTGCCTCTCGTCCATTTCGCCTCAGACGCTTGCTTAACTAAAGCACTCGGTTCTAAAGCCCAGGACCAAGTCGATGATTCCATGGATGTCGAGCAAGAAGGGAGCAGCCGCAGTACGTCAGGAACGACAACACCTCGCGTATATACATCATCCACGCTCACCCTTCCTCTGACTTCTCAAGCGGCGATGTTGCCAGTCGTATTCAAGGACGACTGGTACGACATCACTGTCACTGCATCTGAGGGCCGAGTAGAGCTTCTCGCGTCGGAGCAGAAACTTCTTTGGTTTTACACCACGCCAATGGACGAGAAGGAGGACAATGAGCTGACGATAGAGGTGCGTCGTTCACCGGGCGCCATCAAAGCCACCGCCCTCGGACTTGGGTGTACCGGTGAGAGTAGAGCGAGAAACGGGTGCGCCGGATGGCTGGAGCAGGCGGGATTACTGAGCGAAGGATGGTGTGAGGGATGTTCGATCATGTGAATTGGAGGTTTATTGGACGCTGACTATCATGTTCACCTATGTATAAACATAGTAGTATACACCATATAAATATCAGACTAGTACGTTGCCTTTGCTTTCCTGTATAACTTAGTGTTTTTCAAGTCATGCGCGCTCTCAAAATTCTCTGACTATGGTGGTGCGGTTACATTTTCTGAAGCGGTGGAAACACCGGCGCTGTCAGATCCCCGGGCTAGAATAGATTTCGTCTGTCTTATTACCAGTGTCTAGCTATAGTGATTATAATTATGCATATATCCTCAAAGCCATCCACGCTTCAGCAAAACTCCTTTGCCTACTGCTGGTAAGGATGTCGTCGTCCAGGGCACTGTGCAGAGCATCACCGGAGATCGGTGCATTGTGACTGTCAAAGACATCGCATTAGGACCTTCTGACATGGTTATTGCTACTGAGGACGCTTCCAAGATAGTTCCTCCCACTAGTACCCTCAAGCAATTTGAACCGTGCCCGACTTGCGAACAGATCCTTTTGCTCACGATCAATCGTGTCCAGCGTTATCGAGAGTCAGAATGTGAAGAGACACGTTGTGCTTATTATCAGAGGCGAACGGAGAACAAGACTGTGCGAACATTGCATTTCCTGACTTACTACTGTAAATACATTGAATGGCATAGGCCTACGCCTTCGTAACTCCATGAACCGAAGGCGAGTCCTTGTATATATACAGACAACTTTACCGATTGGCTCCGAACTAGATGTTGTACCATCAACCCTGATAATACCAAAGCGAAAACAGAAACATGACTCACTGTCGCGACGTGTCTCTCAGGCTGCCGGCTCAATCCTCAATCGACTACTGTTGGTAACTGGCAGGTCTTGCCTGATCCCGGATACTAGGGTGCACAGGTGAGCCATGGATGCACAGCGACCTGCTCATACTCACACGATAGAAACAAATATAGCCACTGCAGCACTCTTGAGTGGTCTGGCAAGTCACTTCGGGATCATTGCCAGGCAAACATGGAGTTGCTGCATTGACAGACATGGATGCTGTCAAAGCGACAACAATGGCGAGGAGGGAGAAATGCATTTGCTGTGTGAAGTGATGTGGAATCTTCTGAGGGGGTTCTCGAATGATATCGCTAAGAATGGGGGACTACTATAGGACAACGACCAGCTTTCATATCATGCATTGGCACGATCCTGATTGATTTGGCAGAATTGTTGTTGCTGTCGGATGGCACAAATGGAGACAGAACCTGCAAGAACCTATTCGAGTGGTTACGACCTTTGTGTGAAAACCCAATCTTACCCATCACTTCTTCATTTGAACATGCAGCGACCCTGCCAGCGCAGCCACAAAGTTTAGAAGTTGACTGTTCAGTGGACCACGAGCAAGAGTAGAGACAGCCTTCATTTGAACATGCAGCGACCCTGCCAGCGCAGCCACAAAGTTTAGAAGTTGACTGTTCAGTGGACCACGAGCAAGAGTAGAGACAGCCTTCATTTTCAGATACATTCATATTGCTCGAGTAGTACGAAAGCAACTGTACTGATGGCCCCGAACTAGGTATTGCACCATCAGCCATGATGCCAAAGATATGACTCACTATTTCGACGTGTCCCTCGAGCTGCCAGCTCAATTTCGACCGACTACTGCTGGCAGATCATACATGATCCCGGACCCTAAGGCGCACAGGTGAGTCATTGGTTAAATCCTGCACAACGACCTGTTCATACTCACAGCAACATAGGCACACATATGGTCGCTCATTACTGACTTCAAGCACTGATGAGCACCTCCCATCTCCCCGCCGCTGCATATAGCTGCAGGCTTGGAAGATTGTTTTCAGGCTCCGCCCCAAGTCTACCTTATGGCCATGCCATGCTCGCTGTCCTTCCGCCCATCTTTCTCATCCGCCTCCTTCCTGTGTTTCCTGCACGCCCCTCTTCCTGCACACCCGCATCCTCATTGTCCTGCACGTCTGTGCCCGCCTCATCATGTCTTCACTGATCCGGGAGCAAAAGGATCTGGCGGGGTGGCTGTGATCCCGCTGCTTACGATCATGTAAATTTGTGGATCGTTCATACTTACCATACGAGAACAGACATGTCTGGAACGTCAGACGCGTAAAATTTCGTTGACGGAGAAAAACTCTCGCAAATGTACGCTGACCAGATGTGACCCATGATGAATGAAGGATTTTTGAAAAGTGACCTCAAGTGGTGGCTTTAGGATTCAAGGAAGTTGAAGCTTATAATACAGTGACTATCGTCCTTTTATACGCGAATAGCATACCCTTCCGTTGACGAAACAGAAGGCGGCAATATTGTGGTGACTCGGCGCCGGATGCTACCTTTATTCCTTCCCTCGAATTAATTGCAGATCCTGATAGCAATTTACACGAATTCATAGAGCCAGTGGAGTCCCTGAACGACTTTTTGACCCGAAAATTTCGCCCCCAATATTTTCTAGTTGTTTATATACCTTTAAATTACTAGTAACTATTTCTCAAGAAGTCATAAGCGCTCTCAAAATTCTCTGACTGTGGTGGTGCGGTTACATTTTCTGAAGAGGTGGAAACACCAGCGCTGTCAGATTCCCGGTGCAGAATACGTTTTGTCTGTCTTGTTACCAGTGTCTGGCTATAGTGATTAATGTAATTATGCCCGACGACAGCTCATCGCACTGATCGCGAAGGCGACCTCGGAACGGGCTGGAACGGACCGGATATACATAATATGAACTCTCGGCTAGATGAAGCTCTCTCCATCACGATCATGTCCACTGCAAATTATGGAGACATAATAGAAGTAACCGCCCCCGCTGATTTTCATGTTCATCTCAGGGATGGTGAATTATCAAGGCTCGTTACCCCCCACGTCCATGAGGGTGGTTTCTATCTTGCCTATGTCATGGTACGTGCTAATTACCTCTCAGTTCATAGAACAACGATCAATTTGACGATCACAGCCAAATCTCGTGCCTCCAATTACCACTACGGAGATGGCAATCGAATACAAGAAAAGGTTGAAGGAGTACTCTGGATCATTCAAAGTGGAGTTCCTCATGACGCTCTATCTTTCCGACGCTCTCCATCCCAACGATGTCAAGAATTGGAAGGCTGCGGGTATTGTCGGCGTCAAATCATATCCCCGTGGCGTAACCACGAACTCGGATGAGGGAATCGAGAGCTATGATAAGTACGACGAACTATTCAAAGCGATGGAGGTGCATGGCATCGTGCTTAACCTTCACGGAGAAATTCCATCCGACCACTCCAAAAACATCTGCGTCCTCAACGCTGAGGAACGTTTCCTTCCCGTTCTCGCAAACCTAGCGAACAAATATCCCAAGCTGCGTATAGTTCTCGAACACGCAACGACTGCAGCAGCCATCAATGCTGTCAAAGCCTGCGGTGACAATGTCGCATGCACAATCACAGCGCACCACCTCTCCCTCACAGTCGACGATTGGGCAGGCCAATCTTTCCACTTCTGCAAACCTGTCGCCAAGTTTCCAGATGATCGTCGCGCTCTTCAGGAAGCTATCAAATCCGGCAATAAGAAATTCTTCCTCGGCTCTGATTCTGCACCGCATCCGAGCCTTTCAAAATCGACAGCGACAGCTACAAGCGGGTGTGCAGCAGGAGTTTATACATCTCCTATCCTTCTCCCCCTCGTCGCGCACCTCCTCGATTCGTTCGGAGCGGTCGACAGGTTGGCTGATTTTACGAGTAATTTTGGGCGCGGATTTTATCAGATTCCGGCGGATTCAGACGCTCCGAGGGTTTTTGTCGAGAAGGTGCAAGGCGTGAGCGTGCAGGCTGAATATAGTAGTGAGGGGAAGACAGTCGTGCCTTTCTGGGCAAACAGACAGATCGAGTGGCAGATCGTGAATATCAAGGAATGATCGAGGGGCGAGATGTTTGAAGGCGAAAATGAACGACCGTTTTCGTTCGTGAAATGGTCTGACTATGGGAGACTGGTTCTCGCCCACACTGTGATTCAACTTTGTACTTACATGGCATGTAAGCAGTCCACTCACCTTGTAACCTACATTTTGCAAACTTTAGTCGCATGCAGCTGCAGGTTGAGCATATTGTCATGGTCATGACGTGAACTTGGACCACTGCTCTCATAGCTACCATCCAGGCGAGACTCTCGCCGTGATCCTTGACATAGCCAGCTTGCATGGACACTTCCAATTCTTATTTTCACGTTCTCTATGTTTGGCTTATAATCGCCCACAGATTCACCTGTAGGTCGTCGGTCCTTACATGTTATGTTTGTCGAGTACAAGAAATGAAATTCCGATACATAAGTGAGCGTCTCCGGTAAAGGGAGGCTCAAAAGGTACAAACCAGTGCAAAACGGGGGAATAAAGCTGATCCTTGTTTCAGCGGCTCGCTGCCACCAATAACGGATCGAAAGCAGAACATCATACATCATGACTTGATCAACCATGGCTTGTTGGTGATTGTCCAGTCATCGATGAGCTGCCAAAAATGCGCCACAACAGACTTGTCAATGTGTCGTCTGTGTGGATCGATCTAGCGTGATGTTATAAGCCTAAATAAAAAGATGGAAAGGCCAAAGCACACCTTCAGTTCCGTGACATTCCAGTCTTTAATCTTTGTGTTGGGCGGGTCATTTGCCCATGAAACATATACGCCTTTCACTAAAGCAGCCCGCGATCATCAGCGATTGGAATCACAGTGAGAGGAGAACTGCGTACCGTGATGGAACAGAGCTCGGGGTTCACTCCACCGGTACGGACGGAATTGCCATGCTTGGCCGGTGGTCATCACGCAGACAACACGTTCCCATGCATCCGCACCAAATTTCTGCAAAGCGTCAGTGCTATCAACAACAAAGTACCGTTGAATGTCCCCGCGAGACGTAGACGTAGGTTGTGAGGATGAAGAAGGCGGTACACGCCGCCTGTCAATATGAATGACATCCTCAGCACGGGAATTGCCTGCAGCTGCGGCACGTTCACGCGCGGCCGTGGAAGACTCAAATCTACAAGAGTAAGACATCAATAATGAGAACTATTTGGTTTGTGGAGTAGAACGCACAGTGATTCTTGAAGGAAACGCTTGACATTATGCATAGTTATAAGAGCAGTCGGAGAAGAGGAAATCATGATGATAGGGTACAAATTTTCTGCAGCCAATTGAGAGTTTTGAGTAAGATGTTCAAGACGAGAACTTACTAGCTTTGCGGGACTGCATGGGAAGACCAGCAGTTGGGGCAGGAACTGGGCCAGCCCCAGGTTTTGTCTCCTTAAGCTTCTTCAATCTTTCAGAGTATGTAGCTCGTAAGGCAGAGAAGTTCTGGAACGCGGTTGGTAAAACAGATGCAGGATGGGATTCAGACTTACATTTGGTTTTATTCCTCGGAGTACAGTATTCCTGTCGCGCAGCTCAACCTCGTTCTGCTTGATCCGTTTTACAACTTCAACATCTTGTTGATCAGCAACGTAACGTCGCTTTGAGGGAGTGGTGGTATCTGCAGTATGCGCTGTGCGCTTCGGAGTAATTAGGGGCATTGTGGCTGCGCCGGGGTGGGTAGGTGTGCCTGGAGGTGTTGTTGACTCTGCTGCTGCAGGAAGCTCGGTGACATCTCCAGGTAGAGTTTACATATCCACACACCTGCAAGTGACACTATTCGTTTCAAGTCATTTACCTTGCCTTCCAGCCATTCGACAATGCTTTTCCTCTCCGTAACGCTCACGAATCCCACTGCAAGACCGTTGTCCCGAGCCTGTTTCATGTATTCTGCAACAGGCGCATCACGGAGGAGCCATGCTAAATATACGGCTTCAAGGGTGAAGAAATCCGACGGCGAAGATGCAGAGGTTCCAGGTTTCGAATAGCGTGTTGGAGTTGATTTTGGAAGCGAAAGAGTCGGAGACAGAACGATGTGGGATGCAGCAAGAAGGGAAGTTGTAGGCTCAGAATTTGCGACATACGTTATTGGAGATTTGGTTTTGATCGCATGACGTAGAGCCAATAGCGGGTCTGAGTCCATCGTTGAGCTCATCGTAGTTGGTGAGCAAGAAAGCGCTGTTAATAGCAAGTCAATAAGTACTAAAACCCACAAGACACAGCGCTAAAAGGGGCTTACATAATGAGATTGAGCGACCCCTCAATAAGCGGTCGACAGTGTGAAGGCTTGGTAAGTAACTTTGGTTCAGCAACCCGCAGGTGCTGTGTCTTTCGAAAGGTATAAGTTGTGCTATCACGCTCATTGAAGACGTCTCGTTCTGCTTGTTTTACATTTCCTCTGGTAGTCTATTGACAATTCTCGGGTGTTCAAGTCGGTCCAGGCCCGACGGCTTTGAGCTGACGTGCGGATTCGGCATAGTGCTCTAAACTAGTATCTTTGACGTTGCTCTGCTCTGACTAGCAAGACTTCGGCCCCAACACACAGCGACATGGCTACCGTCAAACTTGCTACCCTTGTTATTCGAGTGAGTCAAGCCAAATTCCTGCATTACCTCGAGGTCTCAGTCCAGATGTGACAGACACTTGCGAAGCCCATCTCCGCACAAATAAAGAACCAGGCAAAGCAGTATGTGTAGTGGTTCAACTTTTGTTGATTCTTATTCTGAGATTTTTCTAGGCACGAAACCTTCCGTTCGATATGTATTTCCCTTGCTCAGAGGATGCATGTGGGCGAAATTAAGCTGAGGACGAATATCCTCGGTGAACCGGCCAGGCAACATGTCAAACCATTATCAGAAACGAGGTGTGCATTTCATCATTCCCATATCCGATTCTTTTTCATTCGCATTTCAGAGCAATCGAAAATGGTGCCAACGCATTAGCAGAAGGTTTCTTGTTTTCAGTCGCCGCACTGTTAATAATAGGCGAAACATGGCGATCGTCTCGAAGTCAGTCCAAACAGCGAGGCGACGTTAACGAACGAATTGAGGAGCTCTCTACGAACGTCGCATCACTCACAGAGCGTCTGGAGAGAATCCAGGAAAGCTTGGGGGATGTCGAATCAGAACGTGCACGGAATAATGAGCTGGCGAGAATCGTCGAGCGGGTGGTAGAGATCGGGCTTCGAGGCGGATGGGCAGAGTTTGAAGATACGCCATTGAAAATCCCTAGGGTGGAGCTTGCGCCGACCACGTCGAGGGTATCACCTTGACATAGACCGCCCGTGAGTCTCAGTCAGAATACTTGTGCCCTCTCCATCTGTGTAGAGGTCGCTCGAGTTTTTCTCGGATTTTGACCACTTGCTTATGCTGCTAATTCTAGAGGATGTCTCTCCGCATAGTCCTCGCCATACCTCTTTGCTATCTACACCCGAATAATTAATGTCATGCAGCTCCTCTCTAAAATATCTGACGCGGGATACGGACTTGCTGCAGTACATGACGGTATCGGTTCAATACTGAAAGGCATAGGCATTATCTTTGGGACTATGCGAGCTTTTAGAGAGAAACGATCACACATGAATTTACCTCCAAGAATGCGACTTTCGTCCCTCCCCCTGGCCGTGTACTCGAAGCAATAATATTATTCGGGGGTAGGCGCCTTACACTGCTACGTTTCATCGCCCACCGTGGTCCTGCCCATGGCAAGAATCGAACTTGTCCGTTCAAGTGACAAAACTCTTGATTACTAGGAATAACTGTTCGGGTGCACGAGGTCCTACTGCCTAGTATAGCGCGACGAGCGCAGCAGCTCATGCATGGCTAAGCGCTAACCGGAACCTTGCCACGGACGTGGGCTGTTCGCGCGCTAATTTCACCTTTGACTCGTCTTGGACTCACCCTATGCTTATGGCCAATCCCTCCTTCAATCACCAATATCTATAAGAACCTTCAGTTACCAACATGCAGCTCAAGAGGATGATCCGGACCAGGATTTCAAAGGCATGAAGAATGTCAGCTTTGCCTTAATTAGAGCCTACCAGAATCGTGGGCATGAACCCGCCAGGCCATCCAGTGGCATGGACCCACCAGACCACTGTGGCATGATCCCACCAGGCCTTAAATGGGCACTGATCCACTAGTAGACCCTCGATCCACTAGACCTCAATCCACTAGACCCTCCATAGGCATAAGTCGACCACTGCCACGGTCATGGAGCGTAGATAAAAGCCTCGAACATTTGTCTCTCATTCCCCGATCTCGCAAAGACTTGCGATATTCTGTCACATTTGCACCATTTCCCTTGCTACTGCAATCTGCAAACGCAAAGTAAGCATACTTATGCTTCATAGACGACGACATGAACTTACCATAAATTCATCCAGACCGTTGCTACAAAACCTGTTGTCTTCGCGTCCAAGAAAGATGTCTGAACTAGATTCAATGAGACCAGCCATACAATCATGTCTCCATCACCTTGACAGGTTGGAAGGACGTGTCCGCGGGGAAATTCAAGAGACCCGGAGGCATTTTTTCAAGCTTCTTGACAACTCCCTGTTAGATGTCGCGACGGGGCATTCGTGCAGATATGATAGTACCGTCGACCCTCAAGCAGAATTCTATGAGCTCGATGCTATTATCAACAGTGTGATCTCAACATCGTTCGCGACTTTTCGAGACCGCTTCTTCGTGCCGCAACCAGCACTCCACAGCACATCTTCCGGGGTCACAGGAGGGATGTCAGAGGGTACAAATCCTCCCCTTGGTCAACCTCTCCAAGGTAAGTTCGCCTTATTTGCAGCCATTCCTTTCGACGCTTACCATCAGATGACCAGGCCCATTACCCGGCAGCACCTACAGTACCGCCAACTATTCGCCCGTTGCTCAGCCTTTTGTACCTCAGCCTCAACACAACACGTACTCTGAGGCCCCTTCCGTATACCATGACCCGTGTAACATGCAATCGTCGCTAGGGGGTGCGTATCCTGTCGGTGAGGATGCGGTACAGGTCCCAGCAGGTACCACGGAGTCCGAGGTTGAGCAAGCCGGCTGGCTAGAGGGCGATACTGACATGTGTGATGCTAGTAGCTTTCCCGAGGTATGTTGACGTGAACCGTCGTGTATATCATATTCTTACTTAAGATCTGCGTAGGATTTGTTGATCGACGACTTCTGCATCCCATCAGAAGCCCGCCTTCCCATCGTACCCGACGTAGTCACTACAAGGATCCGCCCCGCACTTGATGGATTCCATCGTCAAATATTTGACCAAAAGGACATTGCATGTCTCAATTCTCCTACGGCACGTCTCAATGACGGGGCCATCAATGGTTGCGCTGCAATCCTCTATTCCCAGTTCAAAATCCCATCTGTGAACTGCGCTATATTATCCACCTTCGACCTTCCGCGCATCCAATCCAAGGAAGCTGACGACCGCATCTGGCGCAACGCACGCTGGACTTCCTATTGGGAGAAAGATGTGTGGATCCTCCCAATCCATCGAAAAGATGTCGTCGACGGCCATTGGGTGATCTGTATAATCTATTTCAAAACTAAAGAACTCCATCTGTTTGACAGTCTTGCTGATGAGGAAGCTTGGGAACCGGATGTAAAGGTGTGTTCTTTTATTTTTTATACTAGGTAATAACCGAATGACTGAAATGTTTTTTACAGAACATTATGAGATTGATCGAACGGTACCTCACGATAGCACGTCAACGACACAGCGACGTTCAAATTGATCTCGAGGACTGGCGAGGTCGGATGTTAAATGTAGGTTCTGTCGCTCACACTATGTAACGTTGCTTGCTGACCTGGTTGGATAAGGTTACCCCATGCCAGACCAACGCTTACGATTGTGGGCTGTGGATATTGGCAGCCATGATTGCTGTGTTGCGCGGCAGACATTTTTCAAACCTTCACGAGGCACAAATGAGCGACTTGCGGCATTATCTCCGTAGTCTAGTCCTTTCCGTACCCACATGTACCTAACGCGATTGTATTACTGTTCTATTGTATATATCGAATCTACTGTATATCTTGAGTCTTTGACCAATGAAATTACTTCCTCGATTCAGCATATGCCTCTCAACCCCCGGGCCTTGAATCTTACTCTTGCCGTAATTGGACTCGGAGGTACGATCGCACATTACATCCAGATGTTTATTGTTGTATACGTCGTCAGCAGCCAGCCTGAGTAGCAGAATTATTCACGGCACTATGATTCTAGGGAATGCAGGGATCTGTGCAATCGGGCCATGCTTCTCGGGCATGTGATGTAGTCAAGAGGTTGCTAAACAAGGCATCGATTCCAACTCAAAGAGAATAGAACGGCACCTCCTCGTGTATCTGTATCCGATAACCACCAGGATTAGCGTTCATGCAAACAGGGCATAAGAACGTGAGTAACCGAAACACGCCATGGCCACGTTAGTAGAACGATATAGTCACGGGAGGTTGTTACACTCGTATTCCGAAGTCTCGTGGCTCAGGTCTGTGATGGCATCAGTGGCGAGGTGCTAATTGTTTCCCTAAATAGATCCCAGGTTGAGCATCCAGCGCTCATTCATTGAGCACCGTCGGTAAACCAGCTAACTTCATTTTGACTCCTATTTCCAACAAGTAATCCAGGCACTGATATGATTAAGCTTTTAACCTAAATCTAAAATGTGTTGTGACTGACCTCTGTCTGGGTTTTCGCTTTCTGCCAATCGTCGCCTGATGGAGGAAGTTAACACGTAGAAACCGAAGTCATCGGCCGATGACATACCCCACACATAGATACCGTGACGCAAAACGAGGATACCAGCGGCCCTAGGATACTGCTCCATGGCCTCTTTCATGCTGTCCTTTAGATCTTCTTCGTTAGGCGTATTGTTGATGATCGGGACTTCAAGGGTGTCAAGGTACGAAAGGGTCGGGCCATTTCCGCCAATTCGGACACCCTTGATCATCTCTCGAGAGATCAATGAAAGGAGAATACAAAGTAAAAGCTCAATACCTCCTGTAAAACAAGATGAGTATGAAATGCTCATAGCATACTAGCCCGACTCACTTGGTGAGAAATTTTGAACATCTTCTCTTTCTCCCAGAGCAGCGTTGCCATCACCGCGTTCTGAGAATGAGTGTGTATACACGAGCCAGCGTTACGAACCGTAAAAGCATTCCAGAAAAGCGGGGTGCAGGCAGATTCTTTCAAGTTCAACTTTGGGCGACGAAGGAAAATCCTATCTGTATGTGGAGACGGCTCTGCCTGGGGATAAGGCAGGACGAATATATGCGAAGGCTCGATGCGCTCCTTCTGTACGCCTGAGGGAGCGATGTACACCTTATCGCTACCGGAAACCGATCAGTGCGGGTAAGGTACAGCCGACAAGAAACGAACTCAGTGCGAATACAGATACCCCCGCCAGTACCGGTTACCCATCCCAATCTGTAGAAGGATGCGCATAACTCTGATATAAGATTTGCGGGCTAATCATCAGCGATGTTATTCATGATCAGTATCACAGGTCGAGTCAACATTTAACAGATACGGCTCACATGCAGAGGATCTGTGGACGTTACAAGAGCATCTTCTTGATCTATGCTGACAGACATTGTATCCGATGGTTTGGTTGGTTGGTTAGATAGCAATATCAAAGTCCGATACTATCGTGACTAGTTGACCCTAACCCTACAATAGGTTAGTGTATAAGTATTAAGCTCGCCATGACCGGCGGCTCGGTGGCTATTATGCGTCGTCATACTACTGCGCGTTTTTTGCTGTTAGTACTTGCGTCTACCTCCTCCTGTTCCGCATCTCTCTGTCTCGCTCATTGTGCATGAGCAGTATACCCAAGGGAAATTTGATCCAGCCTTCTAATCGCGGTGTACCGGAAGGTCTGGCGTATTATGTATACAGGATCTAGAAGCACGGGCCTAACCGAACCCAGAGGATCCATGAGCCATAGCCTGCTGAGGAAGCCCGGTAAGCATAAGCTGTGCTATATTAATCCACACCATGGGTGCACCGGTGAGCGCTAGCCTGTATCCACAGCAGCACCAGAGATAAGAACAGCCACAATCACAGTAGCTTGCAAATCATGACAAATTGGGCGCACGAGATGTGTACCACATACGCACGACGCGGCTCCCGGAGGCCATCTGGTGACGCAAGCAGCGAGACTATCAATACGAGCTCTGACTCGGAGCTACGTGAAAGCTCTCATCTGTAGTCACACTATTTTTCCACAACTGATGCAAGGTCCGTTTCTAGAAGACATTGCTCAAACCAATGGACAAGTGTTAATGATCAAAGTCATACAGCATACTTAGCACCGAATCACATGTACTGTCGTCGGCATTAGGTTAGCCTAAACGGGCAAAAAGAAGACATCGCAATCCGTGTCTCTTACCTCTCGAGGGCGGGGCCGCAGTGCCAGGCACGGTCACGGCGGTATTTCTCAATCTCCCAACCTGTGCACACGAGATCTTTAGGCATGGTTCCTTACTGGTTGGTAGTTTATATCCAGGAACAGTTTAAGCTGTGTCGGTACTAAGTACTAAGGCTGTACTGCATACCGCATCGTACCGCCCGATATATGACGTTTGAATGTCTTAGCTGCACAGCCTCAAGAGCTTGTTTAACATATAAATTGGGTGTGTCACCCATGCATCTAGTACAAAGCACACTCTACCTTCGCTCATCTTTCGCACAATGCAGGCAACAACCTCAACGGCGACAAAACCCGCCCCACCTAAATCGTATAATTTCAGCCTAGAGAATATGAAAAACACAAAAATATTCAATAACCAACCGGCTTCTCCATTGTACTCGGTGGTCACCGACACAAAGTCAGACAAGCGGACTGACATATTTGATGCTCGTGGCAATCATCTGTTGGCTCGGATCGACAGGAGAGATATCCTGCCAGACACCATCACGTTTCCTAACAGAAATGGTGGCTCTTCAATAAACCTTAGTAAATGGCTGCAGAAAAGCAAGCTTGAGAATGGACAGTACGTGGACTGGTATAGGTGAGCGCAGCCCAGTGACTGACGTGTACCACAGTCATATCCACTCCATTGAGACTGCACATGGAACTTATGTTTGGAAGTCGGACGCCGATTACCGGCTTGCTGTAAGTCAACACGCGATGCATCGCCTTTGTGCCACTCTCTGACGTTTGCTCCCATGAATTATGTTCTGTCAGTTATATCGGAAGGGTGACATGTCCAACCCTATTGCGCACCTCCAACAAGGAACACGAACTCAAAACTTTGCGGTGATCATGCAGGGAGAAGCGGAGCTTATTCGTGACGACGTCATCATATCCTTCTTGATTCTTGAACAACGCCTAAGAATATCTGAAAAGAACATCATCGTCGGCGGGGGCAAGTTCGAGCAAAATCGAACGGTATTGGGATATCACGTTAATACATCGTGATTCCCTGGAAGTGGATCCACGTCAGGGGTCTGAGATGCAGAGCGCTTGGTTTGGAAAGCCATAGATGTTCTTGAGGTAACGTGAACTGGTCCACCAGCTAAAAGGGGGTACCATTCTTTGGGATTGTATACGGGGACGCACGCGCAGACTTGAAGAAGACATGCATACCAGAACTTGATCCATTTACTTAGTGTAAATAAAATTATCGTCGATCGCCCAAGTTGAGCAGGCGAAAGCGTACACAGATCCACCCTCATCCCCTCCAATAATTTGGTTTCATGAAAGGCATCGGAGTAACGATGGCCTTCCTCATCCTGTTTCGGACATCGATATCAACCTCGGTACCTTTCTTATGGAAGCCAGACTTCACATAGCCCATCGCAATATTTTTCCCAAGCGTGGGGGAAGGAATGCCTGATGTGACCGCGCCAATCAATTCTTTTTGAGGCGATGAATATATTTGGGCGCCCTCTGTGAAGTGTTAGCATCAAATTCATGAAACGAGGTAGCAACTGCTCTCACGTCGCGCAGGTGCACCATCCACTATGAATCCCACTCGGCGTCTCGGAGGGCCATCTTTCAAATGTTTACGTACCCCTTCCGCTCCAATAAAACCTCCAGTTTCTTTACGTTCCTTACCTGAACGTGCAGTCAGTTTTATTACATCATTCTCACGAGAAGTGATTCTCACCGATTACCCAACTCAAACCAGCCTCGACAGGTGTAGTATCTTCATCCAAGTCATTACCATATAAACACATGCCAGCTTCTACACGTAGAGAGTCCCGAGCACCCAGACCAGCCAGCTGCACTGGAGCGTTGCAAAGCAATTTGGTGACATCCAACGTTTGAGATGGTGGTATCGAGATCTAAAATTTTGTGAGAAAGCAAGCCTTAAAAATAGTCAATGTGTGTCCACCTCAAACCCGTCTTCGCCGGTATAGCCTCCCCGAGCAACGTGCAAGTTGAAACCTTCAATGGGCACAAAAGCAGACTTGCCAAATGTTAGGTCACGTAAATCAAAGGAGGTCAAGCGCTGCAGATACTGCGCAGCGGCAGGACCTGAAACACGGTCAGAATTTAGAGAAACGAGTTAGGTCACACTGACCCTGCAACGCAACAAGTCCCCAATCCTCCAAGATCTCGTGCTCTACCTTCCCACTTTTTGCGCTATCACTAGCATTCCACTCTTCAAGCTTCTCTTTGAACCACGCAAGATCCCTGTCCCGTCTTCCAGCATTTGTCACCACGTAATAGGCATCTTCTGAGTGCTTCGTGATGACGGTGTCATCGATAATGCCGCCTTTTTCATTCAGGAGAACCGATAAGGTAGAGGTATACGGGGCGAGGGACGTTAGCGACGAGGGCGTTAACCATTCTAAAAACGCTGTAACAGTGTGTCCCCGGAAACTTGTTTTGTTTCAGTTTGCAGTTTGGTAATGATCAATGCAGAACTCGACCGACTTGGATTGTACCATGTGCCCAACATCGAATAAACCAGCATCGGTACGGACGTGGGCGTGACTGGCACCTAGAAACAAGTCATTAATGCAATGCTTCTCAAAGCCGACTGTGGCCGCACCTTGGCCAACGTTCCCGTAGGCAAGAGGCATTTGATATCCGGCGAATGGCACCATCTTCGCATCGTTCTTGATATGAAATTCGTACAGGCCTGTTTTCTTAAGGGTCTGAATAGAAGTGTGTGAGGATAATGCTTGGCCTAGCAGGTTCGCGCCGACTTACTCCTTCTGTGGAGGTTGCCAATCCTCGAAGGTTGGTCCGACCTGGCAAGCCATGGTGAACTCGACATCTTGACCCGAATAGAACAAAATGCCGGGCTGTGTATGTAGCACGAACGGTCGACATATGGTCTAAATGGTAGTCTAAAGTTGGTCTAAGATATATAAGTAGCTGTGAACTTACGGTCAGAAATCGGGTGGGAGTTATCTATAGTTACTAATTGTTGATTTTGACTTGTACTACGTCTACATGCTCGTCGTACGCACAATTTGGGACTGTCACTCCTCTGTATGCACCAAATGGCGAACATCAGGATGGCCATTAGCGTCAGGACAACCCTTCAAACCTAGTCCCCAGACAGCCCTTTATAGAATGATCATTCCTATTAATTAAATCAAAACTTCAGTCGCCCAGCGCTCAAAGTCCCCAAGAGGAAATTCGTGACACGGCGGTTGCTTTCATCTACATCGTAATGTGGGCTTTCGTCCTGATTCTGAAACTCGGTATTGTTATGGATGTTTGAGTCCGACTGACAGGACTCTTGCCGGATGATGGTTGATACGTGCCCAGATCATTATGCGAAAAGTTCTCGTGCCACATGTAGCGAACTGGCTTGGGTACAAGGTACGTACTCCTGCTCAATCGAGATATAAACATTAGTGACACTCGTCGCTTCTCATGTTCGGCCAGATTTAACGCTGACGCCATTGACATTTCCCAGACTCGTCTCAGACATCGATCCACCATGGACTCTACAACGACGCTCGTCAACCCCACTCCGCCTACACCCTACTTCCTAACCAGTACTGATTCAAAGACTGCCACATTTTACGCGCACCCTGGTATTCCACTGTACACGATCACCGACGATGGGAAACAAATGATAGTCAACGACCGTCGTACTCCTGGTCGGATTGCTGCCATCTTCCACCAGCGAGAAATTCTCCCAAATACCATTTCATTCCCAGAACGGAATGGTAACACACCGATCAGCGTGCAAAAATGGCTCCGAAAAACCAAGCTTGCAGACGGAACGTAAGCCGTGCTTTACCTGCAGGACGACCTTTGGAGAATTCATGAGCTAGCTACTGTAGAACTGCTTTTGTCATGGGGACCGATTACGGGCCATACGTGTGGAAGATGATCTCGAGCCATCGTCAAAAGGTGAGTTCTCTTCTTCACCAAAGTACCTTTCCTCACCACTGCCTTTGTCCTGCAGGTTTACGCTCAATATGACTTGGACAGACCAATAGCGTCATGTTCATTTCATGCCACAGTGTCAAATGGAAAGCCTGCATTTTTACTGGAATATGACGCAGAGCCTTTACGGGAAGATATTCTACTGGCTTATCTGCTCCAGAGGCAACGAGTAATATCAGAAGACAGGCTTATCAATGTCTTTGTAGGATCCAGTGGGGTGGACAAGACTTCATAAATGCTGTCACAGGGTTTAGGACATCTTCGCAGAAGTACAACTTACTTATCTCACTGGGACTTACTCATACATGTCGTACATAATTCGGTCTACTTGTTATCAATGGTCAGGCGGGATGCTACTATCGATTCAGGTAATCGTGGGATCGACTTGTGTGCCTCCAAACTCACCACCCGAGATCAATTTCACAACCAGTAGGCACTCTGTCAGGAACAAGCTCTCGCCAAATATTGATTAAATGTTAGGCCATGACAGCACAACAAGAATTGAAGTGTTTCAGATGAGTCTGCAGTTCCCAGCGCCAGTATTCGCATCAATGAGCCTCCCACAAGATTCCGTCAGTAACGTCAGACCTTGAATATTGAATACGAACTCAGTGAGCCTCCAGTAATTCTAATTAAAGTCATGCTTGTATTATGGTGATCAAGATGACTGTCGTTCTTTCGCGGAATAACGTAAAAAAGCGCGCAGAGAGTACTTCCATGTCAATAATGTGTTCTATTTCTCTCTTCATGCTGCGATCCAGCCTTGGAAAATATCTAGGCAAAGGAGTTTTACAGATATAAGTGAGAACTCATCGATGCATCCTCCATGACCATGTGAGAAACTTGATCAGGAACCCTAACCCCATTTTTAGGTTTCCCTCCCTTTGCAAAAACATGGACATCCAAACGGCCATCTAATACGACCATGTCATCCACAGCTCTGCAATCGATCAGCATCTCCTCCGAAGAAGGCCTCGATGGCGTCGATGGATCAGCTAGATTCTCCTTCCACCCTTCTTGTTCAGCTCTTGCTTCAGTCAGTGGCCCCATCACAGCCCGTCTAGCAGCTGAGCACCCCGCTCGCGCAACCGTCGAAGTACACGTCCGTCCGCTCTCATCAGTGCCAGGAACTGCAGAAAAATCACGTGGAATGGCAATACGAGAGATAGTAGAACGCTCGTGTCTTCTCGCACAACATCCTCGCACTCTCATCCAGGTCGTCGTTCAAGCCCTGACGAATCCGACTCCCGGTTATGCCCTTCTCGCAGCCGAAATCAACGCATGCACGCTTGCTCTTATCAACGCCGGTTCAATCGCGATGCGGGGTGTGGTTTGCGCAGTTCCTGTCGGTAGAGTGAAGAAGGGAAGCGTTATTTCCGTGGAGGTTGACGTAGCCGACGATGTTGTGCTTGAAGGAGGTGGATGTTTTGCTTTCTTGTTTGGATTCGCGCTGTCAGGGCCGATAAAAGGAAGTGCTCCACCCTGCGAGGATGTTTGGTCGACTTACAGCGCTCGCCCTGGGTCATCATTTGATCAGGCTGAACTTGTAAGGGCTAGAGAGGTGGCACGAGAAGCCGCGGCGGAGGTATGGCAATGCGTGAAAAATAGCATACGCCATCAAAAAACGACAGGAGAGATCCAATCACCGCACGAAGTCGTTGTCAAGATGGAAATATAAGCGCGAGCTGTACATAGAAATTGTGCGTATCCTCTGGTTATTCACTCTGTTGCTGTTTAAGAAGTCAGTTCTTCTCTATCAGACCTATCAAATCACTGGCGTTGACTTGAAATGCGTCTTCTCCTGTCAGTTTTGCACACATACACTTGTGATTGTGACATCTTCAGCCCGCGGCGTTTGTTGCAGGGGAAGAACATTAACGCCGTTTCCGTAAATACTTTTCTCTGGGCGTGTCGTACTCCCGCTGCAATTTGATCATCCATCAAATGCATGCAGTCTGCCAGGTTCAGTGTACGTTCATTGATGGTCCGCCGATGATATCATGGTGGGCATCCTGTAGTACAGCAATACCTCGACCCTCGAGCACTGAAGCCACGTTTCTCCAACCTCGTCGCTGAATTGGTAGCAGTATTCGAATAAACTCGGAAATTCGCCAATCAATTGCATCACTCGAAGCGATGTCCCGTACGACTTTTGCCACGCATTATTTACAATGAGTCCTGCCTACCGTGTCCAAAAACAAGCACATTGGGTTCACCCTGTGGCCTGACCCTCTAGGCACCAAGCGTTTAGATAGCTAGTTAATGCGGCCGTTTCTTAGTACCCTATCTCATACGTCTGTATTTGAGATTGTCACGTCACCAGGATATTTTTGCACATTCAATGGCACAGTCTTATGTACGAAACCACAGATACCTTCAATTCTATTTCAGGGTTTCGTTTCCTAAGCGAGGATGGCATGTAGGCGTAAGCTTGGAGAGCTACACACCTTCGTTAGCTAACTCTGCACTGTTTGAAACTCTCGCCATGACCTATCTCCCTTAGGCTCGTGCAAGAGAAATACTGACCATTTGTTAAGCAATTCGGATCATCATGAAATGAATTATGGACAGCTGAGGATTTATGGTTCATGGACACATTGATGCCCAAATCCCGCATGTGCATGACACATCGGTAATCATTCAAGTACCATAGCTCGTCGCCACAAGTCAGAACCCAAAGTCGGACATGAGTCACGTCATTTCCGATATGTATATCAGATATTTCCACATGCATACCCATCGTGCCCTCGACGCTGGCGAATCTGTGGGAGGCTGATGTCTTGAAAAACGTGTTGATGGATACTGAGGATCAGCGTCTCTTGGGTGGTGTCGAGTGGGACGTTAGCCTGCACACACTCAGTACTCGGCATTGGGGCATAGCACGGATATGAAGTGATTATGGAAAAATAACACGCAAACTCCAAGAACCCTAGCTTGGTGGTGGGTACCTATCAATAGTGCAAGTCATCTCAGGTTCGTGCGGTGCTGGGACTAGCACCTAGGGAGACAAAGTTCGTAAGGTCGTAACAAGTAAGCCTCATGATCAGAACTCTAGTTCATTAACGAGATAGTGGAGTTTTTCCATAATGGGGCGTTGTCGTGGAGCCAACCAGCATTGCTGGATAACGCTCCATTGAGCGTCATTGACACAGGAGGTGTCTGGGTGCAATGGCTTTACGCCTGTAGATATTGCAAAGAAGACCTGCGTGTCACGCTGGAAGTAGTGATAAGGGATTTCGCCAGAAAGGACCTAGGGGCGATGCTGAGGACATATTCACTGACACGCAAAAATACGCACTTGAAGCATGATACATCCAAAGGAATATACGTCACCTTGAGTACTAGGGAAGCCCACAGAATCGCTTGAGTCGTCAGGAACTTGGAAAAGCTCTGGTCCGATCCATCTCACCGCCCCCCCAATGGAAGAAGAGAAATATGACTCGCTAGAAAACTCCAATAGTAGAGCTGCCATCCCGAAGTCAGCCACACATGCTCGTCCGAGATCGTTGATGAAGACATTCGACTAAAACGATGAATTAATGTCGCCTAATAGGATCGAATGATCCATACCCCAGAAAGACTTCCGTGGATAACGCCATGATCATGCACTGTCACAAAAACTTAAACTGACGGGAGTAATAGAAGAAAGTTCAATGCGTACGATAAAGAACTGCGGAAATGACTTCCAAAAGCTATATCATCTCATGAAATGGGACAGCAATTGTGATAATTGTGATGACTGCTTACCAGTGCCTTTCGGGCTGAGGCGGTGATTTGATGGTAGTTCTGCTCCAAGTAATGTGTCAGAGTGCCATTCTCCATCCATGGGCACACCAAGGCTGGTAATGGGCCAAATCCAAGTGCCATGCCGAAAATTGGCATCACATTATCGTGATCCAATTCCAGCCATCCTTCAATTGCTTTGCTCAGTCTCTGTATTTCACATTGAGTACACCAGCAGGAAGGCCAACCCCGAAGGACTCGCCTTGCTCTTCCGTTCTCTGTCTAAGTCACTTCCGTGTATCCTAACCGATTTAACTGCTACCTGTGATTTGCCAGTTAATGTACTCTCAAACGCCAATGAGATATAGATACCCCAATGGTCCCGGAATCCTTCCTCCTCCAGCTGCACTTCCACACATCACAATACCCTCCGTATGTTGTAGGATAGGATCCCCTTCCTTCTAGTTGTCCCGTAAGAATACCACTGAACAACACGGTGTACGTTAGTGTTGAAGTGACTTCAAGTGAGTAGAAATGAATGATGCCTTGTCTGACGGTTGGCGGAATGCGCCTAATTCGAATGCAATGCGCGTCAGCATACTGTGGAAAAGCTACACGAACGACTGAGGAGGTGCTGCTCGAACCTGAGCATAGAAAAAAGTGAAACTTACCTGATCTTGCCACCAGCCCGGACTCGGAAGAGGTAACTGTCGGAAGAATTCAATGACAGCTCCAACCCATGACTGGGCTGAAAAACGGTTGTCGTGTTCAGACTCAGACATCAGTTACAGTAAGTGCCAGCACTTCGGGGGCAAAATTTGAGAGGAATACAAATGTACGTTAACTTATAGTCGCTAAGGCGCTAGCAGTGTGAAATGGTTTCAAATTTCCACATAATTCATCGTCACTGCATTATAATAAGCGTTTCTCCCGCTAGAAGCTTCAATTTGCTTCTATCCGTACACGCGTCATGAGATGTTGCGATATTGGGGGGGTGGAGGAGCATTTCAACTTCGAAGTTTGGTTCAACTTGCTGTTTGCGCTGGCTCTTCTCTGAGATACCTTTTCAAAATTATCACCGCGGCGGCCGCCGGCGGAACTAAACTAGCACAGATATTATATATATGGTACTCAATAGAACGAGTCAAATGCAGTAAAGAATACTCAGTATGTACTAGGCAACCACTTCAAGTTATAGCCTCCCAAACTTCCGTGAATCATCCAGTTCCCTTCTAATGAATTCGGCTATATCCTTGACCGTTACAAATCGTTCTTGCTTCTTACGCCAGCAGCATCTCATGAATTCCCAATGGCGGTCATCAATAGGAGGTTCAGGAAGTCGTGGAGGTTCCTTTTGGTTGAACTTCTCAGCAATGACCTTATAATCGGTCCAAATATCGTACGGCACGCGGCCAGAAAGTACCTGTGGTGGAATCGACATCATATTAGCAATGTTGTACCACAACATAGCTGACTGACTTGCCTGCAGCATCACGCAGCCCACAGAGTAAATATCGCTCTTTACACACGCACGGCACGAAGATCCGTCTTGCAGGGGAATCAACAACTCTGGTGCAGCCCATCGTACAGTCCCTGGTTTGCAGGACGTGAAGTATGAGTTTCCCGTGAGCTCCACGTCCAAGAAGGAGAGGCCAAAATCTGATAAAAGCGGCTCTCCTTGTTCGTCAATCAGTATGTTCGACTGCAGATGAAAATGTCGAGTCAGATCCTAGATGAATATCATGATTATGATTCATAAACATACTCCTGTGATGTCACCATGTACGACATCTTTCGAATGCACTAGAAGTCCGTGAATCAAAGACACCATGCGTTTGTTCGAGAATACTTACGATATAAAACTGCTGATACCAATCCTTGGAGCTTTGAGCACATAATATCGTAAGTCAGCCTTATATTATTTGGTAAATTGGAGAATCGAACGGGTACTCACGATGTAGAATCTCGACCCCAACGAGAGATCCTTGTACTTCAATTCCAGGTAAGAATGCAGTGAACCATTCTCAACCCATGGACAAACTAGGGCAGGAAGAGGGCCAAACCCCCATGTAAGTCCAATGAGCGGTAAGATGTGTACATCTTTCAGGGTGGCCCATATTTGTGCCTCTTTACACAATCGCTAAAATAGAATGAGATCGCGGGATCACAGGGGATGTGGTCAGCTCACTCTACTCTTCTTCTCTCTATCTTTAACTTCTGCTTGAATCCTGATTGCTTTCACGGCAACCTAGAGAATGGTCGATAAGTATGAAACTGACGAGTATGGAGTGCAGACGAACCCTCATATTCTTCTCAACCCAGATGCATCTCCATACATCGCCGAATCCGCCGATACCGTCAGCGAAGACGCCCTTGTCCTTGATCTGTCCACTGAGATCAGGAAGGCCATCTATTGGGTGAAGACATCTGATTCGCCATGATTTAGAGTGAATTGATGTCAGAATCACTGAGCCACCAACATTGGTTCGTCCGAGTCAGCTTCAAGGCTTGTTACTCGCTGTGATGCTTCTATGTGATGTAAGATGTCTAGCCAAGGTTGATCCTGCAGTGAAGGGTTCGACACGTTGCTCCTGATAGAAGAAGTAGAACATACTAGGGCAACTGGACCGCACTCAAACGAGCGGCCGTTTACAGGAGGCTTGAAGGGCAGAAGTCGGACAACTGCTTCCCAAAGTAAAGTTGGGGACCAACTATGAGTTGGGCTAACTGGTGACTCGGCCTTCTGTTCCGACATCAGAAAATAGTAGTAAGGCAGGAAGAGAATAAATACAGTACCATAAATGTCATTATACCACCTTTTATGCAAGAAAACAGGCCCTAGATCTGGTAGATCACTATGGTTGGCACGTTGACCTGTAGGTTTTAGCCTGAGATGCCGGTACCGGAGAAACTCAAAGAATAAGATTCAGATGCAGGGAGCGCTCGCTGTAATTACCATCCCGAGCAAGATACCAAGCCGTCGTTGACGCTCTAGCAATGAGGTGATCGGCACTGGAATGATCTGGGCAAGACAGACGACTGCTTGTGAGCAGAGTCTTAGATAGTGGATGATCGCCATCAGAACGATCTTTGACAGATATCAAGGTGTTGTAACACTGGCTTCTTCATGTCATGACAGATTTGGGTGCGCTAACGATACTCAGAAGCCATTCAGGGAGAGCGTGGCCTCGTTGCATGAGATAATAGCCTGGGACAGATCACTGATGTGAGTGGCCCACTTCTTAGTTATACTGAATGAAGGGTTGCAGCCATGATTGTTATACGGTGCTTACTATACATGACTTGATTCAAATAGTTTTTGTTGCACGAGAGTAAGAAAGTAAGGTCCGTACAGACAGACATGATGGTAAGCCAGACTCGAGAGATTAGTCGGAGGATGATGTGTCATGCTGTAAGAAGTGAAGCTGGCCTTTGATGTATTCATCTGCCTGCTGAGAAGATGGTCTACAGTCCTCGATAGTAGACCAGCAATTCAGAATAAAACTCCAATGGCTATCGATGATCGTGGGAAACTCGGGACGCAACGGTTTTGTTCCGAGAGAAATTGCGACCACAACTTGTGCGTCTCGCTTGAACTCGGAGTAGGGTGCTTTGCCCGTCAATACCTGGTGCAAGGGTGAGACTCAGTGTTGAAGGAACGTAATCTTGGGCAAACCTGGAAAAAAATACACCCAAACGAATATATGTCGCTGTTTGATGTCGGGATCGTGATTGCGCCTTCTTCTTCAGGAATTGCAAGAAGTTCGGGTGCTATCCATCGCACAGTGCCATTCAAGGCAGACGTGAAATATGACGTGCCCGCGAACTCCGCAACTATAACGGAGAGACCAAAGTCGGATAGATGAGCCCTCCCATCGGATGAGATGAGGACATTGGACTACAGATATGAACATCATCAGTAACAAATCCAGGAAACCCTCTTCTCACCCCAGTAAGGTCACCATGAACAACAGAGCACGAATGAACTGGGCAAAAGAACCATTACCAACTATGTTGCAAAACTAAGCTAGTCACTTACGGTATTGAAGACCCGCGGAAATGTCACTGAGCTACGAAGGTATGAGTACGCTTTCAGACAGATCATTGCATACAAGACACACCAGTTGGAAACGATTGATTATGGACAAGGTTTCGCCATGGGATTCCAGATAACTTGAAAGCGATCCGTTGTCATACCAGGGGCAAACCAGGGCAACGAATTGGCCAAAGCCTGATACAGTGCCGCACAGTGGGACGATGTTATCGTGTCTAAGTCTCAACCAAACTTTGAGCTCGCGGCGAAGCCTCTATAACAACCAATAAGCAACACCGAATTGTACGGAGTACACTTACGCACCCTACTCTTTTTCTTCGCATCATCTTCATCTAGTGCTTGACTCCTGATTGACTTCACAGCTACCTGTATGTCTTCGTCAGACTCGAACATGAACATCGGGACGCACTCACTACGATAATGCCACCACTTCTGTTCCATGTACATCGCCAGATGTCACTCAGGCCTCCGAAAGACGTGGCATAAGCACTTGTGCGGTTTAGTTGGCCAGTTAGATCAGGCAGGCTATCCATTCTGAATCATTGAAATCAGCCTCAATGCCGTAATGTTTGGCTGAGGTCTCACTGGTTTCTTTGATCATTAAGATTCGAATGGGGAATTGACTGTGGAGAACTGATGGGAGATACTCCAAATGACGTCACCCGAAATTGGAGTGTCTGAAGCATTTTGGAGAAAACTTGAAGCTTGTGTGTTCGTTTCACTGGTTTATGGTGTGGATCTGTGGTGTGAAGTTGAGTTGGCATTCTAGAAAGTAAACTTGCTGTACCAGACGAGAATCTAGCACGTAAAACATCACCAGCTGAGTCTTGACTTCTGGGCAAGACCAAAGTTTCAGCAGTCTGCCGTAGTATAAATCAGTTCTTCCACAGATCGGTATAAAGATGCACCACAACGGAAGGATCTTCAAAAATCACTTACAGACTTGTGCTCTAGAGGCTCATGTGTTTGACAACAAGCACGAGATGGTCCATTGACAGCATCGTTTGGAACATCATCATGGTCCGCGTTCGGATCTTTACTACTAATGCATGGATCTGATCCGGCCAGCCCTCTTGAGAATTGAAAACAAAGAATGGACCAACACCACGAAATGATACTGATGAAGGATGAAGAGACCATGCTCTATTACTGCACATGGGGAAAGACACAGTAAGAAAGGTTGGTGTACATAAACGATTTCCCTTCATGGATACAGATGAGCTAGGCGACTCACCACGCTGTAATTGAACCATATTTAACGCAGAGCTAATCCACCACATGCATCAAAACAATTGACAGACTGCCAGTGATAGGAGTTTGCGGGATATAGTGAAGTAGTTGCCTGTGATTGATGGCCAAAAACATATTTGTCCACGGATCAAGGGTCTGGGAACGTGCAAGCAATCATAAACTCTAACCTTCCATCAAGACCTTGCATCCAGAGTTCTTCACCGCAGCTCGCTACTTCGATATGAACTTGCAACTTCTCTGCCTCCCCTAGGCATCCTATCGTCATGGAAGACGGCTGTTCTATCATACTGTGTGACTTCTCCAAGTCAACCGAACTAAGATGGTTATTTATGACATGAAAATAAATGATATGGATATTAACGGACCTATCCACTTGAACTCCCAAAACGGTTTCCATGGGATTGAGACTGAATAGAGGGCACCCCCTTGTGTATATGTAGACACAGCCTTGCACATATTGAAGCTGTAACTCATACCAAGCTTGATTGAGTCTGCTGCATAGTCACAGCACGTATAGTTTCCCGCAACGAAGAGTCTTTTCTACATTACCCAGGCCTGCATATTGAATTCAGCGCGTCCAATGTGACAAAGTGGCAAGTGGAAATTTTCAGAAATAAAGCTGATTGGATGGGCGTTGGAACATTAAGCGCTTGTTGAGCAGCCCAATAAATTGTGGTTGCCCTTAGTCTAGGGTTAAGGTTACTAATACCCTATACGATCGACAGATCTTCCCACCTACTCTTTAATGTCGCCCACCACCCCATACGTGCAGTCCGGGGAGCCCCTCAATGATTTCCTTCGTTCATTTTGGCAGCGGCAAGTGGATGCAGCAGAGCAAGAGACACCAGATTACAGGCATCCTCCACTTCCTCTCGCTCGCATTAAGAAAGTCATGAAGAGCGATCCAGACGTAAAGGTATGTCACTCCGTCGTAAAACAATGCAGAGTTTTCGCTTACTACGTTCACAGATGATCGCAGCAGACGCACCCATCTTATTTTGCAAAGCGTGTGAAAGTGCGTCCGTCCTTTCCGTCACAGAAACTTGATGTTCACATTCTCTTCCCCACTTTGTCACATAAAATTTCACGCAACTTCCCCATCAAAGTCTTTATTTCGGAAATAACTGCTCGTGCATTTATTATTGCTGACTCAAATAAGCGTCGAACACTGTCGCGTGCTGATATTGCCAAGGCGCTTGCGAAGTCAGACCAGTTCGACTTCCTCATAGATATCGTCCCGAGAGAGGAGGGACTTACGGGATTGACTCAGAGTGGTACAGGGATTGGTGCTGCGGGAGGATCTGGGTCGAGTATGACGAACTTAGTCGCAGGTGTACGTGTTACCAATAAAACCTGTCGTACCTCTCAATGAACTTCCATCTAGCCAAGTCAAGCTGCTACTCATCAGGATTCTGAACACCATACAGGCGATGACTCTGGCAATTTGCCCTCAGCAGTGGTACTGGACCAGGTAAGGATCGTGATACACTTTATGGTGTTAGGCCCTATTCTATCTCCTGAGACCCTGTTTTCTCCCACTCCTGAGAACCGCACTGGGTGGATGACGTTCTTACAACTGCTTTTCACAGCTGCAGTCCCTATTAGCGCCATCGAACACAATACATGCACCGTGACCCACTCAAACATCCACCGAAGTATAGTAGTTCACATCATAGATTTGACATAGGGTTGCGCCGGGTTGCGCAGGAAGGTCTCCATTTTAACAGCATCACAGCACTTTGCGGTAGGACGTTCGACATCTACTGTCATACCTACACCGATTAGATTTGCTACACCGTGCTCTACCCCTAGTGAGCCAAGGGCCTCCTCAGAACCATAGTCAGCAATGGAAAGGTCATTCCTGTGGCATACTTGAAGCATGCTGTACGGCGTCGTTGGTCAACATGCACTGCAAGCGTGAGAAATATCTTAGAGGAACGAGTAGTATACTACGGCCGGCTATGTAGAGACACTTATGGCTGCGTCTTAACATTTTATCTTTCATTCCAGAAAGTCAGTACATCACTCCATGAACATTCTGTCAGGGTGACTTGCATCAGTTCAAGCCAGATTAGTGTTCCAGATGAGTCGTATGATAGTACTTCTAATACACTGCTTCAAGATTTATTTGCCAGGACCATTGGCTGTTGGTCTGCAGATCTTGAGCTTGAAGCTTTGAAGCCTTGCAACTTGTAATTACGGTTTACTTACTACCACGCCATGATTGATTTTGTGAACATCATAAATTTTTCCGCTGATCACGCGCACGGTCTGCCACAGCGCATATATTCTGACGTTTATCAAGTACTAGTAGATCCATTCAATATCGACTGAATCATGGCTATCGTCACCAATCGCCTTGTGACAGTCTCAAAGGTGAGACTAGTCAATCGATCACCTCATGCATACTCCGAGTCTGTATCATGATCGTCGCCTCATAGCTACATAGGATATCGACAGCTATGAACTAGCGACATACGCCGTGAACCCAAGTCGCGATAGCCGTGAGTCAAGATTCAGAGACCCCACAAATATACCAGGCAGCAGCGCGAGATCCGGATACGCACTATGATATGGTGATGATCTCTCAATTATAGTTCAGGATGAGTTTACGTGAGTCTTCAACATTTCAAGTTTCGATCTTGGGTCCGACACGATCCCTTCCATCTCAAGGCTGCTTCCTGTGTTATTATGTCTTGAGACCAGCATATCGCTACGAGCAGACAAATCTCAATTGGGACCCGAGCTTGAAGCTCTTTCGGCATCACAAGGTAATTATATAATTAGCTAGTACTAGCTCTGCATGCAGCTTTGAATGTTGGTGCTGTACGCCATTCTTCTTACTCCATCTGAACTGTTGGTCACTCATGAGTTACGATACAGTGAACTCAAATTCTGCGATGCCTTAGCGAGATATAACGAATCTACGTGAGTGGCATTCGGCCGAATAAGAGTAATGTCCATTTTCTTGACAACGTGCTCATGAAGTCTTAGGCGACTACGTCTTTTACAACTACAAGAAAGTGTGACTATTGGTAATGATCAATGATTCTCCGAGTCAAGGCGATATGTGATATCGACTTGTTTAGAAATTATGCTTCAAGTACGTGTATTGCTTCCTGTATTATTACTACATATATTAGGAACTTGCCTCTTCGATTTCCTGGGCTCCTGAGTTCATAACTTCCATTGCACTCGGATAATTGGCTGTATAATCGCGGATCCGATGGCCGCCGCCGCCCCGCCTCAGAAATTTTATAATGATATAATCAACGTTACTGGGCGAGCCTGATGATCGGAGCATTATGCGATATCAATGTCGTATTGCAAAGTTTGGTCAGGAGCATGGAATTCCAGAGTCTCTTCTCTGGCACATTATGTGCATTCTGATACTGTGCGGGACACAGCTGAGGCTGAGGAACCTTGAGCGATTCAAGACTGAATCTACATAACATAGCCGCTATCCGTTCAACTTTACGTTTGACACAAACGGCATATTCCTGTGATCGTGGCATGTGCTCCCATGGATCTAGCGCTTGTTCTAGTATACAATCTACAGCCAGCCACCTCTCTCGAAGTCGATATAAAGGGCAGGGATTTCGCAAAGTCTGGTATTTATTCTCGTTCTCGTGGTTACCTCAGCTCCCCGGGCCTATAAAGTTTCAACCTCATTACGTTACCAGGGCGACAAATGACTACTTTTTCCGCATGGATTTTCAGCCTGAGTGTGCTGCCCAAGAGATGGCGGAAAGTCCAACCGGAAACAGAAACGTCGGGCGCGACACACCTGGATGTAGGCTCCAATGATAATGAGTGAGTAGACGGGCTTTACCTTGAACGAAGCTGACTCATGTGCCAAAATTTTCAGACGCCCGGTCGACCTTACTGCGAAGGTCGTGAAGGAATTGGCATATGCTACTGCCCAGGGCAGTTTCGGTGACGTATGGAAATGCATGTTCTCAGACAAAGATAGAAATGTGGAGGTTGGTATGAGTTTCGTAATAAATTCTGACATCTGATGATAAGTTTTAAGGTGGCGGTTAAATGTGTCAGGATCGAAATTCAGGATGACAGTTTCAAGAAAATCGTCAACGAGGTGGGCCGACATGATCATGATGTAGAACACTCGCTTTAATGATATGAAAATATTTGCAGAGGTTAATGGACGACTTCCGCAAGTGGAAACTACTGCGTCATGATAACATTCTTTCCTTGTACGGGATTACCTACGGATTTGGTCCAGTACCAGCTATCGTATTTCCATGGATGACCAACGGATCCTTGAGCACGTATCTTGGTAAAAACTATGACAGTCTCTCTGGGGCTCACAAGTTCAGTTTGGTAAGTCTTCCTCAATGATAGCTAGCTGCACCACAACTCACGAGCGCCGTAACAGCTTGCTGATGTAGCTGCTGGTCTTCAATATCGTATGCCATGTCATTTTTGCATTGCATTAAGATAAGCTGACAGTATATGGTGCATAGTCCACTCTAAGGGGGTAGTTCATGCAGATCTCACAGGTGTAAGCAACTGTGGTATGCAGATTTGTGACACTGCTCACGTCTCCGTTTCCTCTTAGAGCAATGTGCTCATCGATAGAGACGGAAGAGCTCTTGTAGCAGACTATGGGCTCTTGACTACATGTTCCGACCTGAACGGGACCTCTTACATCAGGAGTAACGTACGATGGTCTGCGCCTGAGCTTTTCGAAGTTCCGGACACCGAGGATGCATCTAGCTCACCAAAAATAGAAAGTGACATTTACTCATTTGGATGTATCGCATACCAGGTCTGTCGACAACGTATATTTGCAACGCTCTTGTTCTCATTTGTGTCAGGTTTTATCGGGCAAGCAGCCGTACTGTAACATTCGCAGTGATCACCAGGTGGTTGTGGCCATCCTCAAAGGTGTCAAGCCAAAGCGTCCAGACATCCCTGCCATCGAGGATTGTCACTGGGACTTTATCGAGCAATGCTGGGTTGAGTCATCACAGCGACCTCCTATTGCTGATGTCCGAGATTTGATGTGTCACTATAGAGATGTTATGCGTTGACCCAGGGTTTACGGTCTTCGCATGTAATCAACGCTGGGACACCGCACGGTATTGTCGAATGTTTGGTTACTCACACTGATCCTCGTTATATATCGCGTTACTCACACGTTGCGGATCTTATCTCTTACCTCATTGTTAAATTTCATATGCTCATCCATGTTATCCGTTGTCTGATCGTGTTTGCCGTCCACAGCGACGGCCTTCCATCATATTTTTGTATCAGACAAGTATGACCATCGACTTCTTGGGGTTCCGTGCACATAGAATGAGGGCTCGTCGATTTAGAAGAACCAACCTTGGGAATCCATGATTCGACCGTCACACTCCAAGGCTTGCTATCATGATATTGCCTCGTTGTTTTGGTCACGAATGAATGTGAATATATTTTATTTGGCCATCTACACAAGCTGAAACGTGGATCATGCAGGCTACTTTGTTTCAGCAACGTGTATCATACGTCCCATGGTGAAACACCGAGGACTCGCCTATATCAATATGGCTATGGCTATGCCATTGTAGTCACCCGTTGTGACGTGATGGTCAACGGAGAATGAAATTCCACGATCATTAACGGAGAACATCCAGGAATTGGTCGTCTATATAGACTTAACACGGACCTGCACGCAGTCCTGCATGCGGAGTCTGGGATAAGTCTATATAGACCGGCCAATTTCCAAACTTTCTGCATTACATTTCAACGGGAATTGAAGCGTTCTGTCCGGGCTACAACGTTCTACACCAGCATTAAAGTCGATTCATTTACTACCAATGTACACCACGGTGGTGGAACGCCCAGAGAAGGTTCAAACGGCAAGAAAGTGACTATTTTGCAGGTAGTGCTGCTGTAAGGACTGCAAGATCGAAATGAAGCGTAATATTCGCTTTGATCGGGTGTAGGATTCGCTGGTCCATCGGGTGAAATCAGCCGGCCATTGGTTCTAGTACATTTTGCGGATTCAATGGTGTCTAGCGTGGCTTAACGTGACTTTCAATTGTGGGTGGAATGGAAAATAACAATTAATGAATTGACTATTATTTCTGCTATTTGTACAGTACTAGTATGTAGTGCAGGCCTGCTTCGTTAAAAGAACACAGTGCATATGCATGAGTCTACCAACCTGAATGATTCTACCCTTCTTATTCCACTGCAAATCTTGGTTAGAGAACATTGGGAGGAAATTGTTGTGGTGGAGAAGCCGTCCGTCTGTCATGATAGCTACCATCGGTGGTAGTGAGATCATCGACCCCGACAACCAGCAAGTACCCTGTGACAAGTTCTGACAACCCGCTTTCTCATGTAACTTCTAATGCAGCCTACCCGACCTGACAGGATTCGTATCCAAGAAGTCGCCTCATCCAGTAGCGCACGGTAGTTTCGGGGATGTGTGGAAATGCACCTACACCGCATCCAACCGTCAAGGCCTGGAGGCAAGCATGCTACACGTATGGTTGTCCAACAATCTGAATTCATGACAGGTAGCAGTCAAATCCATAAGGATTGATGTCGCAGGCGACGATTCCAGGGACAGAGTGACTCAAGTACGTCATCGGCTTCCCCTTTGCATGTGATACGCTCGTTCAAAATTCATGTCTTCAGAGACTCTTGGGCGATTTTCGTGCACGCAAGCAACTGCATCACGAAAATCTTTTGCCTCTGCTCGGTTTCAGTCACGAATTTGGGCTACTTCCAGCGATGGTATCTCCCTGGATACACAACGGCTCGCTCACTACATATCTTGAACACCATTTCACAGAATTAACCATTACACAAAAACTCCTGATCGTGAGTTATTTCTCAGAAGGGCTCGTACGTCATGCCATTCATTTGGACCTTAGTTGCGACAAGTCGCTGCAGCCATTAGCTACCGTATGTGGAATCTTCAATCATTTGTGAAAACAATAAGTAACAACACTACAGTCCACTCGAAGGGGGTTGTCCACGGTGACCTTACCGCCGTATGTACTAGTCGTCTGATACTTGCCTTCTAGTTCTGATCTGAAACGCCAGAACAACATTCTGATAGATTCAGACCGCAATGCCCACGTAGCAGACCATGGAATTCTTACCATGTGTTCTGAGCTCTCAGGGACTTCATACATCAGAAGCAACGTGCGGTGGGCTGCGCCAGAGCTCTTCGAGGTGCCAGAGAGCGAAGAGTCATTGACTCCACAACCAGCCAGCGATATTTATTCATTTGGATGCATCATGCTTCAGGTTCGAGGCGTTCCCTAGTGGTTGGGTTAGTTTGCGACTAAAGATTCCATAGGTTATGACAGGCAGACCACCCTATGCAGATGTGCGAAGCGATCACCAAGTCATTGTCCTGATACTGAAGGGTAAGAAGCCTACAAGACCATCGAGTCCGCACGACGCAGATTCTTTCTGGGATTTCATCGAAAAATGCTGGGGTGATATAGGACGTCGCCCCTCTGCCGTTGATGTTCTGAACTTCCTAGGATCAAACCATGTCACTGCGCTAGTCAAACAAACAGAGAGCTGATCGGATCGATTTTATTTTATTTGTTTATGTATATATCATTGACGGTTTATTATTTAGTACATAATTACATAATCGGTTTTAGTCTCCGGAGACTTTTCAGGAAGTCACCTCAGTCCACTCAGCATACGCGCCTCGATGCGTGGCTGTGAGCGTGTCTTGTTTTTTTTATATCAAAAAAATCATGTTTATTGTCATTCGGGCTCGAGGATCCTCTGTCAAATATAGTGGGGGCTAACTCCCGCTTATCTATTGTAAGTGTGCCTGTGTATGTTGTCTGACATATGTTGAACAGATAAACGCGTACTCCATCAGCATGATGATGTCGGGCAAAGGCGCAGAGGGAATATTGTGGTGCGAGGTGCGTGGAGAGAAACACTTGAATATTTAGGAGTCGTGCATCGTTCTTGCCAGCGTCGCGCTGTGGGTGATCCTGGTCCCTGTTTTTCCCCCCTTGCTTATTGTCCTGGGGCAGGGCCCTATGGTGGAGACTACATACTGTATCGTGCTTCGAGGTGTGTGGCTATTCTATGTTTTAATCGATGCTGTACAATGGTCCATGCGGCTGCAGGGACGTTGATGCCGCCTTAAGGCGTGAAGGTCTCTAGGTTCAGTCTGTACGTGTGCGCGTTGATAAGCATGGGAGGTTTATCTGTTAATGCTGATTTTGTTTGACTGGTTTCCAAAGGGAAGAATAGGTGTATCTCTGTGCCACGGCGAGGAAGGCAGGCAAACGTCTTTTCAGACACCCCTTGCCACCACAGTGGATCTTGCGCCCCAGCCCATCACTTTATCCATTCGTTGCGTGGTACTATTAGCAACCAGTGCCTGACGTAATGATTCCGAAACTTCCCTTGGAGCGGCAATCATGAAGGTATGTACAAATAAGTATCGAATTACATGCCGCAAACGTTCGATTTAGGTCTGCTTACGAAGCCTTAGGTTTTTCGAGTTGTGCAGGTGACTTGTGTCATTCATGAGCTGAAAATCGGTGTCTACATGATAATCAGGATATGCGGGGTCTTGTTATGCAAGCCCAAGACGTCTAGCTGCAAATATTGGTGATTTGAACGAAGGAAAGTATTCATGATTGATCAAGGTGGAGGACTGACTTTCTCGTGGGTTCGGCAGACACCCGAGCATCGACGCTGGATGATCGAATTACACAAGAAGCAGAACTACGGAACCTTATCCCACCCGCCACCACATGCCACCTTACATCCCCGATTTGTTCCGGATCATGGGCCATGAGTCACATTGCATAAAAACCTCGCGACTAAAGCGCGGTTTCAATATGGCCCAGTTGCCAATTTCCTTGGTGATCGGTTGAACGACAGCACAGATCGTTGCGGCGTATCTTCATCTTAGAACTTGTCGCCTGTGGGCATGTTTTTTTCAGGTCCTGTGCAAGCGTTAAAGATGCCCTGCATGCCTTATTAGTATATGAACAAGTGACTCGAAAATTTTTGGTGCAGGCAGAATGGGACGGGTCAATTCATTGCAGTCAGTCATCAGTTACTTTTTTCTCAGCCAGAGAAGGCTGATGGCACAAGCCGCCAATTTCTTGAAGCCTTCAAGAATAAAATATTTGACCCTCACTGAATGACTGACTCGTGTTAACAACGTTTTGTATCCGGCGAAGTTAGAACTATCATGACATCTTTCTCGAAGCGTTATCTCTTTGCCACGAGGATTATCTATTGCTAACAAAGCAGCCGAGAGCAAGTGTTCCCTTGCACAATTACTACTCTTTCCAATGCTGCCAGTGCTCTTCACATCCCTGACAACATGTTTTTTCATTGTCCGCCACAGACCAGAAGTGAGTTTTTGACGCCTGCTGATACGAGCGTCTGTAGTGGAAGGGTGTTCATCATTGATCGAATTCATCCACAGCGTTGCTTCGACCGGCATCAGTCGTGGTGTCCTCAGTTCGACCCTACGCAGCCTCCTTCCACCGTAATTATCGGTAGGATAACTTTGCGATATTGCCGCACTAGTGTTTTCTGCATAAAAGACTAGTTCATCGGCTTTGGGGAACAGCACTGTTTCCCACTGATTTCCCATCAGCATGCTCGAACGTTTGCAACAGTTATTTCATGGTCTTGTATGTTTGTTGACATTGTCCGTGGAGCCATCCATTCATCTCACTTCAACAGGTTAGCCGTGCGCCAAATGGCCAGGCATCTTCTATTCAGCATTCTGCTGATGACAGTCCCACAAGCCAGACCCCGAGTGTTGACACTCCCAATAGAACATCCGACGATCATGTTTCAAGTGGGCGCCTCTCTACGGAAGACTCGTATGTCATTTCTTTTCCTCAGCAGGACTTCATAAACATGGAACAGTAGTAGTGTTCCCTGTATCAAACCAGATGATATCAACAAGCACACCAGTTACCCAACCGCCTCAGGTGGTCTTGGAGATGTTTACAAGTGTACATGGAACCGCGGCGAAAGCTCGGATGAGGTATTTCAATAGACTTGCTTGTCCTGCATGTCTCCTGATTATGATTTCAGGTGGCGGTCAAATCTCCACGATTCCCAAGTCTGAGTGATTCTGAAATTTTCAAAATCAACAAGGTACATTGGGGTCCAGTCTGACGGCCGCATATCTGAACTTTTGAGACGCAGAACTTTGACCGCGAGATCCGTATATGGGCCACGTTAAAGCACCAATATGTATTGCCCCTGCATGGCACCGTAGAGCAGTTCGGCCCATTTCGCGCCTTTGTTTCCCCCTGGATGCCGAACGGAACTTTGGAATCTTACCTTAAGCATGCACATGAGACCCTCTCGATGATAGATAGGCTTCGGCTGGTGAGTCTCATCCACGAAGACGAGTACGGGAACTTACTACGTTTTCAATAGCTTAAACAAATTGCAGAGGGACTCCAATATCGTGAGTGATGGATTGATTATGGATGTGACAAGTATAACTTTGCTTTCTGCAGTCCACGACAACGACGTGATCCACGGTGACCTCACCAACGTAAGTTTACACATACCATACCGTACAACCAGAATCATCTTATGGTAATTGTAGGGCAATGTTCTGGTTGCTGCCGATGGATCCCCTCGCCTTGCAGATTTTGGTATCTCCAATATCATGGTACAATCCAACCCCGCCTTTTCCTACCACACCGGTGCAGTACGTTGGGCCGCTCCAGAGCTTCTTGACCCCCCAGAAGACCAACCCATACAATGCGCAACGAAATCTACTGACATATACGCTCTCGGCGGCATCATGCTTCAGGTTCGTGGTCTCTCGTGGGCTGGCTAGTGAGACTAACATCGCCTATGTGCAGGTCCTACATGGGAAACAGCCTTACTGTTGGCTGAAGTCTGCCATACACGTTATTTCTGCCAAGTTCAAACGCACAGAGCCCATTGACTCATCCATCGAGATCGAGCCTAGTCACCTGGATTTCATGCGGAGGTGCTGGTCAACGAAGAGCGAGCTTCGTCCATCAGTAAAAGAGGTGATAAATTATCTTCAAGAAGCACTGTCAAATGAAACTTTGTCTGTATAAGGTCTCGGTTTTGAAGTGATCCTCTTTCTTGTCCTTGTCCTTATGTTAACTCCGGGTGTCTCCTATCGTATATAATATTGCTCCGTGTCCGCTCTAACTTCTCGGTGTCGTATGTATATGATACACTAGCTGTATCTGTATTCATGTAGGAGCAATACTAAATCTAATGCGCTAGCAGACTACATGCAATACCAGTCCTCATAGTGTATGTAAACAATGCAGTGATAAATTGGGAAGCACATCGATGTCGTTCCGAATACACAAGTATCCTAGGCTAGTTCATTCGTATTGTTGTCACACTGTTGGTAAGAACCCTACAATCTCAGAAGCCACTGGTCGGCCTCCGGAATCGACAGATATGCATCTCAACGAAAACTCCTTGTGTATGTCCTCGATGTCACGGAAATGACGGAAGGGTGCTGTTCCTGTGAGTCTTGCCGCAATAACGCGGAACACATCCGGTAGCCAGAGGTAAGGTGCACATCCACAAAGCACCTGCACATTATTAGCACAGTAACTTACATGGAACCGAATGGGGAACAACACACCTGAAGCATGATGCAACCATACGAGTAAACATCGGCAGCTTTGGTTGGCACGACCACTCCCCCCTCCTCAGGTAAAGCAAGCAACTCAGGCGCCATCCACCGCACATTTCCTGGGTGGCACGAATTGAAGGTAGAGCTTTGTGATTCTGAAAGGACCACTGAAAGACCGAAGTCCGCAAGATGGAGCGTCTGATCGGCGCTCATTAGAACGTTGGTCTGTAGATCGAGTTGTCATAACGAGACATTAGAGATACGACTTTTAACACGTACACATGTTAAATCGCCATGAACCACTTCTTTGTCGTGTACTAACAAGTCAGTGAGCATGTCTGATCCAGAGACAGAAAAAATATAGATGCACAATACTTGAGGCCGGCCGCTATCTGTTTCAACTAAAGGCATGTCAGAACGCGTCCGGTGTTGCGAGATACGGTGCATACCATTCTTAGTTTATCGGCATTGGAAAGAACATATCCCTGTTTCAGATAACTATCGAGTGATCCATTTTCCATCCACGGAGAAACTAGGGCAGGGAGCGGCCCCAAACCATCAACAATACCATTGAAAGTGAGAATATTATCATGCTCTAGGTCAATCCAAACATGAACTTCGCGACGAATCCTCTGTGAGTTGGAATGGATGAATACGATGACTTTCAATTCGTTCTTGCTCTTACCTTGCTTGTCCTATTCACCAGTTCCGTGTCGTTTGCTTGAGGAACCCTGACTAATTTGACCGCAACCTAAAAGGTAGTTAATATTGTGAATTTTTGATCGAGTGCACAATTACCTTGGACGTTCCAACCGGATGTTGTCGCCGAGACCAAGAATACATCCAGACATCACCGAACCCTCCTGCACAATTGGCATACAACTGGAGTTTTTTGAGTTCTGTCGCAGGAATATTATATGGCTCAGTTTTGAAATTAACTGGGTGAGAATGCTGCGGTTTCCCTGTGACTGCTATTCGCATTGAATACAAGGGCAGAACATACCACAGAATTTGTAGAAAAGAGATTGCCCATTGCAGGATAATAACCGTGCTAGGCCACAGCGTTCAAGGTGACAAAAGGAAAAGGCAGCCGTGCGATTTCATTGTTTAAGCGGTTGGTTTGCAGGTATATAACTGAGGATACAGACGCTCAACAGACGCCGCGTAGTGGGGTTCAACGTTCAGACCGTATCATCAATGCCAATTTGGGTGAAAATTTGTTTCGGAAACTCGACAACTCCGTCACGTGGGGGAGTACTAGCAGTGCAAAGTTGTTATCAAGCTCCTTCCGAAGCTGGTTCTGATACGAAGATCCCCGCGTGCAGGCCGCAGGTGCACGAGACTCTGTCGGGACTCGGGAGTGTTCTTCCCGCAGTCGCCTCGATGCAAGATGCCGCATACTTTCATGGAACGCGATGCACGAAATCTTTGTGGAAAAATGCAAGTCTTCTATCAGAATCTTACGAAGGATTCTACTAACGCTGCACCGGTTGCAAGTATCGCCTATTGTAAAACCGAACTCTTCAGCGCTCTGGAAGTTCTCGAAGGTATGTACTAGTAGTAAGGCATGTCCGTGACCGGCGGATCCTGCGTACTAATCTACACAGTTGGCCGCTCCCTGATCAGATTTTTGAGCGTCAAGACTTGCTGCGGGATAACCTGCAGGAATATACCCTTTCTCTTATCACTTTCTACCAGATCTGAGACATCAGTGAATTGATGAGACCTTGATATTGTACCTGTGCGAACTGTAGCAGGATATAGGTCTGCTCTTGTAAAATATCGATATCATTCATACTGTTAAAATTTTGAGTTGTAGATATGCGATCATGTATTATATGCTTGAACACTGTACTATGCCAATGAGGCAGCTAAAACAAAAAAGATGAGGATGAACCAGTTCCGAACAGGGGCATTATGTAGATGGGGCCCCGTTAGAGATAGCTCTCTCGAGAAAGCACAGTACCTCCTTCACTGGTGGACGATTCTCACTCTCGATTGACCAACACCGCCGCATGAAATCCAGATGATCTGCCTGAATTTGCATGATGTTTTCTTTAATGGGCTCTTGGCCTTTGAGCTTTGGTGCTATGACAAGGCGGGCTTGCTTGATCCACCAGTAGGGTAGTTCACCGTATAATACCTGCGGGCACCGTGTCAGCGTCATAAAAACACGCAAATGAGACGCCGACCTCGAGCATGATACACCCAAGAGCATATATATCACTGGATTTGGTGGCACATGGCACGGTTTCACCTTCCGAGAGGTTGATGAGTTCTGGAGCTACCCAACGAACTGCGCCACTGTGGAAGGAAAATTCCGGGTTAGATTGAACCATGATATTCGAAACACCGAAGTCTGCGAGGCGCGGGGATCCATCAGCAGCAATTAGGACATTGTTCTATAATAATAATCAGTGGGTCACGAAAGGGATAATGTAGGTAAACCTACACTGGTCAGATCGCCGTGAATCACGTCATTGTCGTGGACTGTCCGCAGTATACAGTTAAGCCGGTCGTTTCCAAGCCAATCCATTACTTACGATGTTCGAGGCCCTCAGTGATCTGTTTAAGCTTTGAGAAACAGTAAGCTCCAGTAATCGGCATCGAAAGAAAAACTTACAATGTGAAGCTTGTCCATCCCCACAAGGGTTTTATTTTCACGAGTAAGATAGGAGTTCAATGTCCCGTTCGGCATCCAGGGGGAAACCAATGCTCGAAATATACCGAAACCTGTTGCGGTGCCACGCAGGCGCAATACATACCGATTATTTAATCTGGTCCAGACCTTGATTTCGCGTTCAAGATTCTGTGTTCCAAAGAAATTCAGACACGCGGAGGTCTCAGAGGCTACCCAAACATACATGATTTATTTTGGCAACTACGGCGTCTGTAAGACTTGAATACCGTGGGCATTTGACTGCAACCTGAGCAAGGTGAGCGTAAGCATGGAGAAGATCCATGTGTGACATACTTCTTCCAGACTCGCGTCGCTGAGCAATACGCATCTGTAGACATCTGCAAGTCCACCTGAAGCAGTCGGAATTCTGGTTTGGCTGGTTTTGATGCCTGCGTCCACAATGAACGAACCGTACGTTGACTCGGATATCTGAGTAGTGGAGATGGTGAGCTGGGTCGATGAAGGTAAGGAGGGACTTGACGTGCAATAGTCTTCAGAGTGAGAGCCGGCATATCGATAGAAGAAGCACAGGCACAAGAGGATGCGGATGTACTTTCTTAGCAACAGTGGTTTTTCGTCTTATACACAAGAACTATAACAGTCACGTCTGATATCGCGATCCATCGATAGCTCCGGTAAATAGAATTTCCAGAAGGCGCACCAGGAAAGCCGCAATTAGTATGGATTGAATCCATGCTAGATACTGACTCCATCCACCACATAAATGCCCATCTCTAAACGCATCAAATGGAGAAAGGCAGACGAGTCACATCAGACTTCTTGAGGCGTGGTCAACTATCAATTGAAACTTTGGCCCAAACAGCTTGCGAGGCACTGGCCGACCCTGCGGTGGAATGTGAATCTTGATAACCAATTCTTTGTTAGTAAATGCTGCCTGTCGTCTGATCATTTGAGCGCTGAGAAGTATGCGCTCATGAAATGGTTCCGAGTCTATCCCATCTATGATAATAACTCGAGGCGGCGCCTATATGACTCGTGTTGTTCTACCCACTGTAAGACCACTCATACGATAAGGGGAACTTGCGTCCTGATCATGTATCTAATATTGAGCTTCATCCACAGAAACTTGAGTGATAAGCGTGCGAATTCAAGTATAAAGTTCATAAGCTCCTACTGTTCTGTTGACGAAGATGAAAAAATCTTGACCTCACCGATTGTGGATTCTCTATGATAGTTCGAGCCGAGAGACACGGTGCCATGAATGCGAAGGATGGTGGTTCGATGAGTATCGTAGGTATTTTCCCCCAGAAGTTTCATCTCGGAAGGACCACGATTTAGCTGCGTGTTGATCAGCAATACTGATTCACTGATCTCCATAGTCTCGAGATCTCACCTGTTATCGTCCAACCGAGTCATATTTAGCATCCCCTTGCCAAATCCAGCCACAACCGCTTTAAACCCGTTATCTTGTACATCCGCGAGGAAGAGTTCGTGTTTGATCTGGTGGTTCCTCCGAATCTCCTGGATGATTCCATGTTGGCGTACGCAAAGCGGGCATTCGATTTCGTGGTCCAGCAGGGACCTACAATGTACGTTAGCATTGCCATCACGAAATAGCCAGAAAAGGTTTCGAGGAAAAAAATAGTTCAGTCAATTAATAAGTAAGCGAAATACGTACCGCTAATAATATAAGTGGTTGCACATGAAATGGACACTGGGAAGATCGAGCTGCTCGCTGCACTGAGAACAGCGTGTCACACTAAACACCTTTGCATGCATGGGGTCCTCTAGTTCAGCCACTTGCTTCAACTTCGCATTCGTTTCTAGCTGGTAGGAGTTGATTAGTTGCTGGTCATATCACGCGAAAAATCATCAGCGCGAAAATGAGAAAGAAATGTAAAGAAATCACAATTTGCATTTCTTCCCTTGCCTCCTTGATGCGTCCCATCAGCCAGTCCTTAACAAGGCCTACGCTCGCTACTCCATTCCTACTCAGTATCTGGACTACACCAAGCGGAGGTATTATCCGCTCCTTCTCGACGTGTTCCGGAATCTTCTCCACGTCCGCCTGGTGCCGCGTGAGCAGCTCCGGCGTACTTGTCAAGAAGCGCAGCACCAGCCCATAGAGGTGCGGGTGTGTTGGGCCATATCGTACGAGGGCCTGTACAACTTCTGTTGGCGCGGAAGACTCGGATGACGATGCATTGTGCTTGTCCATCCAAAACCGTAAAATGTCCTCATACATGCCCAGCTTCTCCTAAAGTATGACCAGACCTCGGGTATAGCTGTAGCTGCTGCACAGAATTAATGCATGTGTTTTATCGCACGGTAGGGTGTCGCTCGTCGGAACTTTGAGTGCCTTTTCCTGTTGTTCTGGAGAGCCTCCGTCAAGGTAGAGCTCAAGCAACGTGTTCCAAACTGCTGCCTGATTGTGCTTCTGCAGGTCTTCGTCTTCGTCCGGACTGGTATTTAAAAAAGAGAGGATGGGAGAGAGGGGAGTGACTGTCCCACCGACGTGCAGCCACGGTTTCTAGGAAACGGACAAAATATGGCGGGTGATCAACAAAATACGCGAAATAGAGTGTAGGCGAAAGCCATTTCTCTTTGGATGATGTTGGTGCGCTTGGCTGCGTTGTTTAAGGCTCTGTAACGTCCTCCTCTTTGTCCGCTTCAGATTCCTCAACTGTATCTTCAGGTGCGGGTGCACGGGAGAGGGCAAGGTACGATAGGGGGTTTGCTGCTGTGCTCGATTGTTGTGGAGTGGTGTCCTCTGTTTCGGGGATGGTGAAGGATCCAGAACCGGTGCAAAGCCCAATAAGAAGCTGCGTTGTCTCCTCTAGGAGATTATCTGGCATAGCGCGTCCGTACCTGGTGAGGTTGCTTTCCGCCTATGTAAATGTATTAGCCTCATGCAGGAAAAAAAATCCAAATAAAAACAACGAAGATAGCAGACTTACCGCGGCTGCTCCCAAATGTCTCAAATACGTCAATGCTTCCTCATATTCCCCAAAATCCTCAATCATAACCCTCAAATATTCTTCGTGTCGCTTATAGCGCTTTGCAAGCTAGCTGGCATGATTTAAGTATCTTGCCTGCCTACAGTCCAGGTCAAATGAAAGGTCGCCATTCGACTCTGCCGCACCAGAGCGTCGAGACTCTGTTTGAACGAAACTGTCTAAGCGTGCAACGTCTCTGAGTTTGATGTAGTTATTTAGCAGAAGAGTGCTATGATCAGCGTTTGTGAGGCCAAGGGCATGTAGGTCTTGTAGATTGGTAACGAGGTTGTGAATGCGCTGAGCGTCCATGGACTGCAACACCATTGTCAGACCTATTGTGTTGAAAAAAAAACACGAATAACTGACTTTCCTAACGACATAGCTCGGTTTCAACCAATCTATCGTCTTCAGATAGTACGTCATCGCGCCATCCCAATCTCCTTTCGTGCTGACGGTGAATATCACGTAGCTCTCGCCAAGGTGTTGTGTCTGCGCGAGACTCAGTGCAAGTGGGTATAGAGCCTTTGCGTACAGCATGGAGAGTTTGCGAGGGCAGTGACGTCGGATTAAAAAGCAATGCACAATTCTGAATATCGTTAGGACGCACCTGCCCATTATTTGGTGGGGATGCAAATATTTCCCCACTCCAAGATCACCTCTCTGATACCCTCCGCAAACACCCCGGTATGTCAAACTACCTTATTCTCCATGTCAAACACAGTCACCCTCGACGTATCTCCATCTCCACCTGCCACTCGTGCTGCAAGGTTTCGCGTAGCAGGTGACCGAAACAACTATATCACATAGTTAAGGTGGGTGTGGATCGACGACTTGTAGCTGTGAAAGACGTAACATCACCTCCCAGGACTTAAATTTGTATCAATCCACTCACCTTCATAACCATATGGCAGCTCCCTCCCCTGCAAACCATACGCATATACTTCCTCATCTCTCGCAAGCACGATCTTCTCGGCGCGCCAATCCATCACCACATATCCCAGTCCACATCCAATATCGTCTAGTAACACGCTGGATCCTCTACTCCCTTTGCCGGACACGTGGTACAAGTATACCGAGTTCGTGGTCACAATGAAAAGGTGCAAGTTGTTGTCCTTAGCATTGGCATTAGTGGGACTCGGAAATTCTCGGAAACTAAGGCCAGTGATAGATTCAGGGGATGATTCATGGATGATGCGTGTATTAGGGAGTGTAGTCAGGGACGTTGTGGAAGACAGCGACTGGTCCGGATGCCTGTAAAGTAGCACCGTCCCGTCGGCCAAGCCGATGGCAAGGAAATACAGCGCAGAAGCACTGTGCAAAGCAAGAGACCTGAATTACGAACTCACCGAGCGAAAGCTGAACGTAGTGAGTCACTCACTGGATGAGGTTTGTTGCTAGGCTGGACCTTGGAAGATTTCAATAACACTGGTGCTTGGTTTCTCTTGTCCGTCTTCCCCAAGATCCCAAATCTTGAGCAAACTACCTCATACTGCGTTCTCCTCCCCAATTGTCACTAATACATCATTCCTCTCTGCCATGTACATTACTCGCCCTCCCACATGTTGTGAATAGGAATATGAGCGAGAGAGATTAGGTGAACGTTTCGTCTTATTACTCGCAATAGGAGATGTAAAGGTGCGTTACATTTTTGGCTTATTCCGTTGCGTTGTATACGCTTATATTGTTCTAAACTCAGATAAGTCCGAAATCCCGCCACTTCGTTAACGCACGGATCATCTTTACGGTATGCATGTGTGCTGATTGTCGAGTCGTACCCGCTATAACACCACCACATGCACAACGCAGCTCGTTGTCGATACCTTTATATAATTAGCTAGTAGCTCTGCATGATGCAACTTTGAATGTTGATGCTGTACGTCATTCTTCTTTATCTGAACTGTTGTTAGTCACTCATCCGTGAGTTACGATATAGTGAACTCAGGTTCTGCGATGGTTTAGCGAGATATAACAAATCTACATATATGCGCATCAGACAAAAATAAGCAGACATGCATCTAGAGCCTCCACGTGCACGGCAGTTCAATGTTCAAACATGGAAGAGCGCATGCACATTAATGGACTGCAATGCAGGATGTACGTGAGTGGTATTCGGCCGAATAACATGTCGGAAATTCCTAGGCACCATTGTAGGTACTTGGTAGACATTTTAAGGCTATATTTTCACACAGGCTATTGTAATGTATCTGAATGACACACGATTTTATTTTAAGACCTTGAAATGGTTGCCTTCGTCCATTGTAAGGCATTTGAATGGCTGTGCCGTGACACGTGAGACAGGGGCCTTGAAATGCATCGTAATGCTGTCATCAACCTTGAAATAAAATTCAACGACCCACGTGATATTTCAACACTCGCCACCGTATTTCAATTGTTGTACTATCCTATTTATATTAACTTATCATTATCTTACTAATCTAATCATTATCTTACTATCTAATCATTATCTTAATCCTACGTTATCTAGTACTATAGTTAACTATTATAATGTACACTTGGGGGGATTCGAACTTGTCACTTTTACCTTACCATGTATTACCGTAGTATAAACTGGCATAGTTACCCCTTGGCCATAAGGCCGATGTAATACATGGAACCCCAATCCTATATATGCGCATTTTAAGGTCCTTATAAGGCAATATAAGTGTCGCAGTGAAACTGTAGTATCATTGAATCAAAGAGTAAATACACGTCTGACATCAAGTATCTAAGTACGAGTAGATACCAATGTAAAGTACGGAGTCGGAAAATGTTCACTTCGCTGTTGGCTTCTTGTTGCGTCCACTAGCGCGCTTGGGTTTGGGAACTGTTGGAGCAGGCAGCGCTTCTGGTGCTGCAGCGGAGATAGAGGTAGGCTGAGCTGAAATACGACCCCGACGAAGCCCTTTTCCTGCTGGTGCAGTCGGCGCTGGTGGAACACTACGATTGGTTAGCGATAGTTGACTAACATCCACCTGCAGCTGAGTAGAAGCAGATGCAGCGCGTGGCTGGCTAATTGACATCGATGTCGAGACAGTGATATAATTATCCTGGATAGGTGCAGGTGCCGCGGAAAGAGCAGAAAGATTGGAAAGAGCCGGTGAGGGTGCACGGGAAATGGGAAGAGCCGGTGAAGGTGCGCGGGCAGTAGGATTGTCCAATTCGTCCAATAGGTCATCTTCCCAGGTGCGGGGCGTGGAGGCAGGAGGTACGACAGATGTGGGTGTGCTCGACAGCGCTGCGCTGGTATTGAACACTTGCTTATTGAAATACTCCATCACGCTAATTGCCCACGGAGAGCTTTTGAACAAGCGTTCCAGATAGAAGTCATAATCCTTCTGATAATCGATCTTCGTCTCTGCTCCAGTCGCAGTGAGCTCAGCGTCGTGCGTTAACAAGAAACGTGCCTGTAAATGAGTGATCAGCGATACAAAGCAAAGGACGGTGAATGTCAGAAAAACTCACCAATATAGCAGCGCCGGCAATCATACCCTCGGTAACACTCAGCGCATCCATTCGCAGGCCCCTGCCCTTTGGATGGCCCCTTGTCTTCCCACCGAGTATTGCCTTCCCATACACTTCAACGCGAATAATCTAGTATGAGTGTCAGTGATAGGTTAGCGTCGTACTGAGACATTGGTTGTTGTACTTACTTTGACGAGCACCAACGATTTGAGGAAATTGTCGGCTGACATAGCGTGGGGATTGGCGAATAGTACAGGTGCGAGACGGATGTAATCACCCTCTCCGTTCCTCTTGAGCAGCATAAGGAGATCCTTGTTGTCCTGCTTTTTGGAAGGCTGGTCGGCGAAGACGCTGGGGTCGAGTTTGAAGGGAGAGAAGATAACACCTGCGCAATCCTTGATGCTGTGCAGAATGTTCGATCTCTCGGAGCTGACTGCCGCACGAAACTAAGGCCAACACAAGTATCAGCGTGAAATTCAGGATAGTGTTGGAATCACAATAAACTTACTAATGATCCAAAACGCGGATAGGTTTCCATGGAGGTGTGCAAGTCTTTAGGTATGATCTGATACAGTTCACCCATTGCACCTTTAAGCTTCGCATCAGGAGAGCTCCAACGTGTAGCGCTCCGCGGGTCGACATTAGCAGGTTGAGGAGTACTGTAGAGTTACGACCGTAGCTTCGCGCCCTTTTGGGTGTGACCATGTCACACTTAGCTTCGCAGCTTCGTTGGGCCTTGCAACGTGTGACACACCCAAATTAGCTTCGTCCCGACCGACATGGATTCGCCAACCCGACTCGGTGAAACCACCTTCCCTCTACCTTTTAGTGGTGACATTGACCAAGATCCTCAGGTCGTTTCCTTGGGCCGTTTGACGTGGGCATTTTTCCGATGGATAAGAAAGACAGACAGCTGCATCCCATGTGAGTTTGACCTTTCCTCAGCATGTCTATCAGTTTTGACCTACGAGTCGCGAGGCCTTGCAACGACTTCGGGACGTGCAGAAGAATGAGCCAGACCTCTGGACAAAGATTTCGACTCGCCAATATAAACTTGCCAAGCAAGACGACATCATGGACACAGATTAAGAACCAGCATTCACAGACGATGCCGACACCTCAGACGGGAGTGATGTGGCAGTCGAGGCCGTCTTACAACATATTGTGGACGGTGGCCAGAACCCACCAGCTGGTTACAGTGTTGATCCGAACGGCTTACTTACCCCACACAATGAGTCGGAGGTGTATGAGTCGGAGGTTGCAGGAAATGCTCATGTCGCCAAGGCTTCTAACACAGGTGAGGGAGAGGAAAGCAAGGAGATGCCTCATTTCGGGAGAGGACAGCGCAAACGCATAGCCAACACCCTATATAATGATTTTTGGTCACACAAATAACTCGTCCATAGCGATTTTTGGTTTTTTTGTTAGCAATTTCACCTGTTTTACCGTGTGTCACAAAATAGCTTCGCTCCCCGAAATTTAGTGTGACCGTCACATCAAATAGGTTCGATTCATTGTGGGGTGGGACGCGTGACGAAGTTACGGTCGTAACTCTACAGTAGTTGGAAACAGACCGTTCACGACCCAGAAATGACTGAATAGGGCATACTTCTGTCCTTGGCGGGTGATGCTGGAGTCCAGTGCAGATGTCTTCTTGAGCACGCGGTTGCGGCTGCGAACAGGGATCGCAGATGAAAGAGCGAGATACTGTCTCTTGAGGACACGCAGCTCGGACCGTGTTGCATTATAAGCTTGCTGCGCTGTTGCAAGGGCCTATTAGATAGAGCATATATCAGACAACATCACAGGCAAATATTAAACTAATGAGTATCGTGCCTACCTTTCGAACATCGTGCATTTGTGCGTCTGGCCCAGGGACAGCCAGGACAGTCCTTACTTGATCCAAATCGCTCCCAGAATCTTCACCATCGGATCCATCAGTCTCAGAGCTATCGGAGACGGCGTTGATCTCAGCCTCGAAATCTTCCCCGTCATCCATATTGCGCGGCATGACAACAATCTCTCTGAAACTGAGTGAAAGTGCTAGACGTCCAGTGTGAGTTAATGGGATGCAAGGGTGGAATAAAAACTGCCCACATTATATAACATGCCCCCTTGGGGCGGCGCTGATGGGCTCGGTAACACTTCTGCAGAACAGATTATTACGTCGACAGAGAAACACGTTGACCACAGGTTCAGTTGCCGAGGTTGCTGGTCTTCGCTAACAGAAACGATGGTACTGTTAATCAGCCGTAATCATCGCTTGGCGTGATGGGACTCACTTAGATTAATTGAGGCGTTTGGCGCTCTCTGAATCCAATGAGATTGGGAGTAGAGTCTGGTGGTATGTCAGCTTCTAATACCAGTGGCGCACGAGAGCTACATTACTGCAATAGTCATAAATGTAAATGTTGAAGCTGGCAGCAGGGATGATACATAATAAGGCGGTGGGACTCACTTTACAAATGAACGATGTTCCTCTAAATCAGCGCCCTCCAAGGAGAGTCTAACCATAGGGGGGAGAGAGAGAGTTTGATGGTATTGCTTTGACTAATAATATTAATACGAGCAGCTCATGGGAGCCGCACTTGCAACGATGTTGAACCTAGGTTAGCATCAATATGTTTCGCTAACGAGGCCCAATACATAATAAACGGGACTTACTTCTAAGCGCCAGGCGATTCTGAGTTGGATATCCTGGACCCGGTGTTCTAATAATATATGCCATCCCTGAGCATGATGCATTAGTAGCGGCGCTGTGTGGAAGATGTGGCAAAGAAGAAATGTACATGTATTGTTGGGATATTTCCTGTAGAACAAAATGAGGATTCGTACCTAAAAGTGCGATGCACAAGTTTGGTGCCTGACGAATGATTAGTTGCAAAACCTTGGTAGCTGTGAGGACCGAGTGAATGATTAGTTGCAAAACGTTGATGGCTGTGAGGACTGAGCGAATGATTAGTTGCAATACGTTGATAGCTGTCAACTGACTTACATTTACTGGACCCGACGGGCCTTCATTCGGAGAAATATGTCGCCGTCAATGTGGTCAGCGATGAAGTATTCATCTTGACGCTCGGAATCGGGTACTAAGACAGCCCCTCGAATGAAAGAACTGAGTGGGATGAATATTGAGGATGACCTAGGGACGGCCTTAACACGAGTGAGCTTGAAGATGCGGTCCATTCTGCGAGGACCGGTGATGGTAGTGTATGGTTGAACAAGCGCGAATTCAAAGGGCCCAATGTTCGAGATATCATATTTGAACATGAAAATCAGACGAACAAAGGTTGTTTTCTCAGCAGTGAGTTGTATTAGCGCATGGTCGAACCGCGGCTGCCCGTGGAATTGCGGGTTGCACCGGAGGTGGTCAGTATTTTGCCTCCAGTCCACCGCCGACTCATAGTGCACCTTGAGATAGCGGTGCTCGTGAATCTGTATACCAAGTGAGTGCAGTGTATTAGACAATACAAGACATGATTAGCATACCTTGAAATCGCCCGGAAGCGTAAGCCAACTCGTTAGTTGATGGCCATAGGTAGGCAGAGCGGTGTTGATGAATTCAGAGAATTTGCGGCGAAAAGACTGGAATGCACAATCTGTTTGGCCGCGACTCTCGACATCAATGATAGTTGAAGGATGCGGCGCCGGCGAGCCAAGTTTCACGTGGCCATTGAAGGCTATGGGAGCATCTTCTTCACCGAGGTCGCCAAGCGCTTGCAATCAGCAGTGTTCATCGAGCGCGTTGACACGTTCTCTCAGAAGTTTCAAGGAGAATCTGTGGTGGTCAATACGAAGTATCTATTATTATAGTTGTGCATCAGTCTAAATATTAACAACACATATATATTGCAAACTTACTTGTGTCGCGACATCCTTTCCATTCGTTCGATGGTGATAGGTGTCTTTGAGGGGGCCATGAAGCTTCTCGTTAGGACACGTGCTATAGTTGCGCGCTACTCCCTTATGTCGGATATCGCGAACAACATGCTTCCATAGGTGGGTCTTCGGAAAGTCCCAGTCGAGCTTCAATTTCTCGATGTCTGATTCTTCAGCGCATGTAATATAGGCCTAGAAACGAATGCGTCGCCGTAAGTGAATATGATCAATAGATGATAAGTAAAGACTCTACCTTGAGCTCAGCATCGAAAACTAAAAGCTCGGCTTCGATCGCTGCAAGTGTGCTCTCAGTATGCACATCCAGACCGATCCAGCTATCCAGCTGGAGATAACTACTGATAACGCGAAGCAGCTGATAGCCAACAGGACTGGCTCTGTGCGTCAGGATATTCAAAGCTGGATACAATGTTTGCTTCAAGATAATGAGCGATGTGCGTGATCACGGAATGAGTAAAAAAAAACTCACCTTAGAGAGGTCCTGGTATTTGTTGCCATCGGTGAATGAAATATTGATGACAGATTCGAAGTGGTTAAGGTTGCGCCATTGAGGGAAGTTAGCAATCCTGTGACTGTGAGGACAGGATGGGTGTGAATAAGATCAACGACTTACAACTTCTCAAATGCTTCCTGAGCATCACGTCCGAGCGATGCGAGGATTATCTTCAATTCTCCAAGTAAGTGCTTCCAAAGACCAGCGTGCAATGAATGCAATCGATCCAAACTAAGCGCATCGTGCAGACTTGAGCGCAAGACGAGCCAAAAAACATTCTAAGCATGTTCTTATTAGCAAGGAATGATTTAAAAGAACAAGGGTATACATACCGCAACAGGTCGCAATCCGAGCGCTTTGAGTACCTGCTCACCTTGAGCTTTACTGAGCTTATGAACACGGAGAGCTTCTTGGGCTTCTTCCACGGTTCTGATTGGGTAGCTCTTCGAGAGGTCGTGAAGCTCCGCCAATGGTACTAGGCAGACAGGGCAAGGGCACTTGCCGCCGCGGCCACGTATGAGTGACATCATGCACCTGTTGAATAAGATGGAGAGTTAGTTGTGGTAGAAGTAGGTTGACGGCGATAAGATGGAGAGTTAGTTGTAGTAGAAGTAGGTTGACGGCAATAAGATGGAGAGTTAGTTGTAGTAGAAGTAGGTTGACGGCGACAGCAGCAACGAGGACGTTATGTAAAAGGGACTCACTGTTCTTCATAGTCGGCCGAAAGAATCAGTATCACAGGAAACAGCCATCGTGGAATCCCATTGTAGCCCTTGTGCGAGTATCCAGTCTTCGAGTGCTGGGTGGCATGTTCCAGGAGTTTGAAGAACGCTTCATGCCATACAACGCGCTTCAACATTGTATATCCGAGTTTGCCTTCTTCTGCTGCATCTTCAGGAACCTGCAACACGTGAATTCAACAATCTGACATGTATTAAGAACGAGACAGCTCACAATAGGTAACCATCCAACCACACGACCGCTGCCAAACCCCTCACCATTCCGGATGTCTACAGGTAAGTTTGCGCATCGGACCACGACTGGATACCCTTTGACGGTACCGTGAGATGACAGCTTTGTCTTATCAGCGTAGAGGATGAAACAGAATGGGACGGCGTTTTCGACGTCGGGTGGAAGAGACAACTATTGTCAATGGTTTTATTAATACAATTATGTACATCTACACACACGATATGAAACAATTATTTAAACGCACTTGAATGTCCCACCACCGATCTCCCGTCCAAGGTTCATCGAAAAAGCGCTCGAACTCTGTACCGTTGTGCTTGTAAACGCGACATGTGTCCCACATGAAATGTGGCGCGAGCATGGGGTTGTCCAGCAGATCAAGGGCCCAATCCCATATAGGCCGTGCGTGAACCTCATATTCTTGCTCGTTCCTCTTGTATGTCACAGGGACTTCGTGCTTTGAGAACTAACAACAGGTCATCTAAGGCATTGAGCAATATGATCATATAAGCGGTTTTAGTCAGACTCACTGGTGTCAGTTCAGCCGCAGCGTTGTCCCATGCCTTCAAAAGGTCGGTCTCACTCTTCAGAGTGATTTGAGCTTGACCTTGAGAGATGCGCGAAATGAGTCCAAGGAGGGCATTTATTTGAGACTTGTTTAGCGCAGCATCGAGCGCGATCTCGGAAAATTCGAAGTCCCCGCGTGATCTGAAGGGACGCCATGGTTCCTCATCGATGGGTGCATCCTGCGTCTCCTGAGCGATACCGAATTCATTGAAGGTTTGGTAGATTGTCGAACGGCCAGAACGAGGGTGGTACTCTGTTTTGAACTCACTGGGCAACTGCACAGATGCCACATGAGACTGGACAGGTGCGGCGTTGCTGGCCATGCTGGCATCAGACAATACTGAGCCAAAAAAATGAGTCAGCGAGATGCAGCAGACAAGATCGTATGTTTATTGAATTTAACGCTTACCGGGGCTAGTTGGATTCCCATGTTCATCCGCAAGCTCGGGCAATTGGTGATTGTCTGGGTCTGGAAGATTAGACAGTTCGAATATAAAATAAAAATGCTGTAACGCGACTTACATTGGTTATAATCCAAGTCCTGGAGGTCATTGACAGGGGGGTGATTAACCGGAACGCTCGCGTGAGACTGGGCCAAGGCCTCGATTGGGTTCGATGGGCCAGCCTCGCTGATTTCAGCCTTTCGCGCTGGAATTCACAAGATTGATTTAAATTAATAACAATGTGACAGCGCAATGACTCACCATTTCGTTTCCCCTTCTCATACTCCCGATTAAATCGACGTTGCTCATCCTCGGCTTCAATAAGTTTCTTGCAACTAGCCTCGTGCTTCTTGAGGCCCTGCGCCTTGAATGACTTGCCGCAGTGAGTACATGGCAGCTGTCCCGTTCGCGTCTCTTCAGAATAATTGTACTTCCCTCGACGGGAAGTACAGATCGGAGCCATCGGCGGCCACAGGTATGAACTGAATACACGTATGAACTAATTTACAAAGAGGATGAAGCCAGCTGGCAGCTGGCAGAGAGGATGGTGGTGGAATGGAACGAGGTATGAGGCGATTGATATATTTGATGACTTTTGATGATATTACATACTCTACAATACAGTATCATAATCCTCTCACGGTCGAAAGGCCATCACCAAGCCTTAAAAGGTACCTTAAAATGTACCTTGAAAGTCAGGTGACTGGCATCGTAAGCCGGCATCATTACAATGGTCCCTTACCTTTTTCCGACAGTCACTGATGCCCATTTTTTTAGTTTGTCAACGTGCTCATGTATAACACGGAGTCTTAAGCGACTACGTCTTTTACAACTAGCCAGTAATCAAAGAAGGTGTGGCTATTGACAAAGTGCGTCTTCTGCAGTGGTAATAATTCTCCGAGTTGTGATCAAGGCGATGTGATATCCAATTTTATGTAGAAATTATGCTTCAAGTATGTGTATTGCTTCCTGTATCATTAGGAACTTACCTCAATTTTATGGACTGCTAAGGAACGAGGATTCCATTGCACTCGCATAATTAGCTGTATGGCATATCGCTGATCCAGAAAGTCAGGCTAATGGACACTCTGGGGGTACCTCTGTCACGGACTCTGGTGGTTTTGTACGGGTCCACTCTGGGGGTAACTCTGGGGGCGTGTCAGCCGCTCGGCTCAATTCAGTCGGAGTTGAATTATGTCTGCGGTTCTCACTGGCTTGCTGTACCTTCCAAACGTTCCTCCCGCCCCTCCCGCCCTCAGTGTTTGTGGCTGACAGCGTTGAGGCTAATATCAGCTACCACGGGGTGTGCGGCATCAAGTGCGTTAGACGGAGAGGCGGGCAAAAGACACCGGGTGCAGGATGGGCGGGAGGGGGAGGAAGAAAAACTCCGACTGAATTGAGCCGAGCGACTGACACTCCCCCAGAGTGGACCCATACTTTACCCCCGGAGTCCGTGACAGAGGTACCCCCAGAGTGTCCATTTCCCGGACGTTCTGCGCTGATCGGCACCGAAATTTTGTGATATAGTTAACGTTACTGCGCGAGCATCGGAGCATTGAATTCCATTTGGTCGGGAGATCCTCTATTCGTTGGGACCATAGCCAAGTCCCGTCGGAGTCTCTGAGCATTGTGCATTCTGATACTCCACAGGACATAGCTGAGACCAAGGAACCTTGAGCAGTTCAAGAATTTCGAATTCTCCTATGGGAAGCACTACACAAGACAGTGCCGTAACTGGCGTTCCTACCTATTCCTGTAGTCGTGGTAAATACTCTTATCAATGTAGCGCCTTGGTTTCTACAGCCAGCAGCCTCTTGGACGTCGATATAAAGGCAGGAATCTCGCAACGTCTAGTATTTATTCCCGTTCTGTGGTCACCTCAACTGCCCGATTTCGACCTCATTACGTTGCCAGGGCGACAGATGAATACTTTTTCCGCATGGATCTTCAGCCTGAGTGTGCTGCCTAAGAAATGGCGGAAAGTCCAACCGGAAACAGAAACGTCGGGCGCGACACACCTGGATGTAGACTCCAATGATAATGAGTGAGTAGACACGGGGCTGTACCTTGAATGAAGCTGACTCATTTGCCAAAAATTTCAACTGATTTAGACGCCCGGTCGACCTCACCATGAAGGTCGTGAAGGAATTGGCATATGCTACTGCCCAGGGCAGTTTCGGTGACGTATGGAAATGCATGTTCTCAGACAAAGATAGCAATGTGGAGGTTGGTATGAGTTTCGTAGTAAATTCTGACGTCTGATGATAAGTTTCAAGGTGGCGGTTAAATGTGTCAGGATCGAAATTCAGGATGACAGTTTCAAGAAAATCGTCAGCGAGGTGGGCCGATACGATGTAGAACAATCGCTTTAATGATATGAAAATATTTGCAGAGGTTAATGGACGACTTCCGCAAGTGGAAACTACTGCGCCATGATAACATTCTTTCCTTGTACGGGATTACCTACGGATTTGGTCCAGTACCAGCTATCGTATTTCCATGGATGACCAACGGATCCTTGAGCACGTATCTTGGTAAAAATTATGACAGCCTCTCTGGGGCTCACAAGTTCAGTTTGGTAAGTCTTCCTCGATGATCATTAGCTGCACCACAACTCACGAGCGCCGTGACAGCTTGCTGATGTAGCTGCTGGTCTTCAATATCGTATGGCATGTCATTTTTGCATTGCATTCAGATAAGCTGACACTATATGGTGCATAGTCCATTCTAAGGGGGTGGTTCATGCGGATCTCACAGGTGTAAGCAACTGTGGTATGCAGATTTGTGACACTGCTCACATCTCCGTTTCCTCTTAGAGCAATGTGCTCATCAATAAAGACGGAAGAGCTATTGTAGCAGACTATGGGCTCTTGACTACATGTTCCGACCTGAACGGGACCTCTTACATCAGGAGTAATGTACGATGGTCTGCGCCTGAGCTCTTCGAAGTTCCGGACATCGAGGATGGATCTAGCTCACCAAAACTAGAAAGTGACATTTATTCATTTGGATGCATCGCATACCAGGTCTGTCGACAACCTATATTTGCAGCGCTCTTGTTCTCATTTGTGTCAGGTTTTATCGGGCAAGCAGCCGTACTGTAACATTCGCAGTGATCACCAGGTGGTTGTGGCCATCCTCAAAGGTGTGAAGCCTAAGCGTCCAGACATCCCTGCCATCGAGGATTGTCACTGGAACTTTATCGAGCAATGTTGGGTTGAGTCATCACAACGACCTCCTATTGCTGATGTCCGAGATTCAATGTATCACTATAGAGATGCTATGTGTTAACCCATGTTTTTGTATCAGACAAGTTTAGCAATCGATTCCGTACACATTAAATGGGGGTTCAAACGTTCATCGATTTTAGAAGAGCCAACTTGGGAGATCCATGATTCGATCCGCACACTCCAAGGCTTGCTATATTGCCAACCCCTACCTGGTTGTGTTGGAATCATGTGCCTAAATTGTGGCAGTACGGCCGTTCTATCTGTCTCCTGCGAATGAATGAAATGATATAGTATCATGCAGGCTATTCTGTTCTAGCAATGTGTATGTCTCAAGGCAAAACACCGCAGGACTCGACTCGTTCATATCAATATGTCCATGTTGTAGTCACCCTGGCGGAGAACGAAATTTTACGATTATTCACGCCCATTCAAACGGGAAATTCCGTCTACTTGAAGTCGATTCATTTACTCTGCACGACGAGGCGGAACGCGGAAGGTGATTCAAGCGGCAAAGAAGCGACTATTGTTGCGGGTAGTGCTGCTATAAGGGAGCCCATCGGGTAAAGTCAGCCGGTTATTGGTTGATCCAATGGAAGAAACGGAGGACGTCTAGCGCGACTTTTGATTGTTGGCCAAATAATCTCCAACTATTCATATTTGTAAAAGGAGGTACTAATATACTATTGTCTTATTATTCCTGCGCTCAACCTGCCTCGTTAAAAGAGCACACTCATGAGTCTACTAACCTAAATGATCCAACCTTTCTTGTCCCACTGCAGGTCTTGGTTAGAGAATGTCGGGAGGAAGCTGTTGTGGTGGAGAAGCAGCCCGTCTGTCACCAGTGATAGTGGGATAGACCCGGACAACCAGTAAGTCCATAATACCTTGTGGCCATGCACTTCTTCATGCGACTTTTCATGCAGCTTGCCCGACCTTACGGGATTTGTATCCAAGGACTCGCCTCATCCAATAGCGCACGGTAGTTTCGGGGATGTGTGGAAATGCACCTATATCGCATCCAACCGTCCAGGCCTGGAGGCAAGCATGCTACACGTATGACTGTCCGGCAATCTGAATCCATGACAGGTGGCAGTCAAATCTATAAGGATCGATGTCGCAGGTGACGAATTCAGGGCCCGAGTTACTCAAGTACGTTATCGATTTCCCCTTTGTATGTGATGCGCTTGTTCAAACCTCATGTCTTCATAGAGACTCTTGGGCGATTTTCGTGCACGCAAGCAACTGCATCATGACAATCTTTTGCCTTTGCTCGGTTTCAGTCATGAATTCGGGCTACTTCCAGCGATGGTTTCTCCCTGGATACACAACGGCTCGCTCACTACATATCTTGAACACTATTTCACAGAAATGACCATCAAACAAAAGCTCCTGATCGTGAGTTGTTTCTTAGAAGTGCTGTTACATCATGGTATTCATTGGAACCTTAGTTACGGCAAGTCGCTGCAGCCATCAGCTACCGTATGTGGAATCTTCAATAGTTTGTGAAAACAATAAGTAACAGCATTACAGTCCACTCGAAGCGTGTTGTCCACGGTGACCTTACCGCCGTATGTACTAGTCGTCTGATACTTGCCTTCTAGTTCTGATCTGAAACGCCAGAACAACATTCTGATAGATTCAGACTGCAATGCCCACGTAGCAGACCATGGAATTCTTACCATGTGTTCTGAGCTCTCAGGGACTTCATACATCAGAAGCAACGTGCGGTGGGCTGCGCCAGAGCTCTTCGAGGTCCCCGAGAGCGAAGAGTCATTGACTCCACAACCAGCCAGCGATATCTATTCCTTCGGATGCATCATGCTTCAGGTTCGAGGCGTTCCCTAGTGGTTGCGTTAGTTTGCGACTAAAGATTCCATAGGTTATGACAGGCAGACCACCCTATGCAGATGTGCGAAGCGATCATCAAGTCATTGTCCTGATACTGAAGGGTAAGAAGCCTACAAGACCATCGAGTCCGCACGACGCAGATTCTTTCTGGGATTTCATGGAAAAATGCTGGGGTGATATAGGACGTCGCCCCTCTGCCGTTGATGTCCTGAACTTCTTAGGATCAGATCATATTACTGCGCTAGTTAAACAAACAGAGAGCTGATCGATCGCCAATTGATTTATGATATCATTTTTACGTTGAGGTTTCACGGTGGTGAGGTACATTCCTACTATTATGTAAGCTCGAATTTTTCAGCAAGTCGCCTCTACTTATCTCATGTTGGACTTGTATAGATTGGTCACTGCAGTTGTGTCCACTGACTCCACTCAGCATTCCGACGCATGATTCAGTGGGCATTTTTCTTGTAAAGAAAAAATTCGTTGTCCTTTCGAGTTGAAGACCCATGCCGGATGTAGCCTATGATATATTCACGGGGGCCGCTTATCTATCGTAAGTGTGTATGTAGTCTGACATGTTGAATATACGGTAAACGTGCACTCCGTGGACCCCCCCGTCAGCACGATGTCGGGGAAAGGCCGACACTGATTCCGTACAGGAGGAAATTTATGGTACGATGTTCGTGGAGAGATAGAGTTGAATATTTGGGAGTCGCGCTTCTTGTCAGTGTTGCGTTATGTCCCTAGGTTCCAACTTCGGAGTCTGTATGCATGAGCGTTGATGCGCATTGGTAAGTTTATTTTCCAATACTTATTTTGTTTGGCTGGTTGCCCGGGAGATCAATAGGTGCCTCTCTGTACCACGGGACCTAACCCTGACTAACTTCTTGCTACCACAGTGGATCTTGTGCGCCAGCCGATCACTACCACTTTATTCAACATGGTACTATTAGCAACTAGTGTCCGGCAATGTCCTGAAACTTCCCTTGGAGCGATGATCATGAAGGTATGTACAAATTAGTATTGGTTTACATGCTGCAAACGTTCATTTTAGGTCTGCGTGCAAAACCTTCAAGGGTTCTTCCCTGTGCAGGTGACTCATACCATACATGAGCTAAAAGCCAGTGTCTACAGGTTTTTCTAGTCAGGGGATGCGAGTCTTGTTATGCAAGCCCCAAACCTCTAGGTGCAGATATTGGTGATTTGAAACGAAGGAAATCATTCATGATTGATCAAGGCGGAGGACCTGCTCAAGGGTTCGGTGGCAGAAACCCGTGAATCAACGCTGGATGATCGAATTAAACAAGAATCAGAACTACGGAACCTTACCCTCGCCCGTCACGACATGTCACCTTACATCACCGATCTGTTCCATATCTTGGAGCATGAGTCATATTGCATGAAAACCTCACGATCAAGGTGCGGTTTCAATATGGCCTAGTTGCCAATAGAACTTGTCATACGTGGGAATGTTTCTTTGAGGTCCTGTGCAGTGCGAGCGTTAAAGACGCCTTGCATGCCTTATTACTATATGAACGAGTGGTTCGAAAATCATTGGTGCAGGCAGAATGGGACGGGCCAATTCAGTGCAGTTAGTCATCAGTTGCTTTTCTCAGTCAAGACTGACTCAGACAAGGCCAACGCACAAGCCATTAATTGCTTCGATTTGGCTCAAGCCTTCAACAACAAACATTGACCCTCGCAGAACGACTGACTTGCGTTAACATCGTTTTGTAGCAGGCGATGTTAGAACTAACATGACATATTTTTCGAACCTCTTATCTCTTTTCCACGAGGATTATCTTAGCCGCCAAGAGTGAATATGGCTTTGCGACTGCTCTTTTCAGTATTGCCAGTGCTGTTCACTTGCTGTTCACATCCCTGACAACACGTTTCAAGATGTCTCATTGTCCGCCATAGATCGGAAGTGGAATTTCCCCTCGACACCTAATAACGTGAGCGTCTGTAGTGGAAGGCCAGCGTTCATCATCGATCTAATTCATCTACAGCGCTGCTTCGACCAATACTAGTCGTGGTGTCCTCAGTTGAACCCTACGCAGCCTCCTTCCACCGTAATTATCGGTAGGATAACTTTGCGATATTGTCGCACTAGTGTTTTTTGCATATAAGACTGTAGTTCATCGATGCTAGGGAACAGGACCATCTTCCACTGTGATTTCTCGTCGACATGCTCGACCGCGTTCAACAATTCCTGCATGGTCTTGTACGTTTGTTGACATTGTCCATGGAGCCATCCATTCATCTCAATTTAACAGGTTGGCCATGCACCAGGTGGCCAAACATCTCCTGTTCAGCCTTCCGATGATACAGAGGACTTGTATGTCATTTCTTTGCCTCAGCAGGACTTTATAAACATGGAACAGTAATAGTGTCCTCTGTATCAATCCAAGTGATATCCACCGGGAAACCAGCTACCCAACCGCCTCGAGTGGTTTGGGAGATGTTTACAAGTGTAAATGGAACCGTGGCGCAAGCTCTGATGAGGTATTTCATAAACTTGCTTTTTCTGCATGTCCTGATTATGACTTCAGGTGGCAGTCAAATCCCCACGATTCCCGAGTCTAAGTGATCTTGAAATTGTCAAAATCAACAAGGTATGTTGGGTGCCGGTCTGATGGCCGCACATATGAACTTGTGAGACGCAGAACCTTGACCGCGAGATCCGTATATGGGCCGCGTTAAAGCATCAATATGTATTGCCCTTACATGGCACTGTAGAGCAGTTCAGCCCATTTCGCGCATTGGTTTCCCCCTGGATGCCCAACGGGACTTTGGACTCTTACCTTAAGCATGCACATGAGACCCTCTCGATGATAGATAGGCTTCGGCTGGTGAGTCTTATCCACGAAGACGAGTACGAGAACTCACTACGTTTTCAACAGCTTGAACAAATTACTGAGGGGCTCCGGTATCGTGAGTGATGGATTAACTATGGATGTGACAAATATAACTTTGATTTCTGCAGTCCACGACCACAACGTCATACACGGCGACCTCACCAACGTAAGTTCACAGATGCCATGCAACCGGAATCATCTTATGATAATCGTAGAGTAATGTTCTGGTTGCTGCCGACGGGTCCCCTCGTCTTGCAGATTTTGGTATCTCCAATATCATGGTGCAATCCAACCCTGCCTTTTCTTACCACACCGGTGCAGTACGTTGGGTCGCTCCAGAGCTTCTTGACCCCCCAGAAGAGCAACCCATACAATGCGCAACGATATCCACTGACATATACGCTCTCGGTGGTATCATGCTTCAGGTTCGTGGTCTCGCGTTGGCTGACTGGTGACACTAACTTCGCCTGCGTGCAGGTCCTATATGGGAAAAAGCCTTACTGGTGGCTGAAGTCTGCCATGCACGTTACTTCTGCTAAGCTCAAACGCACAGAGCCCGTTGACTCCTCCATCGAAATCCAGCCTAATCACCTGAAATTCATGCGGCGGTGCTGGTCAACGGAGAGTGAGCTTCGGCCGTCAGTAGAAGAGGTAATAAATTATCTTCAAGAAGCACTGTTGAATGAGACCTCGTTTGTATAAAGTCTTGGTTTTGAAGTGATCCTCTTTCTTGTTGTTATGTTAACTCCGGGCGTGTCCTACCATATATCAGATTGCTCCGTGTCCCTCAGTGTCGTATGATTCACTAGCTGTATTTGTATTTATGTAGGAGCAATACTAATGCGCTGGAAGACTACATGCAATACCACTCCTCATAGTGTATGTAAACAAGGATAAATTAGGAAACACATGGATGTTGTTCCGAGTACACAGCATCCTAGGCTAGTTCATCGTATTGTTGTTACTCTGCTCCTAAGAACTTCGCAATTGCGGAAGCCACTGGTCGATCTCCGGATCTGACAGATATGCATTTCAACGAATACTCCTTGTGTACGTCTTCAATGTCAGTGAATTGACGGAAGGGTTCTGTTCCTGAGACTCTTGCAGTAATAATGTGATATGCTTGCGTTAGCCAGAGGTAAGGTGCACGTCCACAAAACAGCTGCACATGATCAGCACAGTAACTGACATGTAATCGAATGGGGGGAAACATACCTGAAGCATGATGCAACCATATGAATATATATCGGCAGCTTTGGTTGGTACGACCACTCCCCCTTGCTCAGGTAAAGCAAGCATCTCAGGTGCCATCCACCGCACATTTCCTTGGTGGCACGAATTGAAGGTAGAGTTTTGTGATTCTGAAAGGATTACTGAGAGACCGAAGTCCGCAAGATGGAGCTTCCCATCGGCGCTGAGTAGAACATTGGTCTGTAGATCGAGTTGTCATACTAAGACATCAGAGATACGACTTTTAACACGTACACATGTTAAATCGCCATGGACCACTTCGTTGTCGTGTACTAACAAGTCGGTGAGCATGTCTGATCCCGATACAGAAAAAATATAGATGCACAATACTTGAGGCCGGCCGCCATCTGTCTCAACTAAAGACATGTTAGAGCTCGTCCGAATGCTGTGAGATACGGTGCGTACCATTCTCAGTTTGTCGGTCTTGGAAGGAACACATCCCTTTTTCAAATAACTATCAAGCGATCCATTTTCCATCCACGGAGACACTAGGGCAGGGAGTGGCCCAAAGCCATCAACAACACCATTGAAAGTAAGAATATTTTCATGCTCTAGGGTGATCCAAACATAAGCCTCGCGACGAATCCTCTGTGAGTTAAAATGGGTGAACACGACGACTTTCAGTTCGTTCTTGCTCCTACCTTGCTTGTCCTATTCACTAGTTCTGTATCATCTGCTTGAGGAACCCTGACTGATTTTACTGCAACCTAAAAGGTAGTTAATATTGTGAATTTCCGATCGAGTGCAGAATTACCTTAAATGTTCCAACCTGAGGTCGAGACCAAGAACACTTCCAGACATCACCGAGCCCTCCTGTACCACTGGGAAACGACTCAAGTTTTGTGACTTCTGTCGTAGGAATGTTATCTGGCTTAATTTTGAAATCAACTTGGTGAGGGGGCTGGGGACTGCCATTTCCCTTCTATCGAGGCCCGAGGGTAATCTGTGACTGTTATTCACATTGAATACAAGGGCATGAACTTACCACAGATTTTTGAGAGCAGCAATTACCCATTACGGGATAACAGCAATGCTAGGCCACAGCGTTCGAGGTGGCGAAAGGCAGCCGTAGAGACGATGTCGTTGTTAACTTGAAGCGGTTGGTCTGCAGGTATATAATTGAGAATACAGACGCTCAACAGACACCGCGTGGTGGGGCAGTGAATTGTCACACCATCACTCATGCCGGTCTGTGTAGAACTTTGATACTACAAACTGCAAGATGTAAGCTTGATGTACCAACACGAGGCCGCACTGTGGCAGTGTTCACTAGCAAATATTCTGTCATGCGATGGATGAAATCTTCTTAGAAAAATATAGGTTTTCTATCAGACCATCACGAAGGACTCCACTAACGCACTGGTTGGCAGTGCCTACAGTCAAACCGAAATCTTCAGTGCTCTGGAAGTTCTTAAAGGTATGTAAGGGATGTCCGTAAACGGCAGTAAAAATGATCCTGTGTACTAATCTACACACTTGGCCGCTCCTTGACCAATTTTGAGCGTCAAGACTTGCCGCGGGATAACCCGCACTGCCCCGCAGGAACATACTGTCTCTCTTATTACTTTCCACCAGATTTGAGATGGCTCGCTCTTCAACTGGGGATTCAGGAAGGGCTCACGCGTGAACGCAGTCAAAAGAGCCTCATGGTTATGCTCAGTCACACCTCTTTGTCGCACTATGGCCTCAGTTAAGACATGCTGAGCCCAAGTGTTCGTTTCAAGAATTTTTTTTCACTTGCCCAGCTTTATCGGGGGTCTGCATTTCTACATAGAACGTTTGATGTCGGGACTGGGTAGTTTCCCGAGTTAATCGCACGCTTATCATGATTAGACTATGTTTTCCCTCATTCAAGGTACGTGCTTAGTGTCTGAAAAGTGATGTTTGACGTTCCGGTCCTGACACTCTAGGTGTTCGACAGTCGGCCAGTGGGACGAGCTCGCTCATTGAAGAGGAAGAATTTCTTACCATCTCCCTTAGCTAATTTCTCTCCAGGTCATGCAGCACTCAAATAATCATTCATCACGTTGTTACTACTAGTGTTCTGATATTGATCGTATCTGCCAATGACAGGTGAAAGCTTTATGATCTGGCGCTACACAATAACTGGCTGGCGCAACCCTTTAACAACAAGACAAGCGTCATGATCTAGGCCACATAAAGCCATATAACTTGCTCCACACACAGGAAGCTTGATCTCATGCAGCTTTACTACACATTCCCTCGGCCTTACCAAAAATCGTTTCCGGCTCGAAGTGTTCTGATCTTCGATATCGCCGAATGCCATTACTCTTCAATTATCGCACAGGTGATACAGTCCTTGGCCCGGTTCGAGTCTGCCTCCGACCGATAACTGGGAAAAAATTGACAAGCGCCACGCATGTACTTGCATAATGAATTTTGAAGCATAACACTTCGATCGAAGCTTTGATTTGAATAGGTGAGCGTTAATCTTGTATGTGTGCAAATGCATGGTAGGGATTCATATAATTAAACATGTGCATCGCAAACTATCTTTCGCCGAGTCTGATGGAAAACGTGGAGTATACCAATCACCGATGTATACGACCATTGAATAACACAGCCTCTCAGGGTTTTTCATTACATTCGCTATCAAGGCGCTAGGTTTCGGGCTCAAACAGGTCACAGGGCCTCATGGCCGTGGTATTTTTGGGTTGACGGCATGGTTGATTTGTCTCTTCGGTAGTGGTATATAGAGATGCCCGTTTCGTCTCCTACATCCCAGTTGTCTCATTTTGAACTCTGAGATCTAGCTTTACTTCGCAATGGGCGATCTCCCACCCGTAAGTCAATATGGCTTCCAAGTTTCCACGTTGACGATATACTGATATCATTGGCAGGAGTCAGTTCAATTCAAAATTGAACCAGACCTTATTCCTGCGACAAACATCGTAAGAGATGGCAACTTTCCTACCTGTACAGGAGGGCTTGGTGACATCTGGAAATGTTTAATGACTACACGATCTGGAACTCAACGCCCTGTGAGTTTAGACATGGGTAGAAGACTCATCATTCATTATAATCAAGGTCGCCGTCAAATCTATCAGGGTCCTTTCGGTAACAGATGCGAAGATATTGAAAGCGATAGGCAAGGTTAGGGCGGATATTGATATGCAGTTCCACTCACTGATACGTCTACTCCCCAGAAAGTTCGTCGTGAGGCCTATGTTTGGATACAGTTGGAACACGACCACATTCTCCCTCTCGAGGGCGTGACTTTCGCTGAAGAATTTGGGCTACTTCCAGCATTAGTGTCTCCATGGATGGAAGAAGGATCGCTGGACGATTACTTGAAGCGCAAGTTCCCCAGACTGTCCGACCCTGGAAAACGAGAGCTTGTAAGTGTCAAATGACTACTGCACTAGCTTATACTTAGCCATGATTTCAGGTATGGCAGGTAACTGCTGGTATTAGTTACCGTGAGTTCCGTTGTTAACAGATGTAGCGATCGCACCGTTTACTAAAGACTATCCACTTAGTGCACGGCAAGGGTATCGTGCACGGCGACTTGACAGCGGTAGGTCTTATCCCAATCCACATGTAGTATGTAGCTGAATTCAATGACAGACCAACGTTTTGGTTGACAGCACCGGTCGCCTCCGTCTCGCAGACTTCGGTCTATCGATGGTTCTTACCGAGGCAGGGAACGCTACATTTAACTCCTGTCACGCAGGAAACGTACGTTGGATGCCCCCAGAGGCTCTCCGAGACGGAGATGAAGATGATGATGAAGCTAAAGACGAGAAGCCAACTAAAGCTTGGGATGTCTATTCATATGGCTGCATAGTGTTTCAGGTCTGTCAGATTGTCAATACACGAAAACAGTCTTCTTACAATAATCCAAGATCTTTGTGGGAAAGCAACCCTATGCGTGGATAACAAGTGTTCTACAAGTTATGGGCGCTATGCAAAAGGGACGTGCACCTTTCAGGGGCATAGAGAGTCATGGGGTGTACCAACAATTCTCACCGTGCTTGAATGAGATATCAGCCCATCGTCCGACGATAGACGATATAATGAGATTTCTGGGGCCACGGTAAGCGTCGTCATGTAGTGAGATATCACGATAGTGTATACCAATTATAGTGACAAGGTTGGAGGATATTGCTACACAATTCGGTGCTTAAAACCCGCTTTTGTGGGATAGGGTTCTGTAGTCCCGTAAGATGCTGCACAATGAAGACGATGTTATGTCTGTTCCTTTTTTACCTGTAGAATGCGCACTGCGCAGAGCAGAAGTCAACTCAACAAAATCTGACCACAGACGCCACCAATGATTTTTGCTCACCCAAGTGCTCGCCGCGTTAGAAGACAAATCATCATTGTACAACAATTTTGCAACCTGGTACAGTTCTCGGGATATACTGACAATACACATACTGAATAATGACGCGCTGCGGCGGCTTTTTCGTGTCACCTGTCCCTGGGAGAAACAGATTTTGCAGCTGCATGCGATGTTGACCGCTTATGTTTTATCATGGTTTGGGCAAGTGATCTATAGGCAGTAAATTACCAAGTACCACTTACAAAAGTGAGTCGCGTCGAACAGGCCGCACGTTGCGCGTGTTCAAGTGTCTGAGTCCGACTCTCCCTGCCGAATGCTGCCGCTTGACTGTTCCAAAGTTGATTTCGTTTTCGAAAAACGAATGTGAACTCCCATATTCATGTGATATATCAGAAACTAACGCGGCCGAGCGCCGTTGCGATTTTTATCAAAATGGATCCTTCAAGTGATACTTTCCTTAGACTACGCAGATTTGTGTGGGCCGGCCGCACCAGTGCATGCGGACTCTGAATCGGAGGTCTCTCATATCATTGTACCATAGCCATAGTAATGGATTCTGATTCTACGATAGACTAGTATGCATGAACATTACCATGAAGTACCGAGCCGGGGGATATGCAATCCTATATTATACTTGAACGCTGTACTGTGCCAGTGAGGCAGCTAGAATAAAAAATACGAGAATGAACCAGTTCCGGACAGCGATATTTTATGTAGATGAGACCCCGTTAGAGATAGCTCCCTCAGCGAGAAAGCCCAGTACCTCATCCACTGATGGACGGGTCTCACTCTTGACTGACCAGCACCGCCGCATGAAGTCCAGATGATGTGCTTGAATTTGTATGGTGTTGTCTTTGATGGGCTCTTGGCCTTTGCACTTTGATGCTATGACTGAGTTGGCTTGCTTGATCCACCAGTAGGGTAGTTTGCCGTATAATACCTGCGGGCACCGTGTCAGCGTCATAAAAACACGCAAATGAGACGCTGACCTCGAGCATGATACACCCAAGAGCATATATATCACTGGATTTGGTGGCATATGGCACGGCTTGACCTTCCAAGAGGTCGATGAGTTCTGGAGCTACCCAACGAACTGCGCCATTGTGGAAGGAGAATTCCGGGTTAGATTGAACCATGATATTCGAAACACCGAAGTCTGCAAGGCGCGGTGATCCATCAGCAGCAATTAGGACATTTTTCTATAATAACAATCAGTGGGTCACGAAACGTATAATGTAGGTAAACCTACACTGGTCAGATCGCCGTGAATCACGTTAGTGTCGTGGACTGTCCGCAGTCTACGGTTAAGCCGGACGTTTCTAAGCCAATCCATTACTTACGATGTTTGAGCCCCTCGGTGATCTGTTTAAGCTTCGAGAAACAGTAAGCTCCAGTAATCGGGTGTCGAAAGAAAAGCTTACAATACGAGGCTTGTCCATCCCGGTGGGGGTTTCATGTTCACGAGTAAGATAGGAGTTCAATGTCCCGTTCGGCATCCACGGGGAAACCAATGCTCGAAATGGACCGAAACCCGTTGCGGTGCCACGCAGGCACAATACATACTGATGATTTAATCTAGTCCAGACCTTGATTTCGCGTTCAAGATTCTGTGTTCCAAAGAAATTCAGACACGCGGAGGTTTCAGAGGCTGCCCAAACATACACGATTTATTCTGACCACTGCGGCGTCTGTAGGGTTTGGCAACCGTGGGTATTTGACTGCAACCTGAGCATAAGTGAGCGTGAGCATAGAGAAGATCAATGTGTGGCATACTTCTTCCAGACTTGCGTCCCTGTTCAATATGCATCTGTAGACATCTGCAAGTCCACCCGAAGCAATCGGAAAATTGGTTTTCCCGGTAGCAATGCTTGTGTCCACAGTGAACAAACCGTATGTTGATGTCTGAGTAGCTGCGGTAGGAATTAAATGAACAAGTTGCGAGCCCCCTTCAGAGATGGAATCGCGCCCGCTTTCCCCGTCTTCGGAGGTATATTCAAAGGAGGTCTGGCTTAAATAAGGTTGTCGCTCACCAGAAGAAGACCGAGTAACGTCAGATGGAGAGGGTGAGCTGGGTCGATCATGGTAAAGAGGGACTTGACGTGCAAGAGCCCTCAGAGGAGTGAAAATCGACATATCGATAGGAGAAGCACAGGCACAAAAGGATGTCGATGTGCTTTCTCAGCAACAGTTGTTTTTCGTCTTATACACAAGGATTACAACGGTTCCCGCTGATATCGCGATCAGCTGATAGCTCCCGGGAATAGAAATCGCAGAAGGCGCACCAGGAAAGCCGCAACTGGGATTGAATGAAATCCACACTGGAGCTGACCTTCCACCACATAAACGCCCATTCATAAACGCATCAAGTAAATGCAGACACTGAATTCATCAGATTTCCTGAGGCGTGGTCAGGGATATGGAACTACCAATCGAAATTTTAGCCCAAACTATGCGCGATGCATCGACTTCGGCGACAACCCTGTGGTGGATGTGAATCTTGATAACCAATTCAATGTTAGCAGACGCTGCCTGTCGTCTGATCATGACTTCGAGCGCCGAGAAGTATGCGCTCATCCTAAAATAAATGGATCTATTTCTTCTATGAAAACAACTCGAGGCGGCGCCTATGTGACTCGTGTTGTTCTTCTGACCACTGTAAGACCACGCTTTAGATCATTCATCCGATAAGGGTGACTTACTAATCCTGATCATGTATGCATCATATTGAGCTTTACGGTCCACCATCCACGGAAACTTGAGTGATGTGCGTGCGCGTCTAAGTATAGAGTTCATAAGCTCCCAATTAGAAAACTGTTCTGTTGATGATGATATCAAGGATCTCGACCTCGCCGATTGTGGATTCTCTGCTAGTAGTTCGAGCCGAGAGACACGGCACCCTAGATGCGAAGGATAGCAGTGGTTCGATGACGTGTTGGCGGTATTCTCTTCCAGAAGTTTAATCTCGGAAGGACCATGCTTTAGGTGCGTGTGATCAATTCACTGATCCCCATGCAGATCTCAAGGACCAAGTCCTATCGTCGGATGGACATGGAAACAGGCCAAACTAAACCTACATACTTGTTGGGTCGGACCGAACTAATCTGCAAATGCCCATCGCTTGTGGATCAACCCGAGCTTATTAACGAAATATATTTGATAACTTACTATTTGATACCGTAACAGATGCAGATCATGTGGCAGCGGTATAGCGCGGCGCAATACAGGTTATACAGCAACATCGTCTAATCGAGTCATATTTAGCACCCCCTTACCAAATCCACCCGCAAGCACTTTAAACCCGTTATCTTGCACATCTGCGAGGAAAAGCTCGTGTTGATCTGCCATCCTCTCGTTGTTCCTCCGAATCTCCTGGATGATCCCATGTTGGCGTACGCAAAGCGGGCATTCTGTCTCGTGGTCCAGAAGACATCTATATGAAATGTACATTAGCACTGACATCACGAGATAGCCAGAAGAGGTGAAAGGAATAATTCGGACAATTAATAAGTAAGCGAAATGCGTACCGCTGGTGATATGAGTGGTTGCACATGAAATGGACACTGGGGAGATCGAGCTGCCCGCTGCACTGAGAACAGCGCGTCACACTAAACACCTTTGCATGCATGGGGTCCTCTAGTTCAGTCACTTGCTTCAACTTCGCATTCGTTTCTAGCTGGTATGAGTTGATCAGTTGCTGGTCCTATCACAGGAAAAATCGTCAGCGTGAAAATGAGAAAGAAATGTAAAGAAATCACAGTTTGCACTTCTTCCCTTGCTTCCTTGATGCGTCCCATCAGCCAGTCCTTGACAAGGCCTACGCTCGCTACTCCATTCCTACTCAGTATCTGGACTACACCAAGCGGAGGTATTATCCGCTCCTTCTCGATATGTTCCAGAATCTTCTCTACGTCCGCCTGGTGCCGCGTGAGCAGCTCCGGCGTACTTGTCAAGAAGCGCAGCACCAGCTCATAGAGGTGCGGGTGTGTTGGGCCATATCGTACAAGGGCCTGCACGACCTCTGTTGACGCAGAAGACTCGGATGGCGATGTGTTGTGCTTGTCCATCCAAAACCGTAAAATGTCTTCATACATACCCAGCTTCTCCCAAAGTATGACCAGACCTCGGGTATAGCTGTAGCTGCTGCAAAGAATCAATGCATGTGTTTTATCGCACGGTAAAGTGTCGCTCGTCAGAACTTTGAGTGCCTTTTCCTGTTGTTCTGGTGAGCCTCCGTCAAGGTAGAGCTCAAGCAACGTGTTCCAAACTGCTGCCTGATTGTACTTCTCTAGGTCTTCGTCTTTGTCCAGACTGGTATCTAGAAGAGAAGATGGGAGAGAGGAGAGTGACTGTCCCCACCGACGTGCAGCTACGCTTTCTAGGAAACGGACAAAATATGACGGATGATCAACAAAATGCGCGAAATAGAGTGTAGGTGAAGGTCGTTTATCTTTGGATGGTGTTGGTGCGCTTGGCTGCGTTGTTTGGGGTTCCGTAAGGTCCTCCTCTTTGTCCGGATTGGATTCCTCAACTTTGTCTTCAGGCGCGGGCGCACGGGAGAGGGCAAGGTACGAGAGGTAAGATGGGGCGTTTGCTGGTGCGCTCGACTGTTGTGGAGTGGTGTCCTCTGCTTCAGGGATGATGAGGGGCCCAGAGATGGTGCAAAGGTCAATAAGAAGCTGTGTCGTCTCCTCCGGAAGATTATCTAACATAGCGCGTCCGTACCTAGCGAGGTTGCTTTCCGCCTATATAAATGTATTAGCCTCATACAGGAAAAAAAATCCAAAACCGAATAACGAAGATTAGACTTACCGCGACTGCTCCCAAGTGTCTCAAATACGTCAATGCTTCCCCATACTTCCCAGCGTCTTCAATCATGACCCTCAAATATTCTTCGTGTCGCTTATAGCGCTTGGCAAGGTAGCTGGCATGATCAAAGTATCCTGCCTGCCTACACACCCGGATAGCAGTGTCTAGGTCAAATGGAAGGTCGCCGTTCGACTCTGCTGCACCAGAGCGTCGAGACTCTGTTTTAATGAAGCTGTCTAAGCGTGCAACGTCTTTGAGTTTGGTGTAAGTATTAAGCAGAAGAGTGGTATGATCAGCGTTTGCCAGGCCAAGGGCATGTAGCTCTTGCAGATAGGTAACGAGGTTGTGAATGCGCTGAGCGTCCAGGAACTGCGCCACCATCGTCAGATCTATTGTGTTGGAAAAAACACAAATAACTGACTTTTCTAACGACGTAGCTTGGTTTCACCCAACCTATCGTCTTCAAATAGCACGTCATCGCACCATCCCAATCTCCTTTCGTGTAGAGGTGGTCACCGTGCTGACGATGAATATCAGCCACGTAGCTCTCGTCGAGGTGTTGTGTCTGCGCGAGACTCAGTGCAAGTGGGTACAGAGCCTTTGCGTACAGCATGGAGAGTTTTGCAGAGGTGGATTTCTCGGCAAGGCGAGTCAGCTAAACAAGGGCAGTGACGTCAGATTAAAAGTCAACGCACAATTCTGAGCATTGTTAGGACGCACCTGCCCATTATTTGTGAGGATATAGATATTGCCCCACTCCGAGATCACCTCTCTGATACCCTCCGCAAACACCCCAGTATATCCAACTACCTTATTCTCCATGTCAAACACAGTCACCCTCGACGCATCACCGTCTCCACCTGCCGTTTGTGCTGCAAGCTTTCGCGTAGCAGGTGATGTCGATGTAGCTGTTGTCGGTGGTGAAACGACTATGACATAGTTAAGGTGGGTGTGGATCGACGACTTGTAGCCTGTGAAAGACGTAACATCACCTCCCAGTACTTGAATTCGTACCAATCCACTCACCTTCATAAGCATATGGCGGCTCCCTCCCATGTAAACCATACGCATATACTGCTTCATCTCTCGCAAGCACGATCTTCTCGGCGCGCCAATCCATCACCGCACATCCCAGTCCACATCCAATATCGTCTAGTAACACGCTAGATCCTCCACTCCCTTTGCCGGACACGTGGTACAAGTGTACCGTGTTCGTGGTCACAATGAAAAGGTGCAAGTTGTTATCCTTAGCATCGGCATTAGTGGGACTCGGAAGTTCTCGGAAACCAAGGCCAGTGATAGGTTCAGGGGATGATTCATGGATGATGCGTGTCTTAGGCAGTGCAGTCAGGGACGTTGTGGAAGATAGTGACTGGTCCAGGTGCCTGTAAAGTAACACCGTCCCGTCGGCCAAGCCGATAGCAAGGAAAGACAGTGCAGAAGAAAGTGCAAAGCAAGAGACCTGAATTACAAGCTCACCGAGCGAAAGTTGAACGTAGTGAGTCACTCACTGGATGAGGCTTATTGCTAGGCTGGACCTTGGAAGATTTCAGTAACACTGGTGCTTGGTTTTTCTTGTCCGTCTTCCCAAGATCCCAAATCTTCAGCAAACTACCTCGTACTGCGCTCTCCTCCCCAATCGTCACCAACACACCATTCCTCTCTGCCATGTGCATTACTCGTCCTCCCACATGTGCGACCCAGCTCGTTGTCGATACGAACTCCTTGTTTAGAGTGTGTATACTGCCGTGAATATCCGCAACGAGCAACCCAGCACTGGATGAGGCGACAGTTGAGATTTCCGAGGCGTTTTTGAAAATCTCGGGTGGGCTAGCAAGGTCATGGACGTCCTTCACAGGGTGAGCATCGAAAAATGCAAATTGGCGAAGCTGAAGGGGTCTAGTAACTGAGGGCGACTACGACATCCGACAGTGGCCAACATACCGCAGTAGCAGCTACAACTTGGACTGTCGTATTTACCATCGAACTTAACACACGAAAGTGACTACTAGTACTGCAGTCCGTGAAGGGGAATTGAACCAGCGCTGGAATGTATCCTGCTAATTTGAGTAATCATATTGTAATCAGGAACCATAGGTTTCTGCCACTAGTACAGAGACGACGCTCATAATGACTAAGTACTAGTATGTACCATAGTAGGACTAAATAATAATGTGCATCAGTCGAAGCTGGTGTAGCATATCGTGTATCTACTATTCTATATTCGTTGTGAAAATTAGCTGGTCTGCGATGTCGAGGACATCTGTGAGCATGTTAACATGATAGCTGTAGGCCTAAATCGCAGGTGTGAGAGATATCAAGGTATGGAATCTCGCGAATATGATGTCGGACAGAGAATAAGACAGCATATAACATACAAAGCTAGGAAACTGCCGTGGCATCACGAGTCGCATGAGAGCAGGAGCTTTCCTTTAGCTGTTCCTGTATAAATGTCAGGACTTCGTTAGCTGAAGGCCTTTGTTCCAGTTTATCAAGCCAGCACTTCTGCATGAAATCCCACAGAGCATCGGGAATGGATGGAGTCACTGGTCGGGCAGGCTTTCGGCCTCTGAGTATTTGTACGGTAACTTGATGGTCACTCCGAAATTCGGAATACGGAACCTTTCCTGTGAAGACCTAAAAGAGATTGATAATCGCATTGCATGATGTCAAAATCCACCGACAAACCTGCAACATGATGCACCCGAAAGAATAGATGTCTGATGCCAATTGGGGTAAGCTTATTGACTCCTCATCTTCCGGAACTTGAAAGTTTTCAGGCGCAGCCCATCGCACATTGCTTCTGATGTATGACGTGCCATGGAGCTCGGCACAAAAAATAAGAATTCCATGGTCAGCCACGAAGGCGTCTCCGGTCTCATTGATGAGAATGTTGTTCTGAGTCGCATCAATAATTGTTTTGAAGGAGATATTTGTGGTACTCACGCCGGTGAGATCACCGTGTACTATGTTTTCGGAGTGCACTGATATTCACATTAGCTTTGCGCCGAATACTGAGGTTTGCCGCATACAGTACTGAAGAGCTGAAGCGACATCTTTGAGCTGTAATAGCAAATATTAAAATACGAGCCATACCATGAAGAAAGACCCACGATTTGGAGCATTCGAGTGAGAGTGAGTTGCTGGAAATCACGTTCCAGAAGTATGGTAAGTGAGCCTTTGTTCATCCATGGGGAGACGATAGCAGGCAGTGGACCAAATCCTTGAGTTATACCTAACAAAGGTAACAGATTGGCGTGTTTAAGCTTAGTATTCCGCTGCAAGTCGTGTTCGAGCCTCTGAGGTGTCACGCATTAGCAAATAAACACGTGGTATTACTAGTGCGCGTGGTGTCATTCTAACCTCGGTAATTTTTGTCTTGCAGTTATCGTTCGGAATTTCAAGTCGCAGACACTTTACTGCAACCTGGTAGAGGGAGACAGTATGAGTGCATATTTACAGGTGCAAACCTGAAGGAGCTACCGTGATTCGAGGGTGCTTACGTATGCACTTCCAGACATCCCCAAAACTGCCTTGAGCGAACAGGGTATCGGGATGACTCCTTGCTTATTTGCTCAGTGAGGTCGAGCAGACTATTGATCCGTAGACACTTGGTCAAAATTACACGAAACATAAATTGCATAAAAAAACAAACTCATTCTTTATCTGTGCCGACTTCCAGCTAAGCCCAAAGTTGGCGAGCAACGAGTATATATTTCTTGCCCACTTGTTCAACCAGGCTTGAAACCGAGCGGGTAACAGGATCATCATATGAAGAGGACAAGTGGCTAGTGAATGAGACAGCTGACTGGAAACATGGGATAACGTCCCCATAGCCGCCCCACGGTAGGATTCTTAAGGATAAATTCAACTGGAGTGCGAATACTTAGTAGCCTATCCACCAATGGAGCTGAGCGTTGACGTTGATGGATGGGGACGCTTCGGTACTTCTATCTGGGGCGGTGCACGAAAGTTCAAATTTCAACCCCAGATCCGGCGGCTATTATAATGAGCGTCGACCGTCGAGTTGTTCATTTATGTAATTTGTAAGATAAGACCATCATCTTCGATTGGGCACCCTCGATTGGACGCCCGAGGCTGGCGCAAATGTTATCACATATGTAATAATGTAACATCCACCTTGGCAGGTATACCGGTAAGCACCTATTAATTGTGGTAAGCGCCAGCATTAATATTGCTGCATCATGGTGCATACAGACGTACATGCAGCTGCCTCATGCTGGTCAGACGAGCAATTTGATGGCTTTAGACGCTAAATCCAGGGGTCGAGGCAGTGAACCCCTGAACCCTGGGATGTGGTTTATGCACCACACGGGTTGTGCTAGGTCCCGAACGAATGGTAAATTATCAGCCTATAGCGCTTCCAGGTCCAAGTTGCAGGCCTTCTGCAAGCCTCGAGCATGCAAACATGTGCTGATATGAACTCGCTACTACTAGTTTTTCTCCCGCCATCATTCCCCCCTTACTCGTTCTCTCATTGACTCGGAGGAAATGTCGGAAAATACCCCTACTGGCGTAGTTGCTTCATCTGTCCCTCTCCACATCATTAGTAAGAATTTCAACTTGCTGTGTATTTGACCCTTAGATATTTTTTCCCAGGTATTGTCATCCGCTTTGATGACACTTCAAAGAAGAAAATCGATTTTGCCGAGTTGAAGTTTGACTCACAGCGAAAGGAGATCCGCCACAGTTCGGAACAAGACAAAGACCTCAGTGCGAAGTTCGATCCCGTCATGTGAGCCCACTTATTTTTGTAGAAACTCGTTTAGAACATTGTAACACAGTGCGGTGACCACTGACCGGGTTTCCTTGTCTGTACACTATCAATACTATACTATAGGCACGTTTCTGAGGAAGACCACCAAGAATTTTTCATTAGACAGAAAAGATATCTTGTCTAATGCAGTGACATTGAGTCACGACGGCCAACGAGGTGAACCAATTTTCCTCCAGCTGTACTGCACAACACTTATAGTTCGATGTGATAGAGTATAGGAAGACTGAGGGGAAGATGTCTGTTGTTGTCACAATATCGTCAGTATATTGGTCTCTTATCTCAGAAGAAACCTGAGCCGACCATGATTGATGATATCAGACAGCTGCAGTCGACTAGCAGCAGTATTCTAGAGATTTGCCCAAGATTTCGGCTACTTGTGATAGGGAAGGTCGGTCTCTGTCATTGTCTTCAAGCATAGACGATTCACGCATCCACTTCGTAGACCGGAGTCGGAAAGTCATCACTGATCCAGCAGGCATTCAAAATAAATGAAGTAGTTGAGTCCATGAATTACTGTCACGTGGGGACCGTTGCTGATGTTCAGATGTCTTTTACAGCATATTTCTGAACACAAACGTGGTGAAGCAGATATCGAAAGGGAATTCATTGCGGAAGAAAATGAACGATTTGTCCTCCACGATAGTCAGGGGTTTGAAGCTGGCGATAGCATGATTTTTAAGACTGCAAAAGACTTCATCGACCGTCGACGCAAGGAGCCTAAACTGCAGGACAAGATCCACGCGGTCTGGTACGGTCTTCTGGCTGCTACCACTCTGCCATACTGACACTGCTCAAAGGCTCTGCCTCTCGATACCTCATGCCGATGGACGCTTGCTTGAGAGCGGGGTGGAGGAATTTCTCAATTTGAGGAAGGAAATACTAGGCGATAGTGCGCAACGTTTACATTTCGTTTCTCATAACTCATATTTTAAATCTAGTTCTGCTCATTGCTGTCTTCACCAAGCATGACATCTTTGTCGACAAATTGGAGTATGACGCTGGTGAATCATGTGATGAAGTCGCGCTCGAAGAGCTTAAAGTTAACACATTGGATAAACTGTGTATCCAGCCGCTTAAGGAAGCGGCTGGGAGCGACATCCTGCACGCAACTGTTTCGAGTAAAGGGGTTTAGATTATCTAGTCCCCGATGCTGACGTACCATCATAGCGAACGAAGAGTACGAGAGGACCATAAGACAGCTGGTCGATCTTACAACCACGAACGTCGAAAAATATGTTGCCTCAGAAGCGGCATTAGCAATGATGATAGCCCAGCGAGTAGACATCGGTCTTAAACTTAAGGCTTCAATTGCGTACGCACGACCACTGTTATTTTAGTAAAGCCTTAATTTCACGTTTTTGATCTCCACAGCATCGGCGAGAAAAGTTAGTCTTACCACAGTCTTCGGTGCCTTGTTCACTTCCAATTTCCTAGGATATTGGAGAGGTCTCGCTTCGAGCATGAACTTCACCGGTTTTACCATGTTAGACTGCTTGTCTGTGATTCACAAGGACATCATTGACGTTTGGAACTTCAACGACCCTCATTGTGTAAGATGCATATTAAATTTCATGTCATAGGCCGCTGACACGTTTCTGCGAAGCACTTGGCCAGTGACCAGTGTAGCAGGGCGCTCTGGCAGGACAGGACGGGAGTGGCAGGGGTCCTGGCGCGGTGGCAGGAGTCCTGGCTCGTAGTCGGTAGTCCTTGCGTGTGTCGTAGTCTGGTTGCACATGCGCACAATATCTCACATTCAGCAACTGTGATGGCAGGTTCATGATTGGTTACGGAGGAAAAACTCTCCAAATAATCTAAAGGATGTACTGATCAATGAATCGCCTATCAATAAAATACTGCTTCAAGTCAATACAGATATCATAACAAGATCGACGATATGACTGAAGTATTCGAGAGACATTCAAAAACGCGCTAGCAGCAGACACAGGACTTTCCGCCTCCATGTTCCCCAGGGTCTGTATGTACTGCTACTACTTGCTGCTGTTGTTGCTGCTGTTGTTGTCGGTGCTGTTGCGCATTGGGGTCTGGCGGAAGAGGGTCTTCATCGCGTATCAAGGAGTGCTCACTCCCAGGAGCACCCGCTGCAGCATTACGCTGTAGATTTAAGTGTGAGATACCCAAGAAACAGTTATAAAAAATAACCGAGCGCACTAGTCGACCCTGGGCAAAAGGAACCTCGACAACAGGCGGCAGTGCATGATGGGGTGACCGGGAGAATAGGTGTCGTAAATGAGTTTTGATGGTGGTGGTGACAGCGACTGGTGGTGAGGTAGTGGGCGATGCAGGAGCAGGAGCAGGAGCTTCCTGAGGCCTCCTCGTCATAGCGAGCCCAAGTCTTTTGAGGCGCCCAGGGCGTTGTTGAAGTCCTGGCCTGGAAATCTGAGAATGCTGTGATGAATGATGAGCGAGAGAATAGAAGGATACGCTCTTGCACACACTTGATACGTTCCATAGAAGAAACTGGGATCTGCATCATAGCCATCGTGATCTTGGCCAGGGATCTCTGCCTGCATAATAGTCAGTATCGAAAGAGGTAAGGAGAGAGGTACATACACCGAGAATACGGTCGTTGTCCGCAGCGAGCGTGCTGCATTTTTCCTTGAACTCTGAGTGGCATGCGGGTGAGCATGATAGTCGTGGGTGACGTGACGGAGGACTTGCCGTTGGACCAATCGAGACAGCTGGCCTTCGCAATGTCGTCGATGGTGTCCATCATGTATTTGTGTGCTTCGAGGGCTTCGTCGAGTTTACCTGCCGAAAGGAATGCCTGACACCGTTTCTGGTGTCCAGTGTAGCAACAAGGACTCGAGATCCCAGCCAAAGAGCTGGACAAAGCACTATGTTATGACAAGCATTATGTATGGATCATGTCGACGCACCACGGTCAAGTCCTGGTATGCTAAATGAATGTATTTCGAAGAGAAAGCGTCTGAGTTGACAGCGGCAGTGAAGTGATCAGCGGCTTCGTCGTGACGCGCGCTATCGAAAGCTTTGGTTCCCAGCTGAACACGTAGATATGTCTATTGTGCGAGTTGAAAAGATCAGGATTGATGACCGAGTGTGGCCACATGATACTCACTTCCACGACACGACGCGCGAGAGGATCGACATTGGGACAAGCGGCAGCCAGGTCTTTGATGAGCAGCATTGCTTCCTCGTGTTGATCTACGTTGAAGAGTGCGATGGCCTGGAATACAAGATGAGGCAGAGAGCATGTGAGACGAATTGAATGTACCTTGATCAAGAGAAGAAATTGGTTGGTTTCTGAATTTTGGTTGGTGAACATGGATGCGACGTCGAATGCTACCCTTGCTTCCCGGACGTGACCTTTTCCGCAGAGGGCGATGCCTTTGGAGATGAAGCCCATCAATGATGGCCTAATGTTGATTGACTATGTCACAGATGAAAGTTAGCCTTTCGTCAGAGGACAATGACATCTGACCTTGATTGCATCATCAAGAGCGTTGTCCCAGTCGTGCTTCCGGGCAATAACGAACGAACGATTAGCATATGAAATGACGTCGTCGGCGTTGGTGTGGATCTCTTGAGTGAGGAGCTCTTCGGCTATAGACAAGTCCCCAGTTAGGCATGCATCGCGGGCTGTTGTGATGTTAAGGATCTGCACGAAGGATGCTCGAATTGCGTAACGGGTATCAGAAATGAAAACTTGCCTTGAAATGAGCGTCCTTTGGTATTGCCCACTCCCGGATCTGCTTGTCTTCACCTCCGCTGAGGATGTGCTTGCCGTCCACAGAGAATGTGACACATGTCGTGGCGGATGTCGATGAATGCTGGAATATGGCGATGGTTCGTTGATCCGAGAGCCGCCAGAGACGGACATGACTGTCTTTAGATGCAGAAGCGACGAGGGTGCCAGTGGGATGAATGGCAATGGCGTTGATAGTGTCAGTGTGGCCTTCGTAGGGATGTCCGACCTGCTGCCAGGTTGATGTGTCCCACTCTCGTATGGTGGGATCATGTTCACCACCTCCTGAAAGAAGGCGTGTGCCATCGGGCGTCCACACGAGTGACGCGTTCCATGATTCGTGACCTGTCAAAGATGCGACGCATTCCCTTAAGCTTGTGCCTGGATTATAAATTTGGATATTCTTGTTTGTTGCGATGCACCGCGTGAAACCGTAGATTGTTGCGGCAGAGGATTGCGTGGGAATCTATTCATCCTCACCAAATCCTATGAAGATCCTTGGTACATCCCTCGCATGTTAGGATTTAAATGAGATCCATTAATCCTACACTGATTATTTATCAATCCTACGCCGTGCACGTCTGCCAAAACACTGAATTTGGACTTAGAAAAAATTGTGCAAGTGCCGCATGCACGCGATTGTCCATGTGACTCAATCGCGTGAACGCGACACTGAGCTCAAGTACTTACATACCCTCAGCTTCGACTTCTCCACTGCAAGACTTCATGTCCTTTTGAATACACTCCCTCCGTTCTCGATGGCACCAGGGTCAAAGCCGAAAACCCCTGCATGGAAGGACACTGCAAAATGCTGCTGCTTGGAGTGCTCCAAGGACCCCCGAGGCTTCAAAACTCAGTCTCGACAGACGATTGGTTGGCATACGCGCAGAGACAAAGAGCGTACTGCACTTGATGCACTGTCGAATATGAAGTCTGTGCATCCCACGGCTGCTGAGTCTTTGGCTGCTATCACCGACTCTATGGGGGCATCTACTCTGTCTCTTGAACAGCCTGAGCCAGAGGATTTCAATCTCGATTTTGCGGAATCTGACCTACAGTTCTACTACACTGATGATGCTGGCTCACACGGGAGTTCTTGGAAGCACGATCTCGTGATGCTGTAGTAATAACTATAGCAGGCTCGTCAGCAAGTTCTTCATCAAGATTCTCTTCAGCTGCTGCACGCCTGTCCTCGAGTTCTTGGATTCTTGCCTGTAAGTTGGCCTGTTCCTTGCGTTTGCTTTTGAATTCCCGAGCCATGCTGACAAACTTGTCCTTGATGCGTTCTTTCAGATCATTGTCGCAGATGTTCTCCAGGTCTTCGTCGGCAGCAGGGCAGCGTTTTGCACCGGTTGCACGCAAAGAGTCGAAAATTTTCTCAAGGGCTTCTGCATTGGGTGATTTGTTGTAAGCTGCATCCCAGTTGAAGCGCATATACGGCTTTTGATCTACAGGGTTCTTCGGCCACCTCTCTTCACCAATACCGAATGGGAATGAAGGCAAACTCGCACCCGCAAGTGAGTCGGTGCCAAGGTGGATTTTTAGAGTATCGATGATAACATCCTTTTGATCCCGAAGTTAGAGTTGATTCAGATAAGAAAGTCTTTGGTACGCACTCGTATTGCCTTGGATTTTGATGCAGCGAAGCTCAATTCCATCACAGACAGTTTGTTTGCAGAACTAGATGCCTCAGAAACTGGTTCGCTTGTTCCACGAAGAGTTGGGTCGATTTCGGATAACGATCCTCCATTCTCCCCATCTAGCTCATCCTCTTCGTTCCGCACACCAAGCATAGTCGCAAGGAACGAGACACGTTCACTCAACTCTTCCACATTACTCTTCAATATCTCATTCTCCGTACGCAACACAGCCATCTTTTTGTCAGCTTTTTCCTTGATATCTTGTACCTGCACTTGCAACTCCTCGATTGCCGACACTGCTGCATTCAAGCGCTCAAGATTTGCACTTGGATTTCTGGATCCGTTGGTCGTGCTCGATGGACCGGCAGTTGACATCGCGCGCTACTAGTACTCGCTTATGGATAGTGAGAGGGGGATGGAGTTCGAGTCTCAGCGCTCAGCGCTGTATGTTTTGCTGCCTGCGCTCTTCGATAGTGTCTCGCATGTCATTTTCCTTCCAAATAAATCGTTATTGAATGTTCTAGACTGCGTGAGGAAGCATGAAGGAATTAAGTAGTGCATAGGGCAAAATAGTACATGAACAGCCGAAATCCCTGATGTCATATGATGTGACGAGAATCCACGCATGATTTGTAGAGAATGCGGAAATGTTTAAGCCAATACCAGAATATCCTCGCAGCTGGGGGATTTTCATGTGATCACAGCGAGATTTCATCGGAATCTGCTGATTCCCACCTCATCCTCTGCCGCAACAATCTACGGTTTCACGCGGTGATGGCAAGAAGTTCACCAGAAGGCGAATATAGAACGCAGTCGACAGAACTGCCACACTCGATTGGATCTCCTTGCATCTGCCACGTTTTGGTACTCAAAAACTTGACCGTGTAGTCCCGTGAACCAGTGGCCAGCACCATTCCATCCGGAGAAAAATGCAGCGAGAAGATCCAACTGGAGTGGGCTTCGATGGGTTGGGTGATGGATTCGCCAGTTTCTCCATGCCAGGCGATGACTTCTCCACGATAATCACCACTTGCTATTATTTGACCATTTCGTGACACCGCCAATGCCTGCACATTACTCCTATGCCCTTCCATCTTCTTCAACACAACACCTGTCTCCAAGTCCCAAAGACGAAGTGTCTTGTCGTGCGAACCCGTAATCATTCGTCGTTTATCGGGGAACACTGCGACTTCATTTATGCCGTCCTTATGATCTTCAAAAGTTCGAACGGGTGTGGTGCTTGGAATGAGCTGTGACATTTCACTGGAGGTTGATGGTATTGAGCACGGCCGAGGGATTGTGGGTGTCCTTCTCTAAGTTACAGAAGTGTGTGTATTATGCGTTTTTATGTTGCTTCACCACGCTAACCATCCTCGTTTCCATAGACGCCCAAGACATGAGGCAGTTCACCATCACCGTCTACTCACAACCAGTCATAACCGACTGCACTGGCTACATGCGTCTGACATTTGTCTTCACAGTTTCAAGCCCTACCGAGATATCAAGCGAGTATCACACCTCTCCAATAAACTTTCAAGCTCAAGTCTTATGTCTCATGACCGCCCACCTTACAGCTCGTTGTAGACTAGTATAAAGTATGATACTGCATGTCTTGGTGCGTTTTTATTGTTGATCCCCGTCAGGAAGGGAACGTTTCCAGTACTGTGCACCAAGAAAATTAACCTTGCTTTCGCTTGCAGTGGATTCGAGCTGGAGAACGACCATCATGCGCATCATAAATAAATACAAGAACACTGTAGCGAACGATCTGTGAAGCGGAAAGGAGTCTCGATTCTAGCATTCCGATCAGCATCAGTGGTCGTCCGCGCCTGGCCACCCCCATCTAACGAGCTGAGTCGCCCCGTCATTCTACGACTGTACTCTACGGTTAGCTAGTGTGGACATCGTGTAACCACGAGTGCCAACGAAGCCAGCTCCATTCGACTGAATGATAGCATCGATGAACACTGGATGCCTGGTGACAGCCACAACTTAAGTTAGCGTCAAAATGGAAACATGACATCTAATTGGCTCACCATTTTCCATACTGTCCGTTCCGCTGCACACGTCCGCCCCAACGCCCCAACATCTGGCCACCATTCTGGGTTCCTTTCATCGCTCGTCATGATAACATGTGTAGCATCAATTCCTTTTCGTGTGCGAAGCTCTTCTTGCACCTCAGACACCGACCTGCGCGCAATGACAGACAATGGGGCGAAGCACTGATCCACAGGAAACTCCTCGCATTGCTGGCTGAAGTCGCCGTGCCGTATGTGGATCGATATATACTATCAAAAGTTAGATCCATAGAGCAACCTATGCCCGAAACTTTCACTCACAGGAGGTGTTGGTTCATTCATGGCGCGTCGGGCATGCGCATCGGCAATCTTTTCCATGCTTGCAGTCCATCGCATGTGCTGGCGTACAAATCTCCATGCAGGAGAATAGTCTATTTCCCATTCCCATGTATGATGAGCACTTATGTAGTAAAGGAAATCGAAGCATAATACGTAATCGTCCGGAGCAAGGGAAACCCAGTGCTGAGGAGAAGGACGATTCGTTAATGATAATTCCAGGCTTTTCGAGCGACAGACTTGACTCGCGTCGAAGGTTTTGCAAAATAATAGACAACAACAATGGCATCACGCGGCGAGCGGGTCAGCCTCAACTCAACCTTCAATATTCAATATTGATTCTTTTTCTGATAGATCTCGTGTCCAGAGTTCATTGACCACCAGCATCTGTGGCTCGCCCCTCGTGCCCAACCCAATATCTTTTGTAGGCAATCGGGTGAGTCACGCACATTTCCTACTTCCAAGTCCCTTCAAGAGTGGGAGCAGAGATAAAATGCACACGATCAGAGCTATCGAACTTAGTGACAATGTATGTTTGTTCTGGCGGCAACCTGTCAAGTATATTAACGGCACTAGTGAATGTTTGATATTACCAGCTCTGAGTGCCAATGATCACCAGTCATGCCGAAATGAGCGTCTCGCCCACCAGACGGTTAAAGGTTAGGTTCTATTCTGCGAGGTCGGAGCCACAACGTGCTGCACTAGCTTGTGGATGTCTTACAATGAATACTAACGGAGAACCACGCGTTCATCCTGATACTTCGGAAGACAAGACAGATGGTTCTGCCTTAAAGATACTCATTCTCTTGGATCTCGTCCCACTTCCCCAGGACCATCAGCTACACATGCAGCAAGCTTTGGCGCCAGGTAAGAGCATGCTTCTGTGTCAAAATCGACGCCAACGCAGTGACTACGCAAGTCCGAGTCATATACTTCCGGTCACCATTTCTCCCTCGTTTCCTGCAGTCGCTGATCTAGTATTTCAGCGCACTGTTGAGAATCAAGAATGGTCTAGTAAGCTCGTCCCTCGAGATGAGCGTCTCGGCAGATTTCAAACGCCTGTCTCAGGGATTTGATTCTGTGGCACCTTGTATCCGGCTCAACCGGTCACAAGGCTTTGGCGTCCGATAAGAATGTGGATTTAGTCACCACAGGTCATTCACAACACGTAAGGATTTGGCTTGCTCGATCTGTGTATAGAAGGGTTCACTCGCAAATTGTATATAACCGTTGGCAGTAGCGCCGAAACTGTTCATTTCCTCCACTCTTCCCTCCCTCTTTCCACCTCTAACTCTACTACAGCAGGAGGCATGCACAGCACGTCCCCACGATCTAGTCCCGTACCTGCAGATACCGACCTTCCGAACAACGAGTAAGTGGCAAGTTAGACTGACTGGCTATAAATTTATGGTCACACAGGAATACAATTGATGTGACGCAGTGACTGAGAAACCTGCCGTGTCTATCAAGGTCGACCTTAATAAAAACATGTAAGTGTCGAACAATTAGCATGGTATACTCGACATCTGACTCTGTTATCTCAAAGGTCAAGCACCCTGGAGCAAATCCAGGATCAAATAATGCCAGCGAGGAACGTGTGGTGTTCAGGAATATGTAAATGTCAACCAACCAGCAAAGCAAACTTGACATCTAACTATATTGTCTCAAAGGTCAAACTCCCCACAGCAGGCACCGGACAATGGGATCAAGTCGGATAATGCGAAGGAAAGTTCTGTGGTGTGCATCGAAGGAAATCTTGCTAAGAACATGCATGTGAGTGTCAACTCATCAGCGCTATGCACTTGACGTCTGACTATATTTTATCAAAGGTCAGATACGCTGGAGCACATTCTCGAAGTCCTTCGAGAATCTACGATTGCAGGAGAACATGGCAAAGATGATAAGTCAAAGAAAATTTCGAATGAATATGATGATGACTTCCTCAACCGGGCGCAAGGCGATATATTTGTGATCCTGACTTTTGTGCGTTCGTTTCTATATTAATCAACGCAAATTTCACGGGACAATCAGGCCGGTCTGCTCTCAACTGTCATCGCTACTTTCGTCATCGGAATGCAGCCCAACCCAGCAGACACCACCAATGCCCTCTTGGTGCAGCTCATAGCAATCACTGTTAACGGGTCAAGTGCCGCACATGATATCAGCAATCTTTCCTCGTCTATGGGATATTCCTCTTCAACTGTCTGGATACATTTGTACTTACCTGCACTCCAATTGCAGTTCTATTTTGTCAAGAAGTCGGCGGCTGAGCACTCGTTTTGGCGCCGTCATTCACCCCAAGTGCTGAGTGTTCATTTAGATCCAACCAAGAACTTTTCCATAGTAGATCAATTTGAACCATACATTGAGACTTCCGTTCAGGCATTAGAAATACAGGGTGACTATGGGTACAGAGTAAATGTGTACAACTATCGCAGAAAAATAAACAAACAAAATCTATCATGCTCGTGTGACAGAGGGAGACATCGGAATACTGTGTATATTCTGCGTCTTCGCCTTCGTAAGCCTGCAGTTCGAGGGGTCGTATCAGCAGTTGCATCGCAGCAGCATATGAAGGTCCGCTCACTCGTCAAAATGGGTGCCTCTCTTTGGATCGGCTCGTCTCTTGGCAAGTACTTTCCTGACCTTTCTTTCCGGGCGAACGACGATGATGGGTACGGGAGAATTCGAGAGACAATACTTTGACACACTGCCTACACCTGGCGCACCAAACGCCGCACCCCAGGCTTGCATCATGCCGCGCTGGCCTCTCGTGCCCACTACGATTGAGTCTGGGCGGTACAGAGCAATTAACCGCTCAAGGGTTGTAGTGACTTTGCCAGCAATAAGTTCGACGATAATGGAGAGCTACGATGAACAAAATGAGAAAGTATGCCGTAACGATAATAGCCGCCTACCTTCCGCTCTGGATCGTACTCAATACATTTCTCCTGAATCTGACGCATGAGTTCACGGGCGTCCTCTCGAACGACTTCATGATCCTTCTCTAAGTTATAATTTAACATTTACATAGGTCCAGATAGTACGAGCCACCCACCTAAATCCTCTGGGTCGATACCTCTGAATACGATTAACTCATCCCCGTCCTGCACCAAACTCTCCAGCGCCCAGTCAAGGGCATAACGTCCGCTTTCGTCTGGACTCGATGCACAAAGAAATACCCTCGTCGCCCTGCTCCTAGCGTATCCATCCGATTGCACGTGCAGGGTAAATGAGAACATGGACGCGGCGGGATTTTCGAATGTGTCGAACGACACTTTCGGCGTGTAACCTTGTCCGGCGACGGATTGAGCCGTGTTCTGCTGCATGTTCACTGACGGGGACCGCGAGAGCGACGTCGAAGAGGATGAGAGGGGTGGCAGTCGCGATGTCGACGCCGGTAGTGTGAGGAATGAGGAGGGAAGAGGGGACAAAAGTGGCGACGACGGCATGGAGGATGACGGGTGCAAGCAGGGTGAACCCGGCTGGGAGGATTGTTTTAGTGCCGATCGTAACCATACGACTGGAATATGGGTATGTTGTTCGGACATGGCGGTGTGATAAAGGATTATTTATTAGTTTTGTTGATAAGTTGTTACATAGCCAACATCCCAAAAATAATAATCGCAATATTATTAACTCTCACCTGACTTTGATCTCCAACTCTCATGTCGGCTTCTCGTTCAGCTAGTCCTACGGAGGAGGAAGTTCAAGAGCAGGATGAGCAGCACACGGAGGTGACACCCAAGTCCACTGGCGAGTCAACCTCCCCAGAGGAGTCTGCTGAACCTTCGGATACAGACCAGGACGCCACAACAGCTCATGCTTTCCCAACAGCGGGATCATGGCAAGCCATATGGTCTCCTCAGCACAACGCCTATTATTTCTACAACTCAGAAACCAAAGAAACGACTTGGGTAAACCCCCTTCAACCTGCCGCCTCTGAATCAGAACCTTCCTCATCCTCGTCCTCCACCTCCCAATCTGGCCCTTCCACAATAATAGACTCTCACTACGCCACACTGCAAGCAAACGCGATGGCACAGGGTATTGATCCGTCCTTAGCCCATCTTGATCCATCGCTTGCTTCTTCGTCTGGTGTTCCTAGCAATCTTATGTACACCGCCAAGTTCAACGCGAGGACTGGTGCTTTTGCGAAGGTGGACAGTCGCGATCCTACTCACTTGTCAGAGTATGAACGTGCTAAGCGCATGAGCGAGTTCTACTTTGACGTTGGTGCTTGGGAGAGCGATGTCGAGGCCCGGAACAGGGCTGAGATTGAGGCCGAGGGAGAAGGCAAGAAGAGAAAACGCCCGACGAAGAAAGATCTGGTAAGATCAGACATGAATTCCGTTCATTATCGGATGTTGATTTTCATTTTGCAGGAGCGGTTCAAAGAACAGAAGAAATTAAAGAAAATTGCGAAGACAGCATGGCTTCGAACATAGGAACCCTATTACTGTCGTATTACAAGAAATTCAAAGCAACAATAAATCCCTTAGTTATATATAAAAAGAAAGTTCATCAGCCGGATTCTCAGTGTTCAATAGTACAACCACCTTGAGGTCTACAGTGATAGATAACTACTGATAGCTACCACCTGGCGATATCAGCATTAGCGTCCACAGGTATGTCCATTTTTATCCCTCATTTTTGATGATGTCCTAAGTTGCGAATACGCCAATGATTTTGAAAGGAGGAACACTTTGTCCTTCGTCTCCAAGTAGCACGCACTCGATGAAGTGCGATCCTCTCGTGACAAATTGGTCAATCATCGTAAGACTTGATGACCCATTAATAACCGCACACACAAATGAAAATAAAACAAGATACTCACGTCGGCGCCCCCTCACTGACGTGTCCTGCATTTCCTATGATCACCGCACCTCTGAAATTATCATCCACCCAACATTCAATCTCACTTCCTTCCCCAATCCGGCTCATAGGCTCCTTCAAGTAATAAATCCCGACATCTCCAGCGCCTACTTTGATAGGTACGCGCAATCTGCTCGTAGGCAGCGAGCTATACCAATAATATCCAGCCGTAAGCAACGGAGAGGACCCTGCCGGAGGATGCGCCACTGCCCAACCAGACCCGTAAAAAAGCGACGGAGGTACAGGGTTCACGAGGTCATTAGCAGACGCACAAAACGGGGCGACCTCCTCGAATGGCAGCGGGTCTTTGAGGCGCGTATTAATTCGCACAGGAGGAATTCGCAGTTCAGGGTATATTGGTATAGGATGGGACTCCGCTTGGGCAAGAGCTAGTGCGTGTTTCTTCTCGGCTTCTGCACCGTCATCTACTGGGCGTGGCGGTTCAGGCACCGCAGCACCTTTCCTTGCGCCTACTCCGCCAAAGAGATGCGTATCTGCACCTGGGAGGTAACCATGTGACATCATGATAGGAATGGTCTCGTACGAGTGGCCACGCGCCGTTGACCATGCAGCGCATATCTGAGATTGGAAGTACGATACGAGAACGTCGGTTATAAGTTCATGACCTGCCGGATTTGCAAGAATGGGGTCCGCAAAGTAAGGCTTGATGAGATCGGGGTTTGCCATGTAAGACGGATATAGTATGGGTTTGACACTTTATACAGGCTTCAGAAAATATTCTTTTGACAAGTAATGAAATTGTACCTGATATGCGGTACGTCATAGAATTGTGCGACGATATTGTGCCAATGGTCAGGTCCTGCAAATCCATATACCTGGTGTGTCTGTGCACTAAAATGCCCTAGAATGACGACTGCAGGTTGATCAGGGCGGTCCAATATTGAGCGAACCATCAACTCGAAATGCTCCATCGCACGCTGGTTGCTGGTAGAATTTAGACGCCACATAACATTTCAGGTGGAGATATGTGCTTACCTTTCATCGTCGACGTCAAATTCGAGTATCACCAAGTCGGTGTTCTCTGGGATATGATGCGAGCTACAAAATCCAAAGTACCCTGAGTTTGTTCGCCTCATAGCACCGTTGGTAAGCTCTGATGCCGGGTGAGGGAAAACGCTCGACCACCACTGGAAAAAGCGTGAAGGATAGCAGGTAGAAGACAATGGATCATCTCCTGCTGCATGACATGCAGATACTACACAATTACACCATCAACATAAGTTCTTTTGCAAAATAAAGAACACGCACTAGAACCGCCAAGCACGCTGATAGTCACAGGTTGACCCAAAAGTGCTTTGTGAATAACCCGATGCACCCTCCCCCCACTCCCTAAATGCAACCGACTCTGCGACAACGGAACCACCCCATACTTATTCGCAATGTCATCCTTGGGCCCAAACACAGGGCAAAAGTCAAACGGATTTGCAACCTCGGATGAATTGTCGGTAGGGTTGTTGACCCCATGCAAATAATTCTTTGGTACGAGGCCTTCTGTTGTAAATGACCCAGCGCTGGTATGGTTTGAGAAAAGTATAAACCGCGATAGCGCGATCAGTAGGACGAATCCGAGGATGATGGCCCATATTCTATTGGTGACGCCTAGCACCCTTTGATTCCACCTGTTAGTGTGTTTACTAGAATCTGGGCCCATGCCCGTCAATCGGCGGTGATTGGGAGGGGAGATGCGTGCCAGAGCCTTGCCAGAGCCTAAGCGTCGTTGCATAAAACCTTTGAGACGAAAAAGAAAAAAGTACCGTCGAAAGCTGCCGAAATACGAAGCAAAGGCGGGATGTCAATGAAGGATGAACGTTTGAACCCTTATGCCTTAACTCCGCGCCAAATGAGGTCGGTGACGAGAAACACAAAAGAATGGACACTGTGGGAGTTGAACCCACGACCTCACGCAATCTATCCATGCGAAGCGTGCGCGCTACCAACTGTGCCAAGTGCCCTTTACGAAACGTCACTAGTGGCATGCTATCTCGAGCGGAGGTCACTCTATCTAGGGAAATGACTCTGCCAATACTATTTCCCCAGTTCGCCGTTCGAAGGCGAGTACGCGTGATACTTACTCCTGGGTCACTCATCGTTATTAATTACCGCAATAACTTAACATTGACTGAAGCTACTCTTAGGGATGACGAGTCTAGCAAGTAAACTGCAGTGGGAAGACAAGCACTTTTGAAATTCCACAGAATCGCGTCTCTAGTAGACATATCTTCGTAGGGATACACCACGCAAACCAAACAAGCTCGACGCGATTAACAGATCATACTACCCAGATGTCCATGTTATGTCCGAACGCATCACAGCTCGCTCATCTCCCTGTGATGCTTCACCTTCACAGAATCTACATGCTGCGAACGGTCGGGCATGCGCTCCCAGATGGGATCCACATCGGGACCATCTATATCGCCTGCACCATCCCAGCCCCAACACCATACTGCATGACTCGTAAGTCGGGGAGGTAGAATAAAGAGCGCAGTACGTACCATGCGAAGGCCCGGGCACAAAATCAAGCTCTTCACTTTCCTCCGGCGTGAACAAACGGTCATGAGGACCAAACCATGACCGGTCCTGTGGATCTGTCCGTGGATTGTCCGGAAGTCCCCCAAGACGCACATAACTACGGATAGCAGTAAGGTTCCGTCTTGAAGGATGTATGATATCAAATACTCTCTGCAAAAAAATCATTTAATCCATTAGATATCAAATTGCATTTCAACCAAAAACATACTTTGTCGTACGCTAGCTTCACCCGTGGCACCATCAATATACGCCCATACCCAGCCTGCCAGTAATCATTGCAGATCAAGCTACACTCTGAAGCAGAACACTCCTCATCTGTGAGTCGAGCCATACGGAATTTGATATAAGGGGGTGTGTAAAATGGAGCAGGGTCCAGGACTGCAATACCATTCCAACACGACTGGACCTGTATGGGAAGGTGCATCTGGAAACGGTCGGAGGAGTAGGGATCATGGAAGACGCTTTCGAACGGAGCGTTTTCCAACGCTGTCCCGTTGATATCGCGGGCGACCCAATTATCATAAAACACGGGGGAGGACTATATACACAAGTGGAAAATGAGCTCAGGCTGTGAGTGCAATAACGGGACTTACCAGCTCTTTATGATACATGTAGTCAGAAGCACATGTTATACCTGCATTATTCCGCCGACTTTGCCAGATAAGCTCAAGCAGGTCGTCCACGCATGGGAGGATATCGTTCATAAATATGATGGTGTCAAAGTATTCGTTGTGCGAGTCGCGGAGCTCGTGGAGTGGGTTAAAAGCCTGGTTGCGGACCTCCGCAAGGTACTCTATACGGTGGTTGAAGGCACCTCGTGTACGTGTAGAGGTTCGAATGGTAACACGTAAGCCCACACTACGAGTGAGGGCATCGAATATCCGTAGCAGCGCTTTCGTCTGGTCTGTCGAGCCATTTTCGTATATGGAGACATAGACGTTGTGATACCCCAAGATAGCAGAGACTCGAAAAAGAGTTGCAAACAAGTCAGGAATGACATCGAAGGAGTTATACAAGTTGATAGCGAAGAAATATTTGTGCTCTTTTTTTGGAACGTTGTGTACGTGTTGGGAGTCGGAAAATCCCCAAGAAGAGAACCAGGTGGATTCAGAAGGAGTTTTGTGTCCTATAAGAGAATCATATCGGTCTCGGACTTGCTGAATGTAAAGCGGCTGGGAATTTCGTGTGCACTCTGTGGTATGGTGCGGAGACAACGTGGAGAGCAGGTCTAGGACACGACGGCGTTGGTCAATGCTGGGCAGGGTTATTTGCTTGCGAGCAGACAAGCGAGACACGAATATGGGGTTGTTCCCGCCTGTTGACAAGAGCTACAAAACAATCACGCGTTGTCATGATAGTAAAACTGTCAAAGTATAGACAGACATACACTTGTTGGCAGTGTCTTTCCAATTAGCAAGCCTAGTAACAGCCCAACCACGAGTGCCAAGGGAATTCGTTTCAACTGAAATCGCAATGTCTTTGGTTGCATGGTGGATGTAGGAGATAGCCTGAGCGTGACGGTGACCTCGGGATATTAGACGCACAGATCAACGGGCTCGACGGTCGGTACGACCTATGAAAAGGGGCGTACGTAGGCTTGGCGGCAATTTCTTGTGATCTGCAGAAGAAGGCCAGCCTTGGAGCTTGGTGGGTGATGAACCGACGACGGTCTGAAGTACGCAAATTCAACTGCAAATTGAGTCGCAGGCCATGGGCGCTTGCGCACACAAATTCAAATAAATTGCCTAACGTGGCGACCGAGTAGATGAATGACGAAGTTTAACTACATAGATAACTATATAACCCCATAAATTTCTCCTCTACTTATCGACTCGGAATCGCATGCAAGAAATCAATCAGGTAATCGTGAGTTAATGCTCAGCGCTAACGTCAACTTCAAAACACCCTGACAAGTTCTAATGCGCAAAAGAATGCGAAAGAATAATGATAGTGAGATGACTCGCAATCCCTCTATAATGAGGCTGCCATGATGGCAAAGGCTGCTACACCAGTCAGCATGTTAATGCTATGCGATGATGCAGCGTTGGAAGACCTGGTTCAATTCGTTTAGTTTTTAATTACCGAAAAATAAATGAAAGAACGACTGACGAAGGCTTGGCCGTGGTAGCAGTAGCGGTACTATTGGATGATGAGGTGGCCGTTGCAGCAGCGCTGCCAGCGGTCAAGGTGACGCCCTGCATTATGCAATTTATCAGCCATTCAAGAAACAAGAATATCTATAACATACCACTGCAGCACAAAGCGATTGGGAAGCTGCGTCGGCATTTGTGAGGTCAGAGCCCGTACAAGATGCATGAATACAGGTTGTAGTGCTGTTGATGAAAGCCTGGCTGTGGCAAAGACAGTTGTCGTCGGTAGAAGAACAGTTGCCAAAGTCAGCATCCGTCAGGCAAGGGACAGCGCAATCTGATAATGTCAGATACCGTTGTATGATGACAAAGAAAAAATAGACATACTGGGCAAGCTTTGACGTGTGATCAATGCCGCAAACGCGGACGAGACAGCGACGGAGAGAGTAAGAACGACGACAGCAAAGCGCATTGTGGATTGAGTAAAAGAGTGCGAAAGAAGAAGACAGGATGAACAAAGGTGAGTCTTCGAAGAGAGACCTTATATACAGCTACAGATAATGTACATGACAACAAAGCAGACGAGCTGGGAAACAAAGGCAACATGTAAATCCAGAACATAATGCTTGTCCTATTTTTAGCCTTCAAATTGTATGAACAAGTCCGCCGCACCGCATTGTTGTAAATACATGTCACGTGCTTCGGACATACCCGAGAAACTATCAAGTACCTCAGCCACTTGAACCTTATGTCATCATTACACTGACCAAACACAACCAAAGTCTGTGCGACATCTGCTGTCCCAGTTAGACGAGCTCGTCACATTATACATCCTCAAGACATGGTAAGCCACGTCCTTGGTCTACCGTCCGAGAAACTAATTCGAACCGTTTTTAGGCCAGGACAAAAAGCGGCAAAGTATGTGCCATCATGACCTTCACCCGTGATACATGTTCAAATCTTATCATAGACTGGCGGCAAGCGCTCCGCTCTTCAAGACGTTGTAACTCGTGAATACACCATCCATCTGCACAAACTCGTGCATGGCCGCTCCTTCAAAAAGCGTGCCCCATGGGCCGTAAAATCTGTCGTCGATTTCGCCCGCAAGTCCATGGGCACAACCGATGTTCGGTTGGACCCCAAGCTCAACCAGGCATTGTGGGCTCGAGGTGTTAAGAGCGTCCCTCACCGGATAAGAGTAAAGCTTGAGCGTACGTGTTATATTCCCAGGTTGATCATAATACTAACGGTCTACTTTTGACAGGCAAGCGTAATGATGATGAGGGCGCAAAGGAGAAACTTTTCACGTATGCCAGCCATGTAGTTGTGACCTCGTTCAAGGTGTGTATTTCCCCTGTCATTTGCCCTGTCCTCGACAACAACCTTCTCCCAGGGCCTCCAAACCGCTGTTGTAGATGCAGAGTAAGGGCTGTCGTCGGAAGGTCCTATGTAGTTTTTTTCACATATTTCATGCCGCCATACATCATCACACCCAGCACTATGCTACTACGTCAAAACTCTCGTGCATCTTGATGCTGTCCATGAATTTGAGTTCCTCTGAAACATCGCAAGCTGGTGTTCCTGCCCGCTAGCCCCGCGTTGATCTGGAAAAAATACAAACGGAGGTGTGCTGGGTTACCTGAAACAGATGGGGTAATTCACATTGATCGGTGGTGGAACGCGACAATGCCTCTGTTGTAGCACTAGTCACGTGTGATACTCAGGAGGTCAATCTCCTATTCAGTTTATTCTGAACATTCAGTGACTTCTTCATTTGATCAAACCTTGCGATAAAGCCAAAGTCTTGCTTGATGCATTCGCTCATTGAAACGTCTCTGACTCGGCCCTGGACTACATGCCCACCCATTATGCATCGGTTGCCAGTAGAAGTTCTACAGGTCGTATTCTTGCTCGCTGTCAACGACGAACCAGATTGTCCTCATATGATAGTAAAACCACCGCCATGTCAGCAAATTTTGGTAGCCCGCCCCTGCTCTTCACTCGAGTGTGCCGCCATTGGCGGGACGTTGCACATTCAACGCCAGAGATCTGGTCGCGCATCAAAGTCATACTTCCCGGAAGACTCGTCAAGCCACTTACACCATTCTTTCCCTCTCTACTCCAGGTTTGGCTCGCTCAGTCTGGCAATCTACCTCTCACCATTTGCATATATTACATTGGTTTTCTCCCCTCCTCAAGCCATGGTGTGACAGTGGATTCTCGACTGCTCGAGATCCTTTATGATGAGACAAGGCGTTGGGAAACAGTGTCTGCCCCCTCATTCATATTCAGGAGTAATGCATCCAATATGTCCCAGCTGAGAACGCTAGATCGGCTCTGGAACTTGACAGATCTCATCGAATTCAATGCACCAAATCTCTGTCGCGCATGTATCGTGTATTCACTGTCGGATACCATCCGATCATTCAAACCCAATGCTGCCTGCAGAAGCATACGTCATCTCAGCATCGATCAGGCTCTAGCCAGTGGGATACGCCGCTTTCCAGCCATATTCCCCCGTTTAGAAACCCTCGGTGTGCGTATACTTACATCCTACGTATCAGGAATGAGAAGTCATTCAGACACGTATTCTTGCCTTGAATCAATGACCCTCCCCTTCGTCGATCGTCCTGCGGACACGTTTATCAATATATTTCGTGGACTTCATCTTCCCGCGTTGCAGAATTTGACTTTGTTGATGGGAGCGGGCAAACCAGACGTCGAGATGATTACGGAGGCGCTTGCAGTTGCTGGGTCTTGCCATATACGAGTGCTAGATTTTCGGTGGCACGAATCGCGGAGTGATATCGATCCGCATACCCTTGAGCCGTTGCTCTCGGTAGTGCAAGAGGTTGCGGTTCATGGGGAAGTGGTGGTATGCAGGGAACAGGCCGGTACATGAATCCAGGCTCTCGGGAAAAAGGAAATTGGACCACAAGTTCGTTGTGTTTGTGTTACGCGTCGAGTCTGTGCAGAGGCATCTCCTGTACCCTGGTTAGTAGCGACCAAGCCCAGCATGCAAAAATCGTACTTAGTCTTAGACAGTGTGATTGAAGCGTCCTATTAGCTCCAATTAATTGTTCGCGAATCTGGAGGGCGAGAATCTGATTCGCCAACCACCAAGAGAAAAGATTAAATTGAGGTGCATTCTGGGATTGCTTGCAGGAAGAAGCGGAGTAGAAATAAGAACTCGAGTTGAGGAGATTTGTAACGAGCAGTCACAAACTAGAGGGCCGTAGGATGGCAAAGGAATCACGCCCAGCCTGGGCTTCCTCCACTCCACATCTGAAGTGTTCTGCCAGGAAGGTGAGGGACACCAAGTCTCTAGTGTTTCAGTCTGTCCATCACGCAAGATTGGCGAGATGTACGAGTCTTCTGCACGCTAAAATGCTGCAATGGATTGATTTTGAGACAAAGACTTGTCCCATGAATTTCAAGCTGATAAGTTTCTAGCTGTGAAGGTGGTCCCTTGAGGTACTAGTAGTGTGTAGATTTGAGTGTCCAGTTATTCACATTGATCCGAGAGGTGCGACTACACCTTTGGTGGAGACGTTCATGTCAGCGTTTAAAGGCAGTAACGAGGACATGGCCCATAAGTTGCGTGATAGGTAGACAATTCAGACTGTGTAAACAGACAGTAAGACATCCCGCTAGCATGATGGTCACGTCAGATGCTTACCGCCCGGCATTTTCCAATGTCTCTCCCACACCTTCGGATTCGTGCATCCTCCAAGCATCTTCCATAATAAGACTCGCGACTTCTTCCAGCCAACAACCTTGTGGAAACTTTCAAGTCAACCCTTCGTTCTCAGGATGGAGGGGCGACGCATTATCTGTAAGATGTAATCTTGAAATGATGGATTCCGAGGAGGACCGAAGGCAGGGGAATGGTAGAGCTAAGAGAAACGGTTTATTTGTACGTCCTGCTAAGCACTACTATTGTGCATGTGCAACGCTAGCAGAGTCCAACGAACCTCGGGTATGACTTGCTCTCAGGTCCCTGATATTCTATTGGCGGTTGCTGGACCAGTGCGTTGTTGTACCGGCCTACGTTTGGCGACACGAAGATCCCCGAAGCTGAGTTCAGGCATCTCATGGATGGTGAAAGAACTTCGGAGTCTCTTCGTGCATCGGGGAACGCGAATTCGGATTTCGGGAGATCGGCAGTTGAGGCTCAGTCCAAATTCTAGAGGAGAGTACTCCCTAGGTGTGATGTTATTTTCTGGATGCTGCGCAGCTTGTCATTCTGCTAGACAACTTGACTTTTACGACGTGCGTATGGCAAGTTGGCGTCCTTCAAGCTCTGGGAATGTCCATATCTTTCGTTGCATATGACTAACCACGAGTCGAAATTGTCCACTTCATTCGCAGAGCCTCTCTCGATGTCGAGTCTCTGTCGGTGACTTACCTTGATTGGGTTTGACACCAGGAACCCAGCTCACAATTACAATCATTCGGAGACTGATGAAGTATTCTACAAGTTTACAATGGGTGTACAACCGTAAGTACTTCAGTCATATATCATGCATTCGAGTGCTCGAGATGTCCCTCTGCTCCAAGGTCTTCACTGCTCAAGCAGCAGTAAAATTTGTTCAGAAACATTCAGCATTGAACAATGAACTACTTACATGCGGTGCCATCAATCACACTATACCAATGCGAAAGCAGACATGACTCATTCGATCCCACTACTCAGGGGTAGCACTCGTATACGTAGAAAGGCTACCATACCGGTGAGTCAATAAATTCTGGATGAAACCACTCATACTCACCCCACCATCGATGTATCCATTGAGGATCGCCACGCATTTATAGCCATCACAGCAATCTGCATTTTTGCCGCAAGTAATGCCAATTTTTTGGCATTGAGCGCTGACAGTCGTAGATACCGTCAAAGCAGCAACAACGGTGAGGATGACTCGGAAGGAGAAATGCATTGTATGTGAGATGTGATATGGGGTCTCGAAAAATCAGTTTAAAGGGAGACAGTAGGAAGACGGCTTGCTTTTATGATGTGAATACATGATTCTGCGCAGACCCTATCCACCTTACATCCGCCTTCAACAGATGATATTTGCAATGCCAGCAGATTTCCGACAGACCTCCGATCTGACTTGCATTGTCCTTGGTATGCTATCGAGCAGTGGAAGAACCCAAGGACACGATGATCCAAATTGCAAAAGGGGGTACGCTCCTCAGATATAATGTTTTTAATGTACATCAGGAAACAAAGCTAGACTCTGACGTTGGTCATCAAAATGTATTCTTTTCACAAGGAATACAGACGTGGCAATGGGCAGATGCATACATGACATATGTGCATGTCTTTAGTAGATGGCAGAAGTACTCAGGGTCAGTTTTGTTGGTTGCAACCGGTAGAGCTGGCAAAGCTGATTGTTTTCCCGGGGTGTCATCTTAGACTACTATGTTTAGGCTGTGCAGACTGTGACTTATGTGTAGGACATTCATACTATTGCAAGCTAGCCTTGATGCCATTCTACCCCTCTATCATCTGTGACTCATTCTCACTTGCTTCCTTAGTCCATGGCAGTGTCTCCGGTCCCAATACATTACCACGTCATGGTCAGGTCCTGTGCATCACATACAAATTGACTCTGACCATTTTTATGTGCATGCCAGCGGAAGTGTATGTACGAGACGACCTTGACTCTGCCTAGCTTCACTTCTCGAATTTTATTATCAAGTCAGTAGAAATAGTTCTTACTCCTCGTCGACTGTTCAAGCAAGCTCGGTTTTAGATCCTCGCCTCCAAAGTTATGAATTGCTATCGCCTCTGCGTCGGCGATTCATCTCTAGAAAGGACGAAAAATAGTGCGTTGTACCATAGAGTGCACGCGTGAATAAGTCTGGTTTGAGGAAGAATTATATCCTAGGAACTAGTACTGTGTTGAAACAGCGAAGCAGCATTTGTACAAGATTTGTCGTTAAGCCTAAGCGGCAATCTTCATGAAAGACGCAAAATACGCATCAAGGTCCTCAACGCGATCCAGTGGCGCGATGGCTCCAACATAGCCATCAGGACGAACAGCAACCAGCGCCCCCTCAGATCCCACTCCATAATACGAGTAACCTCCTCCCCCAAAGCTACCAGTGGCATCGGTGTCATCGATAAACACCCTACATAAGAGCACCTCGATCAACATTATCGCACTTGATACGGATGAGCAGGCACTCACTTTGACCAATGAGAGCGAAGAAGCGTAGGAAGCCGCAGGAAATCAAATGTATACTTCTGGCCTTTGCTGATCGTGATGATATCGAATCGTGAATTCTCAGGCGTCGAGTAACGGTTCAGGAAGCTCTCAGGTTTCTGCATGTCCGTGACCATCGACTCGACCCTCGCTTGCTGAAGCGGATCGCTGAAATCGCCGGTAAAAACAAGTAACTTGAAGAGGACGTCTGAAGGAAGAAGGTCCTGGAGCTCGAATGGACATGCGTCTGCTGCCCGCATGAGTTTGTGCGGAGGTACACGTTTGCCGAGGACGAGGCCAACGGCCAACTCCTGATTCCTGTCGTTTACTGCAACTGAAGGCTGATAATGTATCCCAATGCCACTGGTGAAGTCTGTTTGGTAAGTCCTATAACCTCATGGGATTAGTAACAGAAAAAGACTGTTGGTAGCATAATATTACTTCAAGAAATGTTCGGGCGAAATCCCATTGCTGCTCGGCACAGTCAAGGGCTTGCCACAGACAAGGGCGGCCCACATTTTATCGAACGCAATCAGGTCTAATGCGAATTTACGACGCTCTGATTCATACTATCGGCCGGGCATGAGCAAGGAGTCAAAGAGCTACACAAGAGCTTGCCGTTGACAAAAGGGACATGTCTGCCCACCCACGAACAACTAGGGAAATTTTCCAAGCTGACAAAGCGATTTAACTCGATCATGACAACAGGAGCAGAAGATATACCTAGATTATGGCTGTCGTTGATACTTGCGTTCATCCCTTGTCCTGGAAGCTCCGTTGTAACCAGACCAGAGGAAGAGGCCAAGAATTAGGATGCTTACCTGCTTTTGGAGAGTGCGTGTGGCAAGCATCGCCAGCGATAAAGACTCGATTTTTGATGGAAAACCGTGAGGCCACTCGTTGTCCAACTTGAGTAAAAATGTCAAACGAACACAAATTCGTAGCAAGTAGTAAGATGCGTACCGCTATATATCGTCCACCACAAAAATTCGCTCTTCTGGATAACCTTGTAAGGTTCAAGCGACTTCTGGGCAGTCTAAGGGGGATATCGATGACTGCTGACCATATAGTGGATACCGCTTACTTTAAGAATTTGCTCTGGACTTATTTTCTCCTTGTCTACTCTGCCTGTCACTGGATCGATGACATCATTAACCTCCAGTTGTACATATATGCGAATGCGATCCTGTTCTCGAGGGAGGCAAATAACTGAGCCATGGTTAGAATGTACATAGGTCTTATTTCTGATATCCGGGAAATCAGTGTCAGCAGTAAGGTCCACGACACCCCAGGTGGAATCTAACGATCGAGATTGAGCTTGCTGAGAATTCCAAGTGATCACCATTCTCACCAGACTGTTCTCCATCCATCGTAATATCGAATTGTTTGCGGGTCCACGAGTGAGCGCCTGTCAATGTAAATGGTTATATTGGCTATATTGACATCTTCGAAACGCACCATCACCACCGACAACAAATTTAGCGTGAATAATCTCTTCTCGTGGTTCATCTTCAGATTTGTTTAGTTTTTGGAGCGTAACGCGAACTGGATATGATGTAGGATCCGTCAACTCGCTTTCATCCTTGGAGAGCTCTATCGAAATTGGCACCGTCGATCGATCAACCTCAACGCCGAGTGGTGCCATGGAATCTATGAAAATATCTTGAATGGCTCCTTGATGGAGCGCAGCCTCGATCTCATTTAGCTGATATAATTTCCGTCCAATTTACTTATTAACACACCTCAAATGGGTATCTTGCAGACGTAGCTGTTATATTTGATATTCTGTTAGTAAGCTGATGGTGGAAATTCGGTGAATATCCTTCATTGATATGGGAATTTACGAACTTCGATGCCGC